ATTCGCGTCACCCATGCGCTCGGATCCATCTCTCTTCGTGCACCTCCTTTCCCTTGCGCTGCTTTTTATGGATCCACACCACTTGGGAAGTTAGCTCCGTTTTCTGGCATGCAGCTCTTGGTTGTGCAATGGTCTTTTGCGCGGGGGAGCTTGGTGTAAGCGACCCGTTGAAGGATTTCTATCGATGAGCTATCCTACTCATTCTCCTTCATGAATCAAAGCGCTACGACAAGCAACATCGTAGCTTATGCACTTTATCTTTATCATGCTTTCGACGCCTCCTAGACTGAGAATTTAATATACATACAGATTTTCACATTGACAGTCTGAACTTCTATCTTCAAGCAACCACGCACGATGCCTGTTGGAAGCAGTGGAAGGCTTATTGAGAAAAGCAAGCAAACATACTCTCTTGTGTTGGGAGTGCAGCAGGAAGGTTTCACATGCATCTTTTGCACTTTCATGTAATACTTTCACAGAAATTGATGAAAAATCTCAGACCTGGCGTCCACCGGAACACCATACAGCTGCTCTGTCACCAGAATCTCGTGGAAGCGTTCATCGGGCTCGGACTTTTCAAAGGCTCAAAAGACGATATTCTGCGCTCTGGAACTTTAATTAGCTTAGTATTTTTCCCTCATGGAGTCGGGCATTCACTCGGGATGGATGTGCATGATGTCCCGAGTGCAAGCAAACGATACGACTGTTCCGTAAGATACAGTCAGGGACCCCAGTTTCTACATACCTGCGGCTCTGGTTGCCGCTCGCAAAAAGAAATATTTGTGGTAAGTCGGAACCCCTTCCGTGGATCTACTTCTGTGAACATATATTCAAAGCTTTAGACAAGTCTGAATATGTGAACCACGACTTGTGGAAGGAGTATCGCGAAATGGGTGGCGTGCGCATTGAGGACGACGTATTGATCACTTCAGATGAGTGCAAGAATCTAACCAAGGTTGGAGTGATGTTGAATGGCTAGGGTCGGTGTGCTCTGGTGAGATTTGAATGTACAAAATTGGAAGGTATTCGCTGTGGATAAATAATGGCTTGAATGAAAATCGGTGGAAACGCACTAATGCTGAATATTTAGTAGGGCTCAGAATTGCAGTCAATTGTATCAGGCGACTTTAATCCAACACATGATTTCAGCAGCGACTTCAACGAATAATGCAGGCCAACAGATATGACGCTTTATAGCGCCAGTAAATCATCAAGTTAATTGCGATGTCCTGCCCTCGTCCATTGTCACCTGATTTAGTACACACCTAGTATTCCCCAGAATGGCACGAATGCTCGAAGTACATGACGGATATCTTCCAGCCATGCGTGAATACTCAGAACATAGTGAGTTCCAGCTGATGAATTCAAGCGCCTCCCCCTTGGGAGCACCGTAGGGCAACTGAGCCATCAGTGAGTCATATTTCTGCCTTTGCATTAACATTGTTATTGATGCGCAAGATATGCAGTTCGTTGCTGACTCGGTTTCGGATATGATTGCTTCTAGAGTTCTGCTCAATTTCACTGGTGCATGTGGAGTGGCGTCAGCGCCTGTGGAATCAATAGAGACAAATCAATATGAATTTGATTTTGACTGACACTCAAGGCATGCCGTCCTGTACTGAGCGATTTGTGTAAATAAGCGCCCCGCATCGAACTCCTCGACTAGCTGCTACCTGGACCGTCACATACTGGTGGTTTGGATGTTTTGCCTCAGGCAAGATTTTGATCGAAACAAGTATAATAAAATAGTCGTTCGTACTTCGAATTTCATTGCTGAATGACAAGACACGTATTTGCATATATTTGTGCCCACAACAAAACGTAGAGTTATTATGTAATATTTGTTTACACTAAAATGTCAACACCTTGCCCAAAACCCTGCGTGTTATTCCATGTATATGGGTTCCGTTGAATCCGTTCTGTATGCCATTCCGCCCTGATGCTAATTCATCTGTTTCCATTTCGTCACTACGCTATGCACAGCGTACAGATTAGAAATGTGCATGCACCCGCTTATATTAGTTCAGTCACTGACGAAACGTACATTGAATTGCCTCAAATTTAAAACTGGATCGAGGTACAGCCACTGATATGCAGTATCAGCAAGGCGCTTGCAACCACAGCATGCAAAATTGGCCCAAATAGCAGGTCGTTTCATCTTCACCACATACTCATCTCTCCTTCCCCTCGATTTTTTAGCAGTGTTTCACTGTCCAGTCCGTCTGTACAACCCGACATCTTTTATCGATCAAGGTCATGCCACACGAAGAGGCCGAGTCAAGCACATCGACGAGACGGGGAGAAGCGCTACTGCACTTGCCGATGTATCGAACGAGTGCGAAGGACCCACCACCATATGGTGCACAGCACATCCAGGATGCACTTTGGAAAGGTGAGCAGCTCCCTCGTGATACCCACTAGCTTACTCAATTTGAAGCAGGTGGGAATGAAGCGCTTCCTCCTAATTGGCAGCAGTATACGATGTCGTCGGATGGTAAATCACTATATCAAGATCATACGGTCGTGATGTCCTCGCGGAACCGACCTTTACCAGGAGTGCGACTAGGTGAGCGACGAAATCACGACAAGGAACGACGAACTCACGGTTGATTATAGATATTCCTGGAGATCTCGTTGATCCGAAATACGAATGGTACATTTCACCACTGGGTCGGTCCTACTTCGTCGATCATAAGAATCGGACTACGTCGTGGAAGAAACCCAAGCCAGAACGTCCGGCAGGAAGCTTGATACCTGAGTGCGTCATCGAGGGTCACTCTAAATCCATATGGGACCTTGCCTACTTGGGTACCAGTGGCAATATAATGAGCGTGTCTGATGACGGTTCGATTCGTCAGTGGAAAAGAGATGGAGAGACAGTAGGAAAACCTTTGCATAGTGATGGGGGAGCGATAGTCACAGTGGCAGTCTCCCAAGATGAAACAATGGTCGTTTGTGGAAATCAAGATGGCTCAGTGCGGTTGTGGAATATAAAGGAGGGCAGCATGATTGGAGATCCGTGGGAGGGGCATAATGACACAGTGAGGTGCCTTGATTGGTCTCGCAATGCCCTGGAGATAGCAAGTGGATCACAAGATGGCACAATACGACGCTGGGACCCGGATACTGGTCGACAAACAGCACCACCCATAGAGACTAGTCATGGATGGGTCGACACCGTCAAATATGCTCCACAAGGTGACAAATTCGCGAGTGGCGGCGTGGATATGGTGATCCGCGTGTGGTCAAAGGACGGCAAGCTGCTCATACAGATGGAGGGACATGAATACTGGGTGACGTCATTGTGTTGGTCCAAGGACGGCGCACATATATTCTCCGGGTCAAGCGATGGTATCATCCGAAAATGGCGGGCGATCGATGGACAGGAACTCGTTGTTTTTCGGGGTCACACCAATGTTATCAGATCGCTCTGCCTTACTCCCGATGAAAGCTATACTGTTAGCGCATCAGATGACTGTTCCATTCGCATCTTGAATCTCAAGACCAATCAGCCAGTCGGAGATCCACTCTTGCATGATGACAAAGTCTTTGCCGTTGCCGTGTCCCCCGATGGAAAATACATTGCCAGTGCTGGAGCAGACAAAAATATCTATGTATGGAGCCTGGAGGCTGCACTCAAAGTTGTGGTATGTGTACGCTTTGTTGCTTAATTTCCCTGCCTAACGTTTTTGACGATTTAGGGTGCAGATACAAAGCTCAAGGCAAGTCATCTATCGCCGCTGCTCTTTAAGTTTCACACCACATCTCACTTTGTACCAGGGACATCCAGCTCAACCGAAAGTTGTGCGGCAACCAATCGTGAGCAACTTCTATTTTCTCATATCTTTCGCTCGATTCTTAACGTCCATTCTCCATCTCGTACAACAGGCCAATACCAGAGGCTCGGCAAAATATGTTAGTAGAATTTTTCGTTCTTCAGCTCTTGCTAATTTGACTTGGATACAGGGCAATGATTTCTTCGGCAATGACTCAAGTCGTGCAGCTCCGTCTCCGAGTCCATCTTTCCTTCATTGGCGCAATTTGTTTGGTTCCCTCAGGTCCAGTGCCCAACCTAGAGATACGCTTCCACCATCCCCTCGCAAATCCCGGCATTGGAATTTCAGCTTACGTCCTCTAAAAAAGTCAAGCAGCATCGTCAATGTACCTCTGGCTCAAGATGAAGATGTGAGTAGCTTGCCTTCGCTATCCTTTTATCCCATCATAACACATTGCAGAGATATGGCATTGTCCCTGAAACCGATGAGGAAGCGGCCGCAGCTATGCAACGCACAAATGGCAACGAGGCCGACAATTCAATGCCAGCAGGGGCACAAGCGTCTCAAGCACAACCAATCCAAACACAAGGACAAGGCCCAACCGTCAGAGCGGAAGACTTTGTGTATGAAGGAGTGAGCTGCTGCGGAATTTTCTTTGGTCGTCGTCGTCCTGCTCCGCATCAGTCATGAAGGAGGGAAGACGTGTGGATGCACACACTCATTTTAACCTCCTTCCTCCACACCTGTGTCTGACCCCCTCGTCATCGATATTCGCATCACCCATACACTCGGATCCATCTCTTCGTGCGCTTCGTTTCTCTTCCGCCGCTTCCCCCCTATCCACACTACGTGCTGACACACTATCATGCTTTCGACGCCCTCTAGACTTTCAGTTTAGTGTACATACAGAATTTCCCACCGACCAACTTTCATTCTCCTGCACCACACAGTCGACACCTCATAGCACCACTTTTGCAAATGCATTCATATTTGAGTTCTTACAGAGTCATCAGATTCCTGCGTGTCTCGCTCAAGGTAACCCCCTCCCGCCATCAAGCTAACAGTTATCATGCAGCTGGTTGTACTGTAGTGTAGTCATTGTTAGTGACACGCTGAGTCACAACAAACGTGGATGCGGATTGAGATATTCGTGCATCGCGCAACTGATAAAAGTGACATTAATACATGTGAGTATCGTCATCGCGAAGTTGACAGAGAAAGTGGATGGAACCATAGCGTACAGTGTTGGACGACGATGTGAAGAGGACAGCCTGGGCAAGTTGACATAGCATAATCACTCTGCAGAATCGTATATTTTAACAGATGAGCATAAAAACTGCAAGACACAAGTACCAATGTCCAAAAGCCTGTAAGTAAGAGTAAAGAAATCACTGTGAAGGGTTGCTGAGCTCAGATAGCTCAACCCAGCCCTTCGTGTTTGTAAGCATGCGTAGAAAACCATCGATATCTTCTGGTTCTTCGTCGTTGGACTGCTCGGCTACTCCCGGTACCAGCAGTAGCCTCTCGAGGCGGAGATCAGATCGACGATCGGTCTCTTTCTTGAGCACAAGGACACACTCCACAAGGAAACGCCATATACGCGGATCTACGTACGAGGGGTAGTCCAGCAGATGACCCAGGAAAAAATATTTCTTCTCGCCGCATGTCACAGCATCTGATGTCGCCCATTCATCCAAGGGGCGTAGTTCCGCTGATAAAAGAACACCCTCCTTGTAACGCAAGCAAATCCAGATAAAAACCCACATAAATGATTCCAGATCGTGGCGATATATGTGTTTGACTTCGCCTCGTTGAGCCTTTGCGGTTAGAAGATCGAGCGCCATAAACGGTACGGTGCCCGTACGTTCGTTGCCTTGAGGACCCACTACATTCGCCAACGAGGATAGATCGTAGTCATTTAAGACACCGATTAGTTTGCCATTTTTCTTGTACCACATCAAGTTCCCAGGACTGATATCTCGATGATAGACCCCTTCTTCCCACAGAGTAAGGTGACCTGCTTGCTATGTCAACGAAGAGCCACATAAATTCAATCCAACACGTACACAGAATGCACTGACGCCAGATATCGAATAGCTCTTTGCCGTGAAGCTTCGTGATAGGGTGGAGTTTGCGGAATATGAGAATGTAAAGCACACGACTGCCAGTGGTGGGTTCCGGAACCCCGAGCGCTTCTCGGATGGCGGACGTGGGATTTATGAACGTGTGGTGCCAGAGCAGCTCCGGAATATGGTTTTTCACGGTATCGTGCGTCTCAGCGATCTCTTCAACCCTTTTCAAGATTTCCGGCTCACTAGTACGATTTGCATCTCCCCAAAAGATCTTGGCGACCATCCCATCCGGGAGGTTGTCGTATTTCTTCGCAAGCGCTTCGCTAGTAACAGGGACCACATTGGTGGCCCGTCCTTGTAGTCCGTAATGCGTCACTCTTTCGTCGTGGCTGGTGTGAAGCAGCAGATCTACCTCTCCGAGTTCTTCGTCCTTGATATTTAATTCGTGGCATTGTTTCCCCTCAAATTGGACTGGGAGGAAGTCCTTGTTTCGGCCCCAATCATGTAGCTCGAAGCGTTGTAAAGCGTACAATAACACCATGAATCGCGGGAGATCTTGAATGAAGTTGATTCCTGAGCTTTGAACGATGCCCTGGCGATCATAATACCAAATCCAGACCACGTCGTCTGAAAAAGCTATGGTAAGAGCAAGGCCAATCCCGATAGACAAATGAGCTCACCGACGACGATGAGATTAATCAAATAATTGACGGCAAGATTGGCCGCAAACATTTCAGCGGCATACAGGCCCGTCTGGACGGTCACATCCGGCTCGTCAGGCATGATCTTGGTTTTTTTTGCGGCGGATTGCAAAGTGTTCGTGGCCTTGCGCTTGGAGCTGGATCTACCCTGGGAAGGCTGGGCAGCAGTCAGGCCAGAAGATGAAACTACTGCTCGGCTGATTTAGTTTGATCTTGAAATCAGGAATATATCACTTACGAGCAGCGTCAGACGCAGGTTGTGCTATTGGAGTCTGTAAAGGGCCTGATGCCGGATCATGAGCCTTGAGGTGATCTACCGGCAGATACTCTGGTTTGGTAGGTATATAGTGTTTCACACTATACGAAGAGGGCAACGGCGGTTGAATCCCTTGCTTCCTCCCTGGCGTCTTTCTCTTGAACTCGATGCAAGCTAGGACATCTTCCCAGGGGAGTGGCGCGGGCGGCTTTGTCATTGCATTCTTGACCATGTGAGCCTTGCGCTTCGTGTTGTGTTTCATGTCGTCTTTCTCGTCATCTTTATTGTCACCTTGCTGTCTGCCCTTCTGTTTTCCCTGTTTACCGTCCTTCTCATTCTCGAAAGGAGCGCATGCACTTTTCAATGGAAGAAAGAGGCCATCAGGCTTCCGAGTTGATGTCACGATCTGGTGGTTTTGGTACATGGGCATGTCATTCTGCTGACAGATCATGTCCACAGCGGGGACAGGTGTACGCATCCCGTCAACCTTGATATCTTCAAGACAAGCGAGAGCGATGTTAGTGGCTTCTATAAAAGGGCTGTAGAAGTTGTTTTCTGCTCCCGGACGAACACTTGCGATCGTTGTGAGCGTGAAAACGTTCGATCAGCGAAGGAGTGCTCACTATTTTTTCAGGGCTGTCTCGACACCCGAAGAGTATATGCCTCCGGCGGAGACCTGTCCATTGCAAACCGGCAGAACTGCCTTCAAGCACTTTTGCAGGAGCTCGGGCTGTTTAGTCTCCGGAGCACAAGAAGTGCGCTGCAAGAGAGACTGCAGCATCGCATCTGCCTTGCACTGCTTAGCCTGTTCGACGTCCCTCTGAATCCATGGGCGTACTTCTTTAACCCTTGATGGAATTTAGGTGCTACTCAATACAAACAGGAAAGGTGCGCACCTGACACCGACCAGGCTGATGTTCTCGCTGACGACAGCAGCTCCACGGCTGTTTGGGGTAGATTTTATTTCACCAGCATCATGAGCTGGTGCATTTGCGCGTGGTGGAGTAGACGATGTGCCTGTCTCTCCAGCAGAGGCCATCACGCTAAATGTTGTTATGCTGACTGAACGTTGTGGGCGGGACTGGTAAAACTAAGAGAACAAGAAATAATGAACACTTCCTGCTTCCCTTATATCTGGTCGACCAATGTGGCGCAAATGTGGCGAGCCATCGATCAATCTGATGTGGATAAGTATGGCGGACTGGCAACAATTGTGGACCTACAGTTCAACTCCGACGACGCGTTCCCATCACCACGCGCACGTGACTCTGCATTACCGTTTAAGCTGCCCCGAGCTCAGGTACCTAGGCCTAAACTTACTCGTAGTTCCTCATAAGTTCAATATAAATGCGTAGAATTTTTCATATTTTTCATGTTACGAGATACTACTCTACCACACTGTAACGACTCTCGTTTATAAAAGCGCTTTTGAGAAACTTGATTTCGGAAATTATGTTCTCAGATCTTCAAGTTAGAACGAAGTCCGATGGGCGACGCTCGCGCTATCATGATTGAGTCACAGTCCTCCGTTAGCCTCGATGTTGTTGTCCATGAATTTATTGACTATGAGTCGTTGAGATAAATGTTTCATTCTCTTTTTGTGCCGAACGCTACCTGTCTCGAAAACAAGACCGTTTGCTACTTGAAGTTTATTGATTGTTGCTCTTCTCCCTCTACTAGTAGGTCTTCATCCGACTCTCCCAACGTCTTTGTGAGTGTCATAGAAATTGTGATTTATGAGACCCTAAGATCGTTCAGTGGCCATCCAGATTCCAGACCAACTCTATCAGATATCACCATGAAACAGGGTTTTCCGAAGGCCAAACGACGGGGTGGCCTGCATACGAAGCGTGCAAATAATAATATTAAGGTTCAAACGTCCTGCTTCATCTAGCTCTAGAGTCGGTGACACGATCTACAAGGGTTGGGCTGGTCCAAGCGTCAGCTGGGGGTAGAAGTTCGTGGGGTGGAACCGCTGGGAGGGCGGGACACTGACTCTTAAGCAATGTGCAATATTGAATTTGAGATTGAGTTACTCTATGCTAATGATGATATCTTTGAAAAACGAAAGTTCTGTGAAAACTGGTAAGGGAGGCAAAAGGGAGGTGCAAGCAATACGAGGTAATGGTCATTGGTCACCGGTCACCCCAGGACAGCGTGGGTGCCGGGAAACTCCGACGAGCTACTGCAGGCACGTCAGAGTTTTTGGAAATAATCGCGATGAACTTAAGAACTCAGCTCGATGATTCAAGTCGATTAATTGCGGGGGTGAACTCGAAGCGAATGAACCCTACTCCCATCTATCCGATTGGTCTCTTCCGTCAAACATAATCGATCATTGACCACCACGAAGTACATCATGATTTCACAGGGGGTGTATATGTAACTCCATGTCTATTGTGTCGAATTAAGTCAAACGTTGATGGAATGGGTCCTATTATATCATAATATATGGTGACCCTAGCTTCTCTTAGCCCTATCCTATTTATCCTTCTCAACTCTTCCAGCACGCCAGGCACAAAGTGGGATACTTAATCGCTTCCCCATGCAGTTATAATTCATTAGGTATGTTTTACGTTTTGGATCTACTCACGCACCACTCTATCCATGTTTCCTTCAGTTGATGGTCGCCTTGCTATCTTCGCCGTCTTACCTGCTTCCCTGGTTGTCATCAAATCCCTCCAATGGCTCGTTAGGAACAAACAGAACAAACTTCCCCCTGGCCCAGTGCCGCTTCCACTGTTAGGAAACGTCTTATCTATCAACACCAAGGAACCTTGGTTGACTTATACCGAATGGGCTGCTACTTATGGTACGTGGTCATATAGTGCTACGGTGCATATGTGGTGCAGATTATCATATCAGGAGACTTGGTTTTCGTGCGACTTCTAGGACAGGAAGTCTTAGTGATCAATTCTCAGCACATTGCAGAAGCCTTGCTGAACAAGCGTTCTCGCATTTACTCCGATCGACCATACGTAGCCACAGTTAAGCCGTGCGTGTTGTTTTACTGTTATGTTATCCAACCAGTCCGAGCTTCAATCAGATTTGGCTGGTCGGTCAACTTTGCATTCACAGGCTATGGTGACGAATGGCGTCTTTGTCGGCGCCTCTTCCATCAGACTTTCCGTCCCAACTCAGCACTCAAATTTCGTCCAATGCAGCTCAAGCAGGCTCGTGAGATGATCGTCAGCCTAATTGATGACCCTCAACATTATCGTTCCCACTTCGCAACGTTTGTGGATCTATCTGTAAACATCAAAACTTCATCAACCTGTTCACAGATTCTCTGTATCAGTCGCGATGTCGGTGACATACGGCTATCAAACTGGCCTTCGTGATGATCCTCTGGTTCAACTCGTAGATGATGCACTGGCCATTGGGATTGAGGTGGTGACTCCAGAGAGAGCAATCTTGCTCAAAACCTTCCCCTTCTGTGAGCTCAGTTCTTTTTCTCATGAAAATAGCTGACATTCTGTACTCTGATCCAGTACTGAAGTTACCTGACTGGTGCTGGGGATCCTCAATCAAACGCGAGGCTCAAGCTTCCACCAATCTCATGACTGAAACGACGGAGGTGCCATTTCGATATACAAAGCAGCATATGGTGAGCATCTTTCGTTTCAAAACATATTAGGTTTGTCCTAACCGTTAATCGTATGGTCGTGAAGGTCGGGAATTTGGTGCATGGTCAGTTTTCAATGGTGGCAGAAAATCTTCAGCGAATGGAGAGGCAAGACGAGGCATCCAAACTATTATTTGAGGGTGCCTTAAAGAAAGCAGCTTCTACTGCTGTTATGGGTTCGTTTTCTCTCTTACAGGGCACATTATATTGCTTTTTGATACGTTTATGCAGGTTCATACGAGACGGTTAGCAGATGTCTTAATTATATCGCCAATTGCTCAATTTCTTCACAGACTACTTCAATCTTGATGGCTTTTGCTCTCGCCATGGTTTCTTACCCAGATGTTCAAAAACGCGCACAAACGGAGATCGACTTGGTGGTTGGGCGGGATCGCTTACCTACATTTGAAGACAGAGCGTCACTACCATATGTTGAATCTGTTCTGCGGGAGACTTTGCGATGTCAGCCTATCGGACCCATTGGTAATATTTTTCGCTTAGCGATGAGGCCCGCAATAAAGATGATATTATAGTGCCACGTGCCACCTCGAGTGATGATATATATGACGGTTACTTTATTCCAAAAGGTGCGCCCTTTTCATCTAATGAGAAAACCATCGATAAATCATACTATACATCAGGAACGATTGTCCTATGCAACATATGGTCAGATACATTCTCTCCGTTGTGAGATGCTGACCTTATATTGCAGGAACATTTCACGGGATGAAAAACGGTACCCTGACGCATCTACGTTTATACCAGAGAGATTCATGGACGCCGATGGTGGGCTGACGGACGATGACCCAGCTGAATATGTATTTGGCTTTGGCCGACGTATATGTGCAGGTAGGTTGAATTGTTTCATTCCCATACTGCATGTGATGAGTCAATACATTCTTTGGTCAGGCCGGTATGCTGCTGATGCCTCTGTGTGGTCTGCTATCGTGACTATGTTGGCCACGGTGGAGTTTTCTCCTGCCAAAGATGACCAGGGCAAAGTGATCGAATTTACCCCCCAATTCAAGACGGGACTCACTCGGTACCTTGTTTTCCTCATGTCATTTCATCCCGTCACTAATATTTTCACCGCTTTAGTGCTGCTACGGTCTTTCCCTGCAGTATTTCTCCACGTTCTCATGTTCATTCAGGAATTGTGGACGCTTTACGAACGGGGGAGTAATATGTATATGGTCTCATCGTCCTTTTCTATGTTCTGACTTGGGCCAACTGCCAATCTGTCAGTCCCCTGCATGATCTTTTCGTGCCACATTGTTCTCAGTGTACTTATAACCGACAAGTCCTTTTTTCAGTTCGAATTGCGTTGGCACATATGCCTTGTTTGAGTAGTTTTGATTTTCTACTTTGTCTATATTTTATGGATGAAAATATGACGCTTCGATATGACACTCCAAAGCGAAGCGAACTTTAATAATTGCACGATACACCTCGAGTGCACGACACAACATATCGAAGTGTGCAACGCAGCCCACAAGTGTCGTGTTCCTAACATTACGATTAACTTGTATCACAGCGGAAAGAGTTTGGTTAGGGCAGCCAGCTGTCAAAGGTATAGGCAATGAAAGCTCCATGAAAAATACACTGAGTAGGTGGCAGCGAGGCACGAGATTAGATGGCAATACACGTCGCCGATAAGATGATAATACTGAAACCAGTCTGGGACTATTACGACGAAGGGCAGATGAGCTATCAGGGTCGTAGGGATGGATGGGTCTGGCCAGGTTCTTCCAACAAGCAGAACTACGGACTGAACCAAGAACTGAAGAAAAAAAGACAAAACTTGATTGATGCACTGAAGAACTAGACGTAGACAGGAGGATCGCTGGCTCGTTTCCCAGACTCAACGACTTAAATGGCCCAGTCACGGCTTTTGAAAGTGAACGAGTGATTTTTGGGCTGTAATGAGTGCCACTGAGTGGTGAGAGGCAGAAACGCAGAAGGTGATCAAGTGGCTCTGGAACGAAGTCTGTGGCAATTGTGCCATGTTCCACAGAAAAAAGACACTCGTTGTCTGCTAGCCTCGACGGTCGACGAAATTATTGACTGTAGGTCGCTGAGATAGATGTTTCATTCTCTTTTGTTGTGCCGAACGTTACTTGTCTCAAAAACAAGACCGACCTGTCAGCGATTCAGTGTGAATGTGAGACCGAGAGTTACCGTGTTCAAGTTGGTCACGTGAGTGATTCAGATGCGTGATGACGGTTGAATCAAGCGTTGAATAAATATTATTCCGGCTTGCACTACTTGGGAGCTCTCCAACGTCGTGTCACTCACTCAGATCCATTTCTTTCCTACCAAAAGTTTAAACAGTCCATCAATCGTGTTAAGAATTCGAGAGTTTGTTGTCAACAGCTAGGGGCTGTTTCGCTCAAGCTTCTCTCGTATCCAGGTGCAACTATTGTATGTGCTTTTGAAAATCATACAAAGAACGGTCATACGGATAATTTACTGATAAATCAACAGCCTCCCTCTGTCAACCAACATAGAACTATAAAGAGGTGACTATTTTAGGAAATACTTTAGCCCTTTGATAGTAGTTGACGTCCGCGTTGCTACTTAAGGTTTATTGATTGTTGCTCTTCTGCCTCTGGGCCTTCATCCCACTCCCCTCATCGTCTTTGCGCATATCGTAGAATCGTGATTTGTGACACCCTAAGATCGTTCATCCAAATAAATCGCCATCATGAAACGGGGTTTTCTGAAGACCCAAAAGGCCAAACGACGCGTTGCGAAGGCTGTAGATTCTGAGTCTACCAAGGGGCCACCGCCCAAGAAATCCAAAGATAAGGATTATCCAGGAGAGCGGTATGTCGCTATTATCGATGCTCGCACATATTGGAACAATTTCGTTGCAGCTTAGATGCAACCTCACGAGCCGAATACACTGATTTCAGCAAGATTGACCCCCATAAACTTCCCAAGTCTATCCAAGATCAAATTGATAATGACACAAGTTGCGTTGGATATGGCAAGAATCGCATTGTCTTCCGTGTCTGGCCTCGTGATCCTAATGGAAAAGCCATCAAGCCGTCTCCATTGAGAGGCAAGGAGGCCGGAAATGGACTTGATTTATGGGGTGCGACGCTCTACGACTTCTACAATGTTCGACGTCTCCCAAATGTGCCAAACTATATCACCAAATCCACGGGAAGCAGACTTGCAAAATGGATGCGCCAGGCTGGTGAGCTTACAGCGAAGGATGAACTCTTTTGGGCCGATCAGGAAGAGGATCCCAAAGAGATACCAGTAGCTGACATCGGGGAACTGATTGCGTGCTATGACACGCGCGTCAAATTGGGCATATTCGATCAGTATTCCCGCCGAAAGGATGTTAGAGAGCAGGCAAAATCACACTTCCTCGGTTCTACCTACATAGCAGAAGTCACAGATGAAGGGGATCCAATCCCTCCAGTCGGTGATAAGGACGATAATATCAGTACCAACCAAGAAGAGGAGGCAGTAAAAGCTGCCAATGACGATGCCGAGGAAGATGCAACCGCCGGCGTGCAGCTCAATGATGTTATGCTAGTAGATGAACCAGACAAAACATCACCAGCAAAAGGCGCGGATAAACCGACAGATGAACCTGCCGCGCCATTGCCGAGCATCGATTCGCCCTTCCATCCTGACCATTATCCCTCTCCACATCCCTTCATCCCGTGCACACACGATGGGAATCCGACTCTCCAACAGCGGATTCCTTTGTATCTTCTCCCTAAAAAGCTCCATGTCCACGACCCTTGGAATAAATTATCTATTAATCAGGGCGATGATGATTACGAAATTCCATGGCTTTCCAAAGTCGCCAACCAAAACATCGTCCGAACTTATTCCCTCTCCCTTGCACCAGAAGGTAAAGAGGCTGCGTTGAAGGCGCAGAAACTAGCCGAGATAGCCGAAGACGAAGCAACGAAGGAGAAGACTATCATGCGCATCTTTCCTTCTAATAAGGAGGGACCGACGGAAGAACCGTTGATCGAAGTTTTGCTCCCTCCGCGACCCCGAAAGAGGACGCAAGTGGAAGAAGCTCATCTCTACCTTTCACCGCGTGCAGTTGGCTCTGGTAATCATTCGGTTGTGCACAGTGTGGAGTGGGAGCTTCCCCGTGACCTTTTTATCGAGCCTCGTATGTGCAGAACTTGTGTGGAGTTGGACGCCCGTCGACAGATCCAGAAGTTAAAGGACGATGGCAAATGGGAAGCACTCCTAAACGATCCAGTGGGGAAACCTGAAGAATCCCTGCAGGCTGGCCCGCATATAGCCCCCGGAACAGAGTCCTCGCAAGCCTCTGGTTCGAAGCGAACAGTTGGTCACGTTACCATCGAGGAACTCCAGCTCCCAGAGGTGACTGCATCCTTCATCAGCCCAGATGATGAACTTTTGGACAAACCGGGTGATGAAAAGTCCGCCAATGCCAATGACGCTGAATCTGTACCAACTTTGGATGGGAATCCTCCTGCGGACTCTTCCAGTATCTCAACTCAAACGGGGAATATCAACATCGGTGTTGAAATGGACGTCATAGACGGGCAAGGTGTAGAGCCCGGAGCCAAAGTGGAGCAGGAAGAAGCGCCTGGCGTTGAGATGGAGGTGGACGAGATTCAGAACTCCGAGGAACCGAGCACGCTGGAGTCTGCTCCCAGGGAGGACAAGGGGAAAGGAAAAGAGGAGCCAGAGCAGGACCACAGGAACGAAGCACAAGTTGACACAGAAGAAAGTGATGAAGAACAGAGTGAAGAAGAACACAGCGAGGAAGAAATATTCACCGTTGAACCTCCGAGGGTCATCCGCGTCGCATCTTACTCTGGACCAGTTCTTCGCATCCATACTAATGAGAAGTGGCAAGCCTCCAGGAATCAATGCGGGCACGGCGGGGGTGGTTCGGGGACCGTTCCGCGCACCGCGACAGTCACTGTTGTTGCGAAACTCTCGATCGAACATGACCTCCACCTCGCTCGAGAGGCAAGCAACTATCAATCGTTCCCTGACCACTTCTTCCAACACTGGAACGGATATAATGTCATGCCCCCTCTGCATGATCCTGTTCCTGTCGGGGCACTCTGCCCGCAGTTCTACGGGTATTACACACCCGATAAATCAGCTGACGGCAAGGATCCTAGTGACTATTTGAGTCCGATCTTACTCCTGGAGTACTGTGGCAAGGAGATAGACCCGGAGGAGTTGTGCACGGACGACAAGCAAGAATGCGCGTCGCTTGTCTTTCGCTTTCATCATGCGGGGTGGTTGCACGAGTCTTTCGCAGCGCGAAACATTCTGTGGCAGCAGGGCAAGCCAACGGAGTGGCCAATTCAGCGGCCATCATCGACTAAGAGCTTCCGCCTGATAGACTTTGGTAGATCGAGAAAATTGGATAGCTCATTAACAAGGGCGTCCGAGGAAGACGCAGCCTTGCGCCTGCTCCACCTGTTGCATCATGCGCAATAATGGATACATTACAGTGAAAAACCGATAGAAATGTTTGTTTTCTCACATTGATGCTTTTCTTTTCTTGACCTTTACTGCTTTATCCATGCCACAGATCATTTGTACGAAGTGAATGTTGTTATTTCTAAAACTTGACACGTGTTTGGTAGATCACAGCAAAAATAAAAACTGTATCAGTCGACGTCGTTCCCTTCTATTACCTGCTCGCCATCTTCCGAAAACTTCACGTTATTCTGTAAAAAATTGTTAGGTCGTTGAGCTAGAAAGTATTATTTGTTTTACTCACAGGGTCAGACGATGATTTCCCAATATATTTCGTGTGATCTGATGTAATGCGATTAGCCAAGTGTCTCGACGTGCTAAAGACAATATTTACAGCCATACGCCACTAAATCGCCTGTAGAATTGGTAAAATCCACGCGAGTATAGGCCAAGGATTTCCCTGCTTCGGTGAGCTAGTAGAACATTATAGCAAATCTTTGCATCACTGACCTATGGCAGTAAGTGTGGCTCGTGCATGAAGGGTATCGCCTGTCCTGCCTGCAGGTCGTACAAAGGATGCACCAATATCGGTCGAAACGCCAGTCATGTAATGACCTTTGCTTGCAACAGCGAGTGAACCGAAGGGTATCAGTCAGCGACAGGATTAGGCCGCCGTGCACGGTCTGGTTTGGTGTGTCGATAAGTTTGATACTTGGAGAAAGAAAATTGGATACGTACCCCGACTCTGTTTACTGGAGAGATATAAGTGTTTATGACAACAGGAGAGAAAAGTACGTACAGTTAAATTGATCTATCTTCAGCGAGAAATCAACTGTTCCGGGAAGCTGCGCGGTGAATAACGAGCTGAAAGACCTGGTCAGTATCGGATGCAAGTCAAAAATTTAAATTCTCACGTTGGGAAAACACTGTGCATCATGCCCTAGCTGCTGTATTCAGCGACTCGCGCCAAAAAGTGCTTGGTGGGAATACCTTTGTTGTCTATAAATGATTTCCACACCTGGCATAGTTTCCTGTGAGAAAGCACAAGCAAGCTGTATAAAAGACATACCCTTCGGGTGAATCTCAAGGAAGCAGACATTATGCGTCTTTCCAGTCGGATATGCCGTCCGGAAAACAATTGATGTTTCCAAAGGGAGAAGGAGGTTGTTTGATTCCAAAGCTCTTGCCAAACAATGGCTGCTGCCGAGACGTTGGATCTCCGATCGGCTTTCTCCCTACTGCGTCGTCGACTCGAACTACGTCTACTCAGCCATTTACTAGCGTCGCCCAATTGTCTACATCTACCCCCTTCAAAGTACAAATCATGTCCGACCTCTGTCCCGTCTACGCGCCCTTCTTTGGTGCCATGGTTGGTTCTAAGCTTTTTCCTTGTTCGCTTTCGAGACTGAAGAGTCCATAGGGCTGCACCTGCGCAATTGTGTTCACTTGTAAGTGTTCTGAACAACCGTTGTCGGAAGCTCTGATCTTCTGACGCATCTTTGTGCTTGTGTGTGCTAGGTCTTGGTGCAAGGTCTGAAACTTTTGCGTTGTAGGTCTTATGATGTATTTAACATTTTGCACAGTTATGGTACTGCAAAGTCTGGTGTCGGTATCTCCGCAATGGGTGTCCTCCGTCCAGACCTCATGATGAAGTGTGTCGTCCCCGTTATCATGGCTGGTATTATCGGCGTATGTCCTTGCTTTCCTTCATCTTAATTGCCGTCAGTTCTGATAGTGCGCAGATCTACGGTCTGGTGGTGTCCGTCCTCATTTCCAGTTCACGTGTGTTCTATTCCTGCCCGACATTCTGGATGCTGAATTGTATCTAATCTAGTGCAGGCGGAGATGTCCCTGGCGCAAGGATTCATTGACCTCGGTGCTGGTTTGTCAGTCGGTCTCGCTGGTCTTGCCGCAGGTTTTGCCATTGGTATCGTCGGTGATGCTGGTGTCCGTGGTACCGCACAACAGCCACGACTTTTCGTTGGAATGGCGAGTTTTCATTGGCTTGGTCTTGTTAGGGACAAATCTAACATGCTGCGCAGATTTTAATCCTCATCTTCGCTGAAGTTCTGGGTCTTTATGGTAAGACGATATCTTGTATAGACGATGTATGGTATTGAATGGTTATCTGTAGGCTTGATTGTTGCACTTATCATGCACACAAAAGCTGGAGAGTTGGTAGGAACGGTATATTGCTTTCCTTGATTTCTACTCGTTTTATTAACATAACTTTTGCAGTGCGTTTAGAAAGATGACGGACTTCATTATAAACCTTCAATGCTGTTTTCTGTCTAATACATCCATGTTTATCCTTGCCCTTGCATGTATTGTCTGCTCGAGTGATGCATCTACGGCCAATGATTACCCTTTGTTGTGTGAATATGTGTTTAAAATACTCGTTGAAGATTGTCAGGCCCAGCCCCCCAGGGACAGTGACCAAAATACTTATTGTGGCTCTTAGAATCGCCGGCGTGGCCATCAAATACCGTCTTCTTCTTATAACTTTTTGTTGCAAGCACCCATGTTGCTTTAGCTGTCTTCGACTCCTTGGAAGACTTGAAAGGCTGTGATTGTCAGAGACTTTATTGATGGTTTCTTTCACGGCGCTGTCCAAGACGTTGCACCTTCTCCTGCTTACGTTGCCAGCTCTTGCCGTCTCGGTCGCCCTTCCCTCCTCCAAGAATGACCCATTTCGCGCTATAGTTCTCGCACATCGCAAGCATGAGCCCGAGCCACCTCTCTGCTGCCTGACACCACCTCCGTCTATAGAACCTCTAGATGATGTCGAGGATGTCCTGCTCTCGTTCGAAGAGTGGAAGTCCAAACAGTTTCAATCCCAATCCAAACCTCAATCACAGACTCAGCCTCGGGTGACGGCTCATCCACAAATTGAAGCGTTAGAGCACACGGAGTCAAGTGCTACCCATGAAACTAATGTCACTGTGCCGGACACGTCTGCACACCTCCCGGAAATAGCACTTTCCCCTCACTTCAGGGTACCTATCACGGACCGCTTCAATTATGCAAACCTAGACTGCTCCGCACGCGTACACACTTCTCATCGCTCTGCCAAGTATTCTTCGTCTATTCTGTCATCAAAGAAGGATAAATATATGCTTTCGCCTTGTTCTTCAAGCAAGGAGGAGCAGTTCGTGGTTGTAGAGTTGTGCGAGGATATCAGAATCGACACCGTGCAGCTCGCAAACTTCGAGTTTTTCAGTGGGGTGTTCAAGGATTTTTCGGTCAAGGTCGCAAAGACCTACACGACGTCTGATGACGGGTGGGTACTGGCAGGTACCTACAAGGGAAAGAATGTCCGTGGTGTGCAGGCGCGTATCTCTCCCCAATTTTTGGACCTTGTCGTTGACCGAGGCACAGTCTTTCCACACCCCAACTACCCTGCGTGATTTCTACAGGTACATCCGTATCGACTTCCATTCACACTATGGACATGAGTATTACTGTCCTGTCTCCCTTCTTAGGGTCTATGGTCTGACCCATCTTGAGCAATGGAAATGGGACATGTGGGAAGAAGAGAGTCATAAACTCGCCCGAGCTCAAGCTCAAGCATTTTCCTCCATAACGGAGCCCCTACCCATCAGTTCCGGGGGATCTGAACTGAACAAGTTTATGGACGAGCTTGAGGCTCGGAATATACCTTCTGCATATCCTCCTAATACCCCACTTCCCACAACCAAGGTTCTGTCTACGGCACATATGAGTTTAAGTAACTCTCAGCAATCCAAGGCGGTGAGCGGGACGTCCAGCTCAGTCAACTCTTCCGTTCAATCCACGGCGTCTCCGCTAGCCATTAGTCTTACCGACTCCGCCACCGTGCAGCAGCCTACCCCGTCCGCTACCTCTACATCAGTATTGAGTTCCGACACCAACGTTACATCTTCTTTCGACACCGCCAAATCTTCTACAGCATCCCTCTCGCCTAATGAGAGCACGTCTACACGATCCCAAAATCTAATCTCTTCAGAACTCTCGCATACCTCTAATATGGACGCATCTTTATCGCAATCTTTATCTTCATCATTATCATCTCATCACAGCTCATCTGCGAACACGCTGTCGACAGCCTTGCCAACATTGCCTACCCCTCCACCCGTCGGATCAGGTGGAGAGTCAATATACCGCACAATCATGACCCGATTGACTTTCCTGGAGGCAAATCATAGCCTGTATGCACGTTATGTGGAAGAGCAAACTGCTGGTGTACGCGAAGTACTCAGGAGGCTCGGTGAGGATGTTGGCAGGTTGCAGAGCATCGTGAGTTCCACCAGACTCAATTTCAACGACGTGCCTTATACATCTCTCAGAGTCGCATACAAGCACAAATGTATCAGCGCACAGTTCACGAGTGGGAAAGGCAGCGGCTTCGTCTGGAGTTCGAACACAGTGAATTGCTCTCGCGAGTAAATCATCTTGCTGAAGAGGTTAGCTTCCATGTCCTGGAAATGATAATGGTTGCTCATGATATTCCAAGGTCACTCTTGAAAAGCGTCTTGGCATTGCACAACTTTGCCTGCTTCTGGCAGTGCTCGTGTTCATTGGCTTAACCAGAGGTGCACCGTCAATAGAACCCCCTCAACTTGTTACTCGTTCTGCGAGAGAATGGGGCCGGCGCAACTTGAGCTTCGCTAGCAGTAATGCTGAACGTGGCTCGAATAATTTACTGTTCCGAAGTCGCAGTCCTGAGATTCCTGTCGGCAAAAGGTCTGAACCTCAAAAGGATCGTCCTTCACGCCTAGATTCTCCTGTGGACTTTCCGTCTCATCGAGCGCAACGGTCCTCCGATCATGATCCCATTCCACGTCGACCCCCTCATTTTATTGCCTTCGCAGATAAACGATCCACCCCGCGCGGCTCCACCACAAAACGTTCCGGCCCTCCATTTGCCAATTTTGCACTCCGCACCCCCACCCGCCGCATACCTAATTCTAACTCCACAGAGATATCCACACTCCCCCGCGCCGCTCACATGGTGCGAACAAACTCGCACTCATCAACAGGACTCATCATTCCCAAATCCACCAAACGCTTGGCACGGACAGCTCATCTGCACGAAGTCAAAGGCTCGCTAAGTCGAAGGGAGAACCGGAGCTCAAAGCCTGGAGAACGAGAAAATGATTTCGAAGACGTGTTCCGTGGTCCTTCTATGAAGACCCATCATCATTCGCGACGACCCCTCTTCCCGGTTGACTTATCACATCAGCCAAAGGACGTGATATCAGAAGATACCACTGACCCTGACGCGTGGGTTGACACCGATGTCGAAGGAGGGTCCGAATGTTCGGAATTTTCTGCACTCGATCCCTCCCTTTGATATGACGATTTTTTGATGGGCCTTCGAGGTTCGGAGCTGTGTGTTAAGGGAAGGACTGCAATTGCACATACCATAGATATCGTCATGCCGCATCGCCACAACTGAATGCTGATGCATCGGATGACGCATACAAGACTTCACAAGCTTCTGACCGCGTGGCTGTTGAACTCGTGATTTTGAATGCAGCCTTGGTTACGCCATATGTCCGAAACCAATGTTTCGTAGTCTGTCCTACATAGTCGCTATACTGGAAATTTGAAAAAGCTCTTCAATTCCTTGAGCATTTAGGGATTCTGTAGGGATAAACATTTCTTGGTTATCAAAGAAACAGGCTCACGAGATCAATCCCAGAGAGTTCATTCTTTGTGATAACTATCTCTGCGCTCATATGTGCTATGATCGGGATGTCTCCTTTCTGATTGTAATGGTCGGACTCTCAGCACTGTACATCGTGATACGGGACCCTCGATTACTAGACTCAAGACTTTCCATCAAGGCAGAGATCCATGAGCTAAATTTCGAAGTCAACGTTAGACGAACAAATTCAACCTGCGCAGTGCGTCCCATCTTCGTATAGCCTGACAATGTTTATCACCAACAGCAATGATCGCGCTTCGACGGTGTCTCTAACTCAAGCTTAGTGGACCACGAGCAAGACTAGACACTGGTGATCATTTTTAGATAAATTCAAACATGCACATTGTCGAGCAGTATGAACATTTGTACAGAAACAACTGTATCTATTGGCTCCGAACTGGATATTGCGCCATCAACTAAGGCTCCAACCGTTTAGTTTACATTTACGATTTTCGAGTAAATAAACATAAACAGTAAGTAGACGTTTGTAAACTGGTTTAAACAGTTTGTACACAGTTATGTTTTACTCGTTGAAATCAAAGAGACCCTGCTGGATCCATAGCTTCGCACACATTGACTGTGTCACGGTGGCTGCAGCAAGGGAAGATGGTCGGACTAGTGATGTTCCGGCCTGGCTTGGGCTCAAAGCCGTGGCTTAGGCTTGGCTTGGAGCGGCTCAGGCTTAGGAAAATCAGAGTCCTGAGCCTGTGAGCCCAAGCCAGGGGCTTGAGCCCAACAGGCTGTGGCTCAGTAGGCCGATGTCACATGGCAGTCAGTTGCAGAGGATTAGGCAGGTTGGGAGTGGGCAGCGCACCTTGTTTGTCTCCTCGACAACTTTCTTTCACTCATTCCTCTTCTGCTTTCTCTTTTCCCCAGCACCTTCCTTTCTCCTTCGCCAAAGTGTCGTCTGCATTCGCCTTAGCCATGCCAGCAAATGTTGGTGTGTGCTGGGCGCATGCGCTAGATGCTGGTTGTTGCTGGAGTAGGGTAGTGGTTGCGGCAGGTGGTGGATGTCATTAGAGACCAGATACTTACTGACAATGCAGAAATTGAGCAAGTTTCAGCATTGGACGTCAGAGAGGACAGGTTGATTGGCCTGCTAAAAACCTAGGCAAGGTAAGCGGTGTCTATCACAACAAGTAGATACACTTACAATCTATTATGCGTGTCCTGATTGCCCGAGCATCTTGCACATCTTTGAGGAAATGTTCGTGCTCCTTGACGCCAGGTGTTACAAGAACATCTTGATGCTTGGGCCCCTACCATTTTTCTCCTCATCATCCTCGTATCAGCCCTCACATCACACCCTTACCCCGACCTTACTCTCGTCATACTGGTTATCCTCGCATTCCCCTTCGCCCTCTACCTGTCGCTGCAGCAAAGCCAGTACATCTGGCTGGATCCTTTTGATGACGAAGCATACCCATGCTCCGTCCCACCACCTGACTGATCCTGTGGACAGTCCCTCTACCCTTACCATCTGGACGGTAACCTATGATACGACGCATGCTGCGCCCCCTCTACCCAGTTCCCTTTCCCGATCTATGACTCGGTGCGCAGTCATGCATGCGCACTTATACTTAGCTCCGCAGTTGCATGATCGTGCCCCTGCGCATTTCACTTCTTGTTTCGATCTTTGACTCATTTCTTTATCAGCACGTTCATGTTCACTCGTGTCTCACCTCGAACGTGCTTTCCTTTTATAGTCTTACCCTTTACCATTTACCGCTCTTGGTAGTACGAGTTATCACCCACTAATACGCTTCCTGTCCTCTATATAAACTCGCTACCATGTACCGTATTCCTTAACTTGAATCTACTTGGTTCTTGACCTCCTACTCTTACCAGAGTGATCCTTTTTGCCTAGCTAGTAGTCTATATTCTATCTTCTTATCTGCTCTTTGCGGATAAGTCCTTAGTCTCGATCTTTACTCGTCGACTTCATCGACGAGCAAAGCCCCTGTTAACTAGTCAGACTTCTGTCCCTCTAATTAACAACAATCTTACGATTAACCTTCGGGTGTCGTAAGCCTTGGCAGATACCGCTTATCGTCTAGCATCCGCTTGACATAAGCTACCCGATTTGGACATAGGTGTTAAATCTTACTTGCCGAAGCCTCACCAAGTAAGACCCCTAACCTTGGGCTAGCCCAAGGACGTCCTTGACCATTGACGACACACGCTCTGTTTGAGCGTCGCCAACAGATACCATCCAAGTCGTAACACCAGGTACATTGAATGCTATCATTAATTTTGTCAGAATGATATGGATCACGGTACTACAGTCCACGTACTTTGTGAGTAAGCACCGACAGCTATGACCAACTTGTTGTAATGTAAATTGAACGCGTTACCAGGCATCTGAAATGTGTTGTTTAGTATATCATGATCATAGGCTTTTGAATGGGTACCTACACATTGCTTCTATGACAGTGCCATTGAACATGCCAAAGCTGCAGCTCAAGCCATTGGCTCAGGCTTCTCAAAACCCAAGCCCATGCCCAAGCCTTCCTCAGGCTGTGACTTAGGCCTGGGCTGGGCCCGGCTTGGGCCAGCCCAGGGCCTCAAGCAGGGCCGTGCACATCACTAGGAAGACCGCTGGTCAGTACACAAGTGGCATGACTTTGAAAAGAGCCACTCGACAGGAGAAATGGCACCTGGAATGGCAAGGATATCACGCGCAATGCGAGAGAGAGTCGGAAATTCATGAGAATGGTCCTTTGTAGATAGTCAACTAGTTTTTCAAGTCTGAAATAAGAAAAAAATGTACCTTCCACCATATAAGAGGCATGCTCAAGGCATTTGGGTCCTTGGCACCCTGTGCAAGGATGGCATAGCGCTCGAACTTGGACTGGATGGGTACTGTCGATGTTGGGTGGGATTTGCCATCAGGACGCAAATTAATCAGTGACAAAAGAAAAGAATCTTCATCAGGAGAAGCTGATGGTGGAGGTATGTGAGATGCAGTAGGAATGACTCCTGGTGTTGCAAGCTCATAGTGTGCAATGAAATGTTCAAAAATTATTTTTGCTTGAGTGTATCCATTGTTGTCGAGGTTACAGAACCACTCGAGGCGGAGCGCTGGGTGACAAACTAAGTACACATAGCACAAAATCAGTGTTAATGTATAAAATTAGGAGAACTCTACTCAACTAGTTGCAAGAGTGTTGAAATGGTTGTTGTTGAGCCATGTTGAAGTAATGGTGAAGCTTCCGCAACCCAACTGCACATGCTTGCTGCAGTTTTCCGCTGACATTATTGTCCAAGGTGGCTGACTGCAAAGCTGTTTCCATGTGGTGATACATTGGGATTGCCCATGGCAAAGTTGGTGTGTTCGAGCGTGACATGTAAAATGTGACCTTGGTGAATACCTGCAGGATTTTGTTGACTCGGTGTGCCATTCTATTTTCTATAGTATGACGAGACTCACCTCAAGAATGTTGGCAAGCTGCTTGAGAAAAGCCCACTCTTGGCTTGATAAATAAAGCTCATCATGGAGCTCTTTCCTTTCGAACACCCATTTCTCAATTGCCTGGTAGTATAGTAATGAAATTAATACATGTTGAAATCAAAACACTCACCTTGCGGAGCATCAGTGCTCTTTGAATCATGGTGTGAGTGTAGTTCCATCGAGTGGCAACATCGTGAATGACCATTAGGGTGCACAGTAGCTTCCCTGAAGGTGCCTTGAGGTTACCAAAGGCCTGCTTGAAAAAATAAGGGGGTTTGGTAGTTAGTGGTCAAATGTGTCATGTCACACTCTTAACGCACGTCCAACGTCTGCCTTGTTGGTGTCGAGCAACCCATTTTCTCTCTTCATTTTGTCTCAGAGCAATACAAATAGGCTGCTGCAATATGTACCCACTTTGTTCACACCTGGATTCTCTCAATGACATTAAAGCAATCAATTCTGTTGGGTCCGAGTCCTCCCCTATAACACCTCGTGTCAACTTTCATGACCTCCCACAAGTGCTGTTTCTGGATCTCGAGCTTTCAACGAAGCCGCCATGTCAATCTTCACCCACCAATAACCTGCTTTATAATGTGGGACAACTAAGTTCCCAAGTGTGTCATTCAACTGTGGAATCATTATGGTGCATCGTCATCGCATTCTTTCCAAGGACGTGCAATTTTTACCTCAGCCAAGACTCACTTTGTGTCGCACGAGCAGTTGCCAATGATGGTACCAAAATCAAGCAGTTGCCATATGACAACTTCAACTGGATGTCACAAGCTTGGGAAGTATTAGCTATCCATGGGTCGGCACAGCATCATCAATAAGTGGAGAACGTGAATTGAGGGTGCAGACATGTGTATTGACAGAACAGATGGGTGTGGTCAGATGGGTGTGGTTGGATTGGCCTTGTCACTGGTGCGAGTGCTTGATGAAGGGCTGTGTGCACATTTACGAACAGAAGGCCAGCAGAGTGTCAAATTTTCGTCCATTATGAGTATATAATTGACCTAAAATGAAGGATAGTTGAATAAATAAGAGAAAGACGTGTCTAACGGTTGCTCAACACTGACGAGGCAGACATTGGACATGCGTTAAGAGCGTGATGTGACACATTTGACCACTAACTACCAAACCCCCTTATTACCTCTGGTTGGATCCCAGACTCTACTGACAGGGTTCCCAATTTGGGATGTCAGTTGAGTCTGGTTCGAGACTAAGTGAATTCGTCCCAATGTGGTGCAGTGGCATTAGTGCTGCCATGGTCCGGTCCAGAACCATGGTTTGAACTGGACTTTTGGTCCGGTTCTCCTTGGTCCGGTCCATGGTTCTCACATCAGCCAGAACTGGACTGGAACATCATGGAATCGGGCAAAAGATGTTTTTCATTAGGTTATTTTGGCAAAATTTAACCAAAAATATGTAAATTATACTCAAAGATAAAGCACTGCATGAGCCTCAGCAAAATGACATCTTACAACAAGAAAAGTTCAATTCTGATGAAGACATGTATGTCTCACAGATGTGATACTTAGTAGATAATTCATTGGAGAATGCCCTGCATCTCTCTAAAACAGTGGTCACCCACTGTCTTTGTGATGGTCATTTGTGTGGCTAAGGATAGTGTGAAGTCAGCTGTGAAGACACCTGCGATAAACCTGAGGATTGAAAATGCCAAACTGCAAGGGTCATGTGAGTGGTACTTGATTGCAATAAAACTTTGCTTACCTTGTCATAAGCAAAAAGCTTGGTACACTTATCAGTATTGCAAAACTGGCCATCTTCCCTTGTAGGTAGTACATCTATCAACTTGAGAACATCAGGTCCAGGTTGAAAAAAGGATAAGCAAACTGCAAAGTCAAGTGATCTTAATCTGTGGCCAAAGTGTTGCGCCACCATGCACGCAATGATGCAGTAAACACTGAGAATGAAGGAGATGGAACACAACTTCTTTGTTGCGAGTGAGGTATTCATGATGGATGGTACTGAGACTAAGCCAATTAATCCCCAGGACCTACCTGGCAGAGGAGCATCATGGACACCAACAACAGCTGATTAAATGAAAGAAGTCAGCACGTACAAGACAGAATTGAAAGACTGGCGCATGGGCCAGGCCATTACCAAGCAGCAAATTGCTGGAACGATTCCAGACTCCCTGTTCATACAGATCAAAGGTCTTGCAACTGTGAAGGAAATTTTCACGCATCTCTCAAGCCTATTTGAACAATGTTCACACATGGATCCATTGAGCTACTCCGGAAGCTCCAGGATCAAAAATGCCCTGAAAAAGGGAACATCAGAGAACACTTTGACAAAACACGAACAATTAGAGAACAATTGTCATCACTAGCACACGCACCTTCTGACGAGAGCTTTGCGACAATGATAATGAGTTCATTACCAGGTAGTTATGACCTCCACCTATCAGCATTAACAGCATCCGCAAAAGTCTGGAGTGTCAAGCTCACCTACGACACACTAATGTCCACCATTGTCGACAAATACAACCACCAAGCCTCTAAATCAAAGAAGGGCGGATCCTCCAATGAAGATGCTGCCTACAATGCAAATTCAAGTCAGCGCACTCGCAGGGTAAAAGGAAATTGCTACAATTGTGGCAAATATAGCCACATGAAGTGAGATTGTCGAGGACAAGGAGGTGGAGGAGCTAGCGGGGGCAAGGGCAAGGACAAGCGAGCCGAAACAGCTGCAAGTGCAATGGATAAAGAAAAGGATGACAAACCTGAGGGTGTGGTTAGCACATGAAACAAGCACATTAGAAGAGAAAACCTCGCTTACCTTCGCCACACTTGCAGACTCAAACAGAAAGCAGGACACACATATCAAGTTGTTTGAATTGGATGCCTCACACCACATGTCGTCGTACAGAGACCTATTCCAAGATTTTTTCAGCATCATGCCCAAACCAATCACAACAGCTGACAAACATACTTTTGAAGCAACCGGCAAAGGGTCCCTCCTCATTACACTTCCTAATGGGCAGTCAAGCACTGGAATACTCCTCAAAGATGTCCTATATGCACCAAAAATGGGCATAACACTTGTCTTCATCAGTCATCTCGCCACTGCCGGATACGCGGCATTATTCTGTGAGAGCTTGTGCAAAATATTTGACAAGAAGAAGAAGAAATTAGGGGAAGTACCAGTGAACAAAGGCCTTTACTGCATTAAAGGACTGAGGAAGTTATTTGCTGGGGTAGCAAGCACAAAAGAGGCACTCACAATGCACGAAATACATGCCTGGCTGGGACACATGGCTCCTAGCACAATTGCGCAGATGATACATGATGGTGCAATCACTGGAATCACCCTCAACCCATCCGAAACAACCATGGAGAGTTGTGAATCCTGCAAGTATGCAAAGGCCATGCATAAACCAATTGGGAAGGTCCGAGATCCTCCGCAGCATGAAAACTTTGGGGATGAGGTACATAGTAACCTCTGGGGCCCCTCACCTGTTAGAACACCTGGCCATAAAGAGTACTTCACATTGTTCACCAATGACTGCACTCAATTTATGCACCTGTATCTCCTAAGGACAAAGGGTGAAACATTTGATGCATACAAAATATTTGAGTCCTGGGCAAACACGCAGTTTGATGCCAAGGTGAAGAGGCTGCATTTGGATTGAGGGGGAGAATTCACTGGAGAAGCATTTTTATGTCACCTTCGCAGCAAAGGTACTGAGAGAAAACTCACCGTCCATGATACTCCAGAGCATAACGGCTTAGCCAAGTGTCTGAACCGCACACTAGTTGAATGCACACGTGCACTCCTACACGCGAGCAGGCTGCCTAAATCCCTGTGGGGTGAGGCCATAATGCACATTACCGGCTGAAAAATAGAACGACCACATGGGCGCTCAATGGTATTACACCCTACAAAGTGTTATTCAGAAAGAAACTGAATCTGGAAAACTTACCGGAGTGGGGCAGCTGCATAAAGGTTCACTCACCAAATGGATCCAAGCTCGACATGTGAGCTGTGGAAGGCAGGTGGGTGGGATTTGACCATGCCAGAAGTGGCCACCACATTTACTTTCTGGACTCAGGAAGGGTTGCTGTCGAAAGGAGTGTCACATTCGACATAATGGAGGTAGATGTACCTATAGTCGGAGGCAACGAACTGCCAGACCACACAATATGAGGCTATGATGTCGGTTCATCTCCCAAGATACCAGTTAGCCAGACAATCCAAAGCTCTAGTAGCAGTCCAGTGCTCACCCGCCAGGCACCAAACTTCCCACCCAACTCACCAGCTCCTCCTTCAGATCAACCCACTTTGAAGAACCATCCCAACCACGCCGTTCAGTGCGAGTAAGAGCAGAGTCAGCATATATAAAGAGTCTTAGAGATGGCACAGGGACCACTGATGGTCAAAGCGCTGACTTACCTCAAGGTATGTGACCTGCGGGGGAGTACAGCAACTTAGCTGCAGAACTAGGAATCACTGAAGTCTGTGGAGAGGCAGATGAAGACGATGAAGAGATTTTTGCTATGGTAGCTGGAGTTGCAGAAGTGGAGGGAACGGATCCCACAATGCTGCAAGAAGCCTGCAAGAGAACAGATTGGCCAAAATGGGATGATGCAATAAAGAAGGAACTCACTGCATTGAAGGACACCAACATGTGGTTGATCGTTGAAAAGTTGGATGGAGCGAATATAGTCGGATGTAAATGGGTGTTTTGGATAAAGAGGAATGCAGATGGAGAAATCAATAAGTATAAGGCTCAATTAGTCGCAAAAGGCTACTCACAGGTTTACGGTGTCAATTATTACGATATGTACATGCCAGTCACACACCTTGCTTCTCTTCGAACCATCGCAGCAATCGCCATGCCTAATGACTGGAATATTGATGTCTTTGATTTCCACAGCACCTTCCTCAATGGCAAACTAGACCCTAATGAGGTCATCTTTATGCAACTACCACCCAGACTCAATGTCAACTCACACTTCAAGCACCCCGTCACATGCCTGCATGTCGCACTGTATGGGTCAAAGCAAGGAGCTTTGAAATGGTACCTGGAGCTATGTCGCTTGATGAAGAGCCTTGGCTTGACAAGAGCAGAGTTGGACTGGGGGGTATTTTTCAAGCACATAGGCACGGACATCCTTCTTCTCGCATTGCACGTTGATGACTGCACTATCACTGGCAGCAACTCCTCACTCATCACTCAATTCAAGCAGCAAGTAGCTGCGCACTTCAAGTTAACGGACTTGGGACCAGTCGCATCCCTTCTCAGTATGAAAGTCACTTGTGATTGTATTGCTCGCACTATCTCATTCTCACACGAGACCTATATTGACGCAATCCTCGCCAAATACAATTTTGTAGATCTAAAACTGTGTTCTATCCCCATGGATCCCAATCTCCCTCTTTCGCATTCGCAGTGTCCCAAACACCCAGCCGAGTCCACACGAATGAAGAATGTGCCCTATCGCGAAGGCATAGGCTCGCTCATGCACCTTTCCGTCAGGACATGCCCTGACATCGCCTTTGCTGTATTGACTGTTGCACAATTCGGTGCAAATCCAGGTATGCCCCATTGGGAGGCTGTAAAACAAATCTATTATTACCTTGTTGGGACAAAAAGGCTTGCACTTACTTTTGGCAGCACCAAGCATGGGCTTGAGGGTTTCATTGACACCAATGGAGCATCACAAGAGCACAGACATGCAGTATCTGGCTACGTGTTCCTATTGGATGGTGTAAAGAGTAGATCTGGGCTGGGCTCTATAGAATGTGAGTCCCTATTCCTGAGAGATGCGAGTATGCTTCATCCCAAGAGACAACCTAAAGAACTACCTTGATAATGCAAGGGAAGTCTTATACAGTCAGAGAGTAGACAAGATATTGGAAGTAAACTTTTCTAATGTTCATCCGAAGTTCTGAGACTATGTCTGAAGTACCAAGATATTTGTCTGATGCAACCGAAAATCGTCTGAAGCTGCGAAAGTGTTGTCTGAAGTAGTGCAATGCCTTCTGAGGCTTGCGAGAGCTGTCCAAAGATCAATATATGTCGGTGTGTCAATGTGTTGGTATGTCGATGTGTCGAATAACAATATAAGACTTTGTGAAACGTCTGTAGTCCCGGAACAACGCTAATCTATCGGGACTCAAGAATAAATGAAGTGCAGAATTGGCAGTGGTCTAGCCAAACAATCGTTCTGAATGAACTAAGATCAATTGCACAGTTACGAATATACCGAGGTGACTCTACTAATTATGACTTGAAGTATGGGAAGTGAAGTGAAGTATCAGTAGCCAGCGAGCGAGATTATATCCTACTTCCGTGAGAGACCAGAATCCATAGGCAAAACTAGTAGCGAGATAAGCAAGTCCGAACCTATGTAATAAGCCGTGATGCGTACTGTTTATATGTATTCTGAGGCTCCTGACAGGACGCTGATGGGATTTATCCACTAAGACATAGTCAACATATAGTTAGAATAAGGGAAAACACACCAGTGAAGTCAAAAGGACGAGGATAGGACATGATATGGTAACTCGTGAGGTTCGGATGGGCCTCAGAATGCAAGAACTGCCTGCAGAAGGTTTGGACAAGTGCGTGCAGCCTTCAGAAGTCAAGGGAGGTTGGGGAATGCTATGGGATGTAAGTGTTGGATTGCCTGGTTCCGAGCCCAGCCCCACAACCATTGTTACAACGGCGGTGCCATATCTTGGGGGTTGAAGAAGCAAGAGTTGGTCACTCTTTCCATGATCAAAGTGGAATATGTGGCAGCGATGCACGCCGCCAAAGAGGCCATCTGGCTTTGATGCTTCATCAGCAAAGTCTTCCGCCTACCGTTCTTCATTGTGACAATCAGTCTGCAATCGTGCTTGCTCAGTCTGGGGTGTTTCACGCCCGGACTAAGCACATAGATATCCAGTATCACTTTATTAGATTTTCTGTTGACAAAGGCTTGATTTTTTCAGTTTACTGTCCTATGGACAACATGGTCACAGATACCCTTATGAAACCCCTTCCCAGTTTGAAAGTCAAGCACTTTGCCTCCACCCTCAGACTACACTTGGTTTGAGGGGAAGTGTTGGATATTGAACTCTCACTCAGTCCTTCGGTACCGTTGCTTACTAACTATGTACATATTTTTGTTGCTCTTCGCATTAGCTTGCTTGCTTCCCTCAGTTGACTCCATCTGCACTGAGCTGATTGCTACATGGGAAGCACCTGAAGGCGTAGTGGTGTTAATTGTTCCTATCCAGGGGATGACAAATAGATAGTGTGACCAATCTAATCAGCATTGCATAAGATATTCCCACCTTATGTGTATTTAGCCCAAGTGACTGCTGAGTGCTGCGTATATTGCTAAAGTACTGCAGCATAGGTTTCCCCCCATTGTTAGTAACACATATGTTATGCTATAATTGTTACTAATAAATGTGAAAATCAGTGTTACTCAGGTGAGCTGCATGTAGTGGCCTGTAGCACTATAGCTGTTTACTACAGGATGCTACTGTAGTACTGTAACCTAAACATGTGACTATATGACAGGGTATAGTAGGCACTTGACACATTGGACTACAGTTGCTATACTGACTATATAGCACCCTGTAGACAAGGGTATTTTTGCTGATGTATTCCAGATCTTTCACTGTGTGCAAGCGAGGTCTGCCGAAATATTCAAATTAGAACACTTGTCTGGCAATGTATCTTCTTTAACTTCAGCTCTCATTAATATAGGCGTAAAAGCCATCACTTGCCAGATAGCTTGTTTATAGATCCGGCCCTCACCCAGAAGCCAACTTCAGCACACAAGTTGCATATTGGAGAATGCACAGAGTTCTTAGTGGGTATCCAAAGTTGCTGGTAAGTAGGTGGATGTGTTGCAGAGGAGCCCAGAGTATCACTTACAAGGAGTACTATTTAGGTGAACTCGGTGCTCAAATCACTAGCAATCAGTGTGCCCATGGATTGGAGCTGTGGAGTTTGGGCACTCCTGTGTTCACACATATCTAAAGGCACATCTCATAGCCTGTGTCTGCTTCACAGCTTAATTGCTGTATAAATGAAGCACTCAGCTCTGCAACTAGCCACATTTACCCTCCATCTCACATGCTTTCCCCAGCCTCTTTTGAACGTTTGAAGGCTGTGCAGCATACCGTCACTGGACGATGTGTTCTGACACCTGCAGCGAGGGCTTGCCTTGCTCATAGTGCTGCCGTGGTCTGGTTTGGTCAGGTTCACAGAGGGATGAGCAAGAACCAAGAACCGGACCTAAGTCCAGTTCTACCAGACTCGACGAACCCCGAACTGGACCTTTATGAATGGTTCAGAATGGTCAGGTCCGGTTATTTTCGCGTTCGAACGTGAACTGAACCCAAAAATTTTTACAGTGAGCAAAAAAAAATGTAGATATTTTACAGCATGCAAAAAAACGTAGATAGAACTTGTACTCGTAGCTACACATCCAACACAGCTGCTTCTGCCTCAACCTTTGCAAAAACATGGCCATTCTTGTATGCTACCTTCAATAGCTGCAGCGAGCTGAATGTGGATGCTGCGAGCCCATTGCGTCGAACAGTAGAAGTGATCCCTCTGCTCGAAAAAGCCTGTTTGGAGGGGACAGAGCTTCCTTGAATGGGCAAGTAGTCTCGTGCAATGCATGCTAGAGTAGGATACTGCAATGAATGAAGCTAAGGAACAATTTAAGTAGAAATAAACAGGTCATGATGAGATTACTTACTCCCCACCAGGCAACAATGTTGTCAGCTTCCTCTAGTGGCAAAGACAGATACATCATGAGTTCTTGACGAGGATTATAAGCACGTTGGTCTGCGGCTTGACGTGTTTTGATGGCCTCACACATCCACGCATCACCATACCGATTTTCGTGCAAGGGTCTTGTTGGTGGAGCGGGTTCTTTGGCAGGTGCCCGAGTTGGCGGTTTATAATACTTGTCAAACTATAAACATAAGTTCAGGAAGGATAATGAGCAGTCAGAACTAATACTACTTACCACAGCCTTGAGGTGAGCCCTCCCATTCGCAATGTCTCAAGTGTCCCATCGATCTTCAACATAGGCAAGTTTGTAGTTGGGGTCAAGGACTGTGAATATAATTAGATGTGCACACAACATAGAAAATAATATTAACACTTACTGAGACAAATGAAATATACATCGGAGTCACTCATTTTCTTGTAGTACTTGTCAATGTTCTTGAGTCCTTGCTTGATTACATCTGCAATCAGCGTGTACTGGTCATTGTTTGCCATCTCTTGCCACCAGTCCACAAGGCATTCCAATGTTGGGATCATTTGCGATGCAGTTGGGTGTTTTGCAGACGAGAATGACTGCTGGGCAGTAGCTGGTTCCTTCAGGACTTGATGAACAAGCGGGAGGTGTTTCCAATCATTCCGATCAAGCTTGAAATCATTGTAAGACTTGTTGCGAAGATTCAGTACTTCTTTACTTCCGTCGGCGAGGTTCGTGAAGCAGTTCACAGCCTGTTCAAATATAAATATCAAACTGATGAACACTGATTAAAAAAGAAAGACTTACCCGACGTAAGAGTAGCATGCGATCAAGACACTTGTATAGAGAAGCCCAACGAGTCCTAATCCACTGCAATAACTCAAGCATGGGGACGTTCTCTTCTTTGCAGGCCTTCTTGAAGAAGGCATGAGCTTGAGGCTATTTTCGAATCTAACAACACCAGTCAGCAAGAGTATAGAATAGTAATGTAGTACTTACCTGCTCAATGAGCGCAAGGGCTTTACCAAGCGAATCACCAGTGTCGAACACATCATCCTTCTTGCAATCACCATTTACTTCCATGGCTGCGAGCTCCTTATTCAAAATGTCAAGCTCATTGTTGTTCCCCATATCGAGCGCCTGATGGATCTTCTTCATAAGCGCAGCTTGAGGAGTAGGTGCAACGGCATCTACAAAGTGTCGTGTGGCAAGGTTCAGTATGTGCTCCTGGCATCTGATGTGGTGTGTGGCAGGTATCCACTGGACACCCTCTGGATCAATTTCATGAGTGACCTCCTTCATTGCAGTATCATTGTTGCTTGCGTTGTCAGAGGTCATCCACCCAAGCTATATGAATCATTAGCCTTGCTGCAGGATAGTAGGCCAGACCTTACCTTTTCTCGGAGGTTGTATGTGTCAATTGAGTCGATAAGCATACGAGCGATGTTTTGCCCACTGTGATTGCCCTCAATATGTGTGAAACTAAGCTGCTTGCGACATAACCCCCATTGCTGGGGTTTATCATCTGTATTCCAAATATAGTGACCAGTGATGGAGAAAAACAGGTCACCGATGATTGAAGTCCAGGAGTCGAATGTCATAGAGACTTTGCTATCAACTTTAGCAAGACACTTACATATGACATTGACTATGGCTTCTGCGCATGCCTTGATGGTCTCAGTAAGCTTCATGCGGTGAGGGATGTCATGTTCAGTAAGGCCAGAGCAAACATAGCAAAGTAGGTTTCAGAATGCTGGTTTGTCGACCAGCTGTAGCACCTCATCTTCGGTCACAATGAAGTCCATTATGTACTCTAGGAGACCGGCCTTGGTGAATGTAGGCGCTTTGGTGACGAGTATACTATCAAGGGTAGATTGCCTCGAACTGTCAATTATTTAGTGCCATGTTATACAAAAGGTTAGTTAAAACTCACAGTGCCTGATCCTTGTCAGCTGGAATAGCGCGAGGGTGCATTGCAATTCCTGCAGCTTGACAACGAGCCTTGTAGAGTTGAAAGTGGTTTTTTTTGCTGATAGATGTGTTAGTGTGAAACATCAAGAGATGAAAGGACATGAACATACCGACTAACGTGAGTGCGGAGTGTAGAGATTCCTCCTCAAAATATGTGCCTGCTCTCAGGTTCACCAGTGTCCCTATCAAATATCAGTGGGAAACAATGCACACAGCACTAACTACGTACTTGCAAGGGTTGCATACCCAGTGTGTTTCATGGTGAGTGAAGGTGGTGTGAATGTTAGCAGTATGTTCGCTCTTTGCCACTTGCGCGACCATGGGTTCAGCGCTGTCCTCAGTTTCAGCATCGTCCCCCAGTTTGGATTCATCTTCGGCTTCAGGCTGGTCAGTGCCAGGCTCCAAAGGATCAGTATTGTTGCCAGTGTCGTCATCAAGGCTATCATCATCAAATAAAGATGGTATAACTTTCTTGCGCGCTGGTTGAATTTTGTTAGTGCTGGATAAAGCACATTTTTGGCTTGTTGAGGAATAAATGTTCTCAGTATCCTGCAGGCGAGCAGATGGCTTGGACGTGCAAATGGATCGTCAAGAACCAGCTATAACTGGCACTGGTTTGCAACCTGTGAGAGTAGGTGCAGAGGAAGGAGTAGGCACAGAGGAAGGAGTAGATAGTGGGACAATATCATCAGGATCATGATAGAAGATGATGTCCTTAGCATCCTTAAGAGATCCATCAGTATTGAGGGCGCATGCGTCAGATTCAGACATGATGATGAGTGAACTCACCTGCTACTTGCTCCTTTTAACTGCTAACAAAGTGAACAACCGCCATGGGGGCAGAAGTTGAAGCTAAGTCAAAGTCGAAGTGACCATTGCTAGTAGTGTGTGCCTCACCAATAACATGAGGACGCTGCGGTTTGGGGTTCAGAATGGTTCGGGAAGGTCCAAAACTATGTCCGAACTGTTCAGATGATGGTGGACCATGAACCTCTTTCAGGTCCAGTCCGTCCAAAACTTGGAACCATGGTTCGGGACCGGACCACGGCAGCAATACTTGCTCGGAATCTCGGAATCTCGGATAAGCTATGTAGGATAACTTGTGCCGTCCCAAAGAAGAGGATTAACCTAGCAAATTTCCCCTATATCTTGCTTTCTTTACTAGTATGCTGTAGGCACGCTCGAATTCAGATTCCATCATTATTATAATTACATACTGGTCATGTTCACTGAGTCCATCCTTGCTAGCCAGGACGAATAAAATTGTATCCTACCTGTCACTGCTGCGCGCGCTGAATGCTAATTAATGAGCTCCAAATGAGTTTACTTCTAATGTGTTGACATATGAGATGGGTTTGACTTGATCACAATATACAATGTTTACTATTTCGACTAGTAAGTGAATGGGATACTAGACTAAATATGACCACCGCCTGGCAACTACGTCAGTGTAACGATCAGACTTCAACTTATCGATACGATGGAATTTCTCGACATGTCGTTGCCAATCATCTGCTTCTTTGCCTTCACGGTAACGACAGTAGAGCTCCTCCATTGGACCAGCGAGAGACTGTCGTTCTAGTACGATTTGCCGTATGAGATACTTTGGAATATCAAACAAGATAAATGTCTGAATTCCACTGAGAGGGAGCTCCGCCAGTCCGCCGTGGGGTGTGGGGAGCAGCCCCATTGCCAGGGCGACATTGTTGATCGCCCCTGGTCCCAATGTTAATGTTTCGACCGTGAGCATCTGGGTGAACAGGCGACGGATCGTATCAACATCTACACCACGTGAGAAATTAAAAAGATGGAGTTCATCTAGCTCCAGAGGAGTTTCAGGATTCTCGTCAGAATCAGTAAGATTTACCAACTCATCGAGGATATCTCCAACATTTTCCTCCTCGAAGTCCTCTGTATTTATACATAAGGTCAAGATCCGGAGTTCAGGCATTTGAACATTGTGAAGAAAATCCACGGCCCAGGATGACATTGTGCTCGACTTGATAGCCAGGCTATGCAAGCGAGGCAACTCGATGGTTTCTGCAGTAAATGATGAAAGGTCCACCTCGAGCGCCAGAGTCCGGAGGTTGACGAGTGTGCCAAGGAACTGCGACAATATTTTTTCTTCAGAACCGTGGTTTGCATCATCGTTGCCTTCATTCATGATAGAAAGATAATGGATCCGCAGGTCCACGAGATTAGCCGATAACATGGCTGATGATGGCCACGCCCAACTTATGCCAAAAATAACAAGATCACGGACGGGAGGCGTTGAGCCAGGGAAAAGCGATGGTTCGCTGATATAGTGAACTGCATGACGTGGATTGTGTACGAATTGAAGATGTAGTTTTTCTAGTCCACGGGCAGAATGAGCGGATGGGCGTGACATCAACAAAAGCGCTTGACGTGTGTGGGCAAAGGAGGTCGTCCTGAGCGTAAACTCGCGCCAGCGATGCACATGGGCATATAGCTCCTGAATGACCGAGCCAAGATAGACACCGGCCATCATTTCTTCATGCGATGGGGGCGGTAATCCTCCCTCAATCTCTTCTTCACATAGTGGCACAATCCAAGCGGGGTCATCCCAAAGAAGTGTGATTGAAATGAGGCGTGACCCGCCACGCTGGAGAAATGTCCGCGCATGTTCAAGAGCTGCAGCACCTTCGCGGAAGGAGATTTCCAGTACAGTCCACATTGATGGAGTCTGTGATACGAGTGAGTACCAATGCTTGCAAACACTCATAGCTCGCGAGAGCGTTGATGGAGGTGGAGGTTCATCCACATTGCCAGCGCTAAGTGAATCTGCTAGGTCGATTTTCCACTGGTCATAATCACCATGAATAAATTCTTCTCCCCAATCGTCCCAGTGACTGTGTATGAGAACATTTTCTTTCTCGAGATAATCGTTCAAGGCAGCTTGGTCTTCTTCGCATACCAGCTTGAAGATCATAAGGAGGATGTCATCCGAGAGCCGACCGTTATGAGAAGCGGCCATCTCGACTGTTGGAGAAGTACCAAGGTAAGCAATCATAGTTATGGTCACTTTCCGACTCCCGAGAGACTTACCCAGAGGTTCACCACCGCTACAACAAGTCACCAACAATGCGACTCCTCGCCGGTTATAGACTTCCGTTCAAACCCTCTAGAGTCTGCCTTAGCCAGCGAAGGAGGACAGTCGTTCCTTCTCGCTAAGAGGCCTTTGAGCTAGGAATTAGAACGGAGACTCGGTTCGCGAAATTCTCAGTTGGCTTGTCGCTTCAAAAAATCATTACGGAATTTAGGGCTCGGTGAAAAACTAACCACGGAGTTATGTAAACGACGACGGCCCGGGGTTGTTATAACATTCGCGTGACTGAACGCGCATTGCCCTCTTCTTGAAAGGTAAATCGGCCCTCCGAAGAGCATTTTTCAGCAGTGCGTTGAGTCAGTGATGAATCACGATCACTGTCAGAAAATCCTAATATGGGTCGCTGGACTGTTTCAAGTTCGTCATTTACTCATCCAGTGTTCAATTGTTGTACAGAAAAGCTGATAGGCTCCGCCGTGGAATATTGAACGTCGAATGATTGAATGACAAGCAGAGTTTGTACGAGCACCATCGATCTTGTGACACAGCTGTTTGTAGCGGTCTGATGTTTAGATGATGCAAATATATTTCTACCTGAATTCAAAGATCTAGGCCTTTCTTTGCATTAAGAAATATCACGGGTTCGTAGTCCGCTTTTAAATACGACACTATTACATAACTTGTAGGATAAAACTCAGGGAACATCTGGACAACTTGAAGTACATCAAAGTGAAGGCATCTTGAAACGAGCCTCATGCAAGGCCCCCCGTATCCTTCTCACTATGCTCCTTCTCCAACTCGTCGTCGTCATCGTCTTCCTCGACATAGTCAGTTATCCTCCACAATATCTTATAAAGTCGCGAATAGAATGGCGACGGTAGGATAGAAGCAAGCAGACATGTAACAAGTAGCGCGAAAGTTGCGCCGGTAAAAATCTGAGCTGAAGTCGAAGAGGACATAAAGCCCGTCAGAGAGATGCCTACTCGAGATGTGCTGATCAGGCATGACATGGTCTGGCAGGGGACAAGAAACGTACCGAAGATGAGCAGCAGTAGTGATATAGCAAAGATATAAACTGGAATTGACAGAGTCATGATGTGACATAGAAATAGCCACCGACTTCGTTTCAAAGCCTATTTGAGGTCAGTACCAGTTTGCGGGTTTCTATGCATTTGCTCACTTTGAAGGTTTTCTGCTTTTGATAACTGTGCCCCACGACAGAGGTGTAGAGCTGAAATAACAGACTGAACAATGAGAACACCAGTGACTCCGATAGGAGTGTATAAGGTCCATCAGCAGCGTAGTCGATCTGTTTCAGAGGGGGCGGAGTGGAGATAAAGACCGCAACAGTCGTAAGGACCAATCCTTGCTATGAAGAACGATCAGGGAGGATTAAGCGCTGAAAAATATACCGATATACCACAGTACTCAATTGATTGATTTGAGTGAGGTATAGAGCATGGAAGTTTTCCCAACCATCAGGCTCTCGGAAGATATCCCACATGAAATTCAAATCTGAGTGAAATGCCAAGCAAAAGCACGTTATGTGGAAGATCAAACGCGGGAAGAAGGATGTAGGAGGTCGCCATCGAGTGGGGATGGGCTTGGTTGGCTTCGTACGTGTTTTGTGCGTGTCTGGGGCATCATTGTAACCTTCCAGCTGCGTTTCGGAGTACCTAAGGGTGTCATATGAGACGGTATCAGACATGATGGGGTTGGGGATGGAAGGGATGAATGAACGGTGGATATTTAAAGCATCTGGTGCCGGGCACGCTTCGGATACGTACTAAAACATTCGTTTGGGCGGCGCACAGCAGTGATAACATGGAGAGTGTCATCATCACCGTTAGCAACGGCGTTGTGATGTGATATTCCTTACTGAGTATGAGCGTTTACCAATACCACGGCACTTCAGCGAGCTCCGCAGCACTGTTGGCACTGAATCGGACGCACGTCACGGTTGAGCGCTGAGCATGTAGCCATCCCCCTAATCTGTAGCCAAATTTAGGTGGGCGATGGAATGCATCATATTTGTGGCTAGTACTACCGCTATTTGGTTTTTTCCTGATACAGTCTGACCTGATAATCTCGTTCGTTAGTATTTCCGTCAAAATCCCTACAGAACTGGTTTCGTTGTAGGAGTTTTTACAGAGTAATACGTATATGTTGCTCACTTTGTTCGTATTCTGTAAGCACGCTTCAGTTTCCATCATTAATACATGTTCAACCAGGACGATTGAGATTGCCACTGCGAAGATCCTATCTGTCACTACTGACTAGTGAGCTCCAGATGAGCTATTCTGCTACCGTGAAATGAGTTTGGCTGAATCACAATATTGAACCGTCACGTACATGAGCAAGTGAGTGAGGTACTAGGCTAACGTGTCCACCGCCTGGCAACCACGTCAGTGTAGTGGGCAGACTTCAGACAACCGATACGATGAAATTTCTTTACGTGATGTTGCCAATCATCTGCCTCATTGTCTTCACGGTAACGACAATAGAGCTCCTCCAAAGGACCAGCAAGCGACTGTCGTTCTAGTACGATGCGCCGTACTAGTTTTTTTGGACTATCAAATATGACAAGCGTTTGAAGTCCAGGGAGAGGGAGATCCGGCAGTTCGTTGGGCGCGGGGAGCAGTCCCGTTGCCAGGGCGTGATTGTCGGTAGCCATCCCGGGTCCCAATGTCAATGTTTTGACCGTGGGCATCTGGGTGTACATGCGACGGAGGAGCTCAGCATCTACAAACTTTCCGAAATTGAAAAGATGGAGTTCATCCAGCTCCAAAGGATCATCAGAACCGGTAAGATCGACCAATTTGTCAACAATACTATCGTCGTCGTCATCCTCGGAGTTATCCGATGCGACACACAAGGTTAAGATCCGGAGATCAGGCATCTGAACATTTTGGAGAAATTCCGCAGCCCAGGATGTCATTATGCCCGACTTGATAGTCAGGCTGTGCAAACGAGGCAACTCGATGGTGTCTGTATCAAATGATGAAAGGTCCACTTCGAGCGCCAGAGTCCGGAGGTTGACGAGTGAGCCAAGGAACTGTGCCAACATTTCTGCTTCCGGGCCCGTGCGTGAATGTCCACCGTCTTCATTCATGGTGGTATCATAATGGATCCGCAGGTTCACAAGATTGGACGACCACATGGACGATGATGGCCAGGCCCAACTCATGCCAAAAAGAACAAGATCGCGGATGGGAGGCGCTAAACCAGGGAAAAGCGATGGTTCGTTGATATAGTGAGTTGCATGACGTAGGTTGTGCACGAATTGAAGATGTAATTTTTCTAGTCCACGGGCAGGATGAGCGGACGGGCGTGACATCAGCGAAAGCGCTTGATATGTGTGGGTAATGGAGGTTGTCCTGAGCGTAAACTCGCTCCAGCGGTGTACATGTGCATACAGCTCCTGAATGACCAAACCAAGATAAACACCAGCCATGATCTCTTCACGCGACTGGGGTGGAAATCCTCCTCTATCCCTCTCAACATCATCCCGATAAACTGGCACGGCCCAAGTGGGATTGTCCCAAAGAAGTGTGATTTGGACGAGACGGGACCCACTACGCTGGAGAAATGTCCGCGCGTGTTCAAGAGCTGCAGCGCCTTCGCGGAAGGATATTTCCAGTACGGTCCACAACGACGGATTTTGAGACACAAGTGAGTACCAATGCTTGCAGACACCCATAGCTTGCAAGAGCGCTGATCGGGGACCGGGTGGAGAGTCATTGATATTGCCAGCTCTAATCTGATCTTCTAACTCGAATTTCCAATGGTCATAATCACAATCAAAATCCTCTCCCCAATCGTCCCAATGTCTGTTTATGAGGTCACTTTCTTTCTCGAGATAATGATACAAGGCAACTTGGCCTTCTTCGCATATCAGCTTGAAGATTATAAGGAGGATGTCATCCGAGAGCCGACTGTCATTAGAAGCGATCATCTCGACTGTTGGTGAAGTACCAAGGTAAGCATAGTTATGGTTAATACTTCTAGAGACTCACCAAGAGGGTTCACCGCCGCTACAACAAATTGCCAACAATGCGACTTCTCGGTTATGGACTTCCGTTCAAACCCTCTAGAGTCTCCCTTAGCCAACGAGGGAAGACAGTCGTTCCTTCTGGCTAACAGGCCTCTGGACTAGTGGGAGTTCGAACGACGCTCAGTTTGCGAAAATTTTCAGCCGTGTCGCTGCAAAAAATCATTACGGAATTTGCCCCGACATCCCGGACCTTCGCCAACTCGAAGTCTTGAACATACATTGATTTATGCATACCTGAGTGACTCGTTGGCCCTCGACCGCCCAAGTCAGCGTCAATGTCAAACCAGCGCTCTCTGATTCACAACCCCAGTGGAACAAATCTCAAGTGACCAATCGACAATGTATCATCGTTCTCATTGGTTCATACCTTGCTCTGTAATTGGTCAAGCTGGTGCCTGTAAGTACTACCCTTCTGATGACGTAAATATTTACTATTTACGAGCTCGAGCATTCGGCGGCCCGTTTTTCTTGCAATACCTTATATCTACGTATACGAGACTACGACACAAATATCCATGCTTGTGACTCTTACTCAGTAACTCTTATGTTCTAGCTAGGGACCGTTCAAATACCAGTCGTCCTATTCGCACGTCCAGTGTGCTGAATGCTGACTATAAATGTTTAGGACCCATACAACGCCTTTCACACTCGAAAGAGACTTCGGCCGCACCACAGGCGATGTTTCGTGAGCAATTGACTTCAAGCAACGTGTGCAATTGTAAAATTTCATCCTGTGGTTGTGCTGTGCGTGTTCAAAGAACATTCTACTCACTAGTATACGCACCGAGGCAGTGTTGTGAAGTAGCACAGGCTACAGGCGGTGTTTGGTATATTCCATTCGAAAAACATCAACGTGCGCACTGCGCAAGCTGATATATTGTAAATATGATTATGGGTATCAATTCCAGAATAATGCACAGCTTCCTCATGTACCGCCCCCATCCTCATCCCCACTTCCACCGCCTTGCGCGTAGAACACCAAATTCGGGGTTCGGTTTATCGCGAAACCTGACACCCCGCTACCCCATCTTCTACAATGTTAACTTCTACCATGTAGAAATCGGTGGTCGAGCATTCATAATGGGTCAGCTGCCGCAAACACCGTACCCGCGTGTACGGGGACACTGAACTCCGTAGCAGACAGCACAGGTATGTCTGCGTCGTCGGCTACTGCTAATGAGGATGCACTCAAGGGTTTACTGCCACCAAGCATATGAAGCTCCACGGCTTCGGTGTCAACGAAAGTGTCGACGATGCTGGGTCCCCCCGACAAAGAAGTGGGCGAAAAAGTGGTGAAGCTTAGTGGGCGAGTATAGAACTCTGTGCTTATGCCTGCTGATGAGGTATGGGCAGATAGTTGAGCAGCACGAAACAGAGTTTGTTCATGGTGGGCCGCAGTACCCATGTCAGACCGAGGAACGCCATTTTGGAATGTGCGTGGCCACCACTTGTGCAATAATAGCGACATCACTAATATATGCCTGGAGTAGTGGATGCTGCGTCCAGGGGTCGCAGTTGAATGTACAGGCGTGGCTGTATTGGCGACGGGCACAGAAGTGCCAAGAACTGGGGCTGCACGAGGTGAGCTCAAGGATGTAGGTCGGAGGCATGCCAAGGCAGAAAGTGATAGTAGGAGTGCGATAAATATCACTGTTGAGACGTGTTGTCAGTATCTTGAATTACAAGAGTCATGGTGAAAAGAGGAAACCCTAACAATGGGTGAAGGAAACAAACGGGAAGATCAGGGAGCTAATTGACCCTATTCATTGCCAAGGATTGGAGGAACACAAACTCACCAGTTATGATAATGACATCAATCATGGTATGACGATCCATGGACCCGGACTGGTAACTGCGGACGACCATATTCCCAGCCCTGGATGCTGGGAGTGACTTGATAGGTTGGGTATCCAAAGGGGCCATAGACGATATGTACTAGATGCGCGGGAAGGGTATTAGGAGGCGAAAGACAGAGAGTGGTAGAATCCAAGGATTTGTGGTAGGAGACTATATAAGCATGGCTGAAGATACAAAAAGCGCCCAGCTGTCAGCGCTGCATTAGGTGTCTTGATTGGTGGAAAGTAAGCGACCCAGAGGTTGGCACAGCTTGGTGTATTACCCGGAGCAAAGAGCCTAGTTAGACTTTGCCCCAATCCAGTAGACTTCCACTAAGGCAAAAGTCACTCGTCCGAGTATTTCCGTGTAACTACGTTACATAAAAGTGAATTCTGCGCAGGTGCCGGGGATTCGGAATGCAGAGGTGCGAGGTCCACAGCAGCCAAGCAAATGATCATAAAGCATGAACTAAAGTGACGCACCGTGGCCACTGGCCAACTGAGATAGAATCTCATTATTCGTATGGGTCGACTTTGGACCGATTGCAGTTCCTACAGTAAACACGAGGTGGCGTTGATTTGGACCAGATTGGACGTGTACTGGTCCTCTTGCACCCGGATTCCAGGATATCGAACATAGTACTATAGCTATGCGTTCGACAGGCTCCACATGAGAAAGTTGGTTCGAATTGTAGGATGGTCACCTGCCACGAACAGAGCGTTCCGGAACATGCCTTCCGAAAGTTGGCAGTAAAGTGGCTGTGTCAGTTATCCTTACGTGGCTCTTGCCGCGTCGGCGAGGCGAGCCTCAAAGCCTTCAACTGCAGGCGACCTTACAGTAATGCACATGGCTTCCGCTATTACTCTGTTGTGCCTTCTTCTAACAGTCCCCTTTGGTTTCATCATCTTTACTGCTTACACAAATAAACTTTCCAAACGCTCGGCACAAGCTCGCCGCACCATAATCAAGAGCCTTGGCGTCCCCACCACATCAAACCCCCAGTTTATCGGTTTCTTTCATCCCTACTGGTAGGTTTCTTCCACTGAGGACTGGGCGATACTTGACTCGTGGTATTTTTGTAGCAATGCAGGTGGGGGAGGTGAACGTGTCCTCTGGACTGCTATCGCAGCCACCCAACGTGCACATCCTGATTGCATCTCATTAATATATACTGGAGACGTCGACGTGACCAAAGAACAAATAATAGCTCAAGTCAAAGCACGCTTTGATATCTCTCTTGATCCCAAATCTTTACATTTCGTCTTCCTAAAGAAGAGACGCTTAGTGGAGGATGCCGCCTGGCCGCGTTTTACACTTCTTGGCCAGAGCCTCGGGTCCATGATCCTCGCTTGGGAAGCTTTAGGTCAAGTCATACCAGATTTATTTATTGGTAGGTTTACTTGTCTTGGATGCTGTAGAACTGTCGGTGCTCATACCGCTTAGACAGCATGGGGTACGCCTTTACATTCCATGTAGTTGCATGGATTACTAGGGGCTCCATACCTGTGGGTGCATATGTACATTATCCAACAATCAGTACGGATATGCTGGCTCGTGTGAAGGCCAGAAAGGTGGGTCATACAAACCGTGGAGATGTCGCGGGCTCGTTGATATTGAGCCGCGGAAAGATGTGGTGAGTACAAGTGATCCACCTTCCGGCTTTCATATTATTGCTCTGTCCAGAATTCTATCTCCTGCTGCGGTTCGGTTTCTGTATTGTGGCACTTATCATAACACACTCTTATAGGTATTATCGTTTCCTAATGTATCACTACTCCCTGGCACTCTCCCGCCCTTCCTTCGTTATGGCCAACTCCAGCTGGACAAAGAACCACGTCGATGCAATACTCTCGCACTCTGACCCTGTCATGAGCACGTTGCACTTTCTTAACCCCCTTCTTGCCCTTCGTCTCTTTGCGACTACATTCAAGTCGAAAAAACTTCACATTGAATCAACAAGCAAGAAACGAGAAGCCAAAATTGTTTACCCACCATGCGATACTCGCGAGATGGCACAATTCCCATTGGACGAGAGGGAAAGAATTATACTGAGTATAGCACAATTCAGGTATATCTTCATTCTACTTTTCATTCGTTGCAGGCGCTCAAGTGTCGCTCATAAAGGCCAGAAAAAGACCACCCTGCTCAACTTCGCGCTTTTGCACAGCTGTTGGCCGATCATTCAACTTATACTTCGGGTTCCTCCTCTGTGAAACTGTTCCTATTGGGTGGCGCACGTAACGCGGACGACCACGCCCGCGTGCAGTCCCTTAGAGATCTCGCAGAAGAACTCAAGATAACCCCCCACGTCCAGTTCATCGTCAATGCAAGTTACCCCGAAATGCTCGGCTGGCTCGCAATGGCGAGTATCGGGCTTAGCACGATGGTGGACGAACATTTTGGAATCAACGTCGTTGAATTCATGGTGCAGATTCCTTGTTTCACTTTGTTTGGTTCTGTAGCAACTCACCTTGAACGAACTAGGCTGCAGGTGTGATTCCTGTGACGCACGCTTCTGGTGGTCCACTTCATGATATTGTTGTACCTCTGGATGGCGAAGCAACGGGATTCCATGCGCGTGATCCGCAGAGCTTCGCGAACGCCATGCACACGGTGTTAAGCATGAGTGAGTCGGAGCAGCAAGCGATGAGGACACGTGCACGTACGTGGGCAGTAAGCGCATTTGCCGAGGAGCGCTTCGTGGAGGGTTGGGAAGCTGCTTGGAAAGGGTGGGTATGATGAGATAGTTTATACTCTTTAACGGTAAATAATCATCACTACTCCTTATTATCTTAAACCTTCCACTCGGTTTGTCGAGTCTCTGCTCATCGACTAATTCTGGTAACGTAGTAACTAAGCATTCATACTTCAAGCGCGATATATTATTATCGGGTACCTCATTCGTGCGATTACCCCACGCCCTTGAAGCTCCTACCGTTCCTAATCAGTTTTACAATAATGCCAATATACTTGCAATAGGCCTCGATGGTGAGATATTTCGAACATTGTTTATAAGACCATGGCCAGGCACGGTAGAAGGTATCATCTAATCAGAGTTAATTTTGCGTTTTGACAAACTTTCGGCGAGTTTGCTACATTTCTGATTTGATAAACTGCGAGATGTCATTTGAAATACACAGTTCATAATACAGTCTTCCTGATGGGACAAATGAATGAGATTTGCCACGCAGCCTGGTCGTCAATTATCTACGAGTTCGAGAAGCTCGTCCTGCTTCCCAATAAGGTCATTGACATCACTGTACCCGCAGAGACCCATCGTGATATGCATGTCAGCCACAGTTTGCATCAAAACTTGTTCGACTCCTGCTTGTCCGGCGATGGCAAGACCGTACATGAACGGACGGGCGACTAGAATTCTTTGATAAAAAAAACTACCACTGCAGAGAAATTATGGCACGTACTGAGAACACCCTGTGCACCCAGTGCCATGGCCTTGATGACGTCACTGCCTGTGCGAACACCAGAGTCGAAGAGCACCGTCAGGTTGCCGTTCGTTTGCGCATCGAGGACCTTGGGCGAGCGCATGATCTTGGCTAATGCATCCAACGAGCCAATGGCACCATCGACTTGCCGTCCACCGTGGTTGGACACAATGATCCCGTGAATACCCATATCAATAGCTTTCTCCGCGTCCTGTTGCAAGCGTTTTCATAAGTCATCGTGGGACTAAAAGACATGAACTTACGGACGTTCGCTGAATCCCCTTCAGAATGATAGGTCCATCCCAGTGATCTTTGATAAATTGTAGATCCTCCCAGGATCTGAAAGTGCCCGAGTTGATTTCTCCGAGCCATGCCTTGCCCAGTTTCATGGCTTTTTGGGCATTCGCATCACCTTCATTCAACGCCGCGTTTCTAATCTTCTCTGACTCGAAAGGGAACTTGGTGGTCTCGTGCACAGGTTCATACCCGAAGCGCTTCATGAACACGGGGTCAGACATGCCAACCTGTATGCCGACGCCATAGAAGAAGGGTATATAGGCAGTGTCAAGGTCGTGTGGACGCCAGCCCAAGAGCATGGTGTCGAGCGTGATCACAAGCGCAGAGAAGCCTGCAGCTTTGATACGGTTGAGAAGGGATATAGTTATCTCGTCCGTACGCGGCCTGAGGTGTTCACAGCCGAGTTATGATACGCGGAATTGTGATGCGAGATTAGACATACCAGTAGAGCTGATACCACCGTTGGCCGCTTGGCCCGTTTGCCTTTGCGATATCCTCGATTGACCTGGATGACGCCGAGCTCATGATGTAAGGGATGCCGCAGGCAGCAGCAGCCCTGGCAGTTGCGAGTTCTCCGTCTGCATGCAAGATACCCTGTACACCTACGGGTGCGATGAAAAGAGGCGTGTGGAATTTCTGTCCAAATATCGTTGTCTAACCAGATGCAGAAATACATTAGACAGGGGTATCACGCGCTCATAGATACTCACTTCAACATTTCGGTTAGTGCAGTCCTTGAGCATTGCAGGGACAATTTTCCACCGGTTAAAGGCACGCCTATTTTCAGCGTCTGTCGAGCACGTTCCTGCGCTCCCAAATGTGTACATGTATGCCGCTAGCATCCTCGTTCGAATCAAGAGTCGAGACTTGAGCTGATGAGAACACTCACGGAGATGATCTTTCATTACCTCCCGGGCTCTGTCCTCTATCTCTTTCACTGCGAAAGAGCCTAGAACAGGCGGCTCTGCAAGTCCATAGATATCACCAAAGTATTTCGTCCATCGAGTTGGTTGCGGGGGTGCGGCCGTCATGGTGGGGGTCACGGTGATAGGGAGTCTGGGAAGGCAACAGCAGCCAGTATGACTTATTTAAGGCAGTTTCAGCCAGCAACATCTATCCGAAAAGCCGACGCGGCTAGAATCTGAAACGTGATGGGGATTGAAGTATTCGTGTTCGGTATCAGAAGCTGTCAGATAGATTCAAACCACATGATTACCGCGTACGATATATTTTCGCATCGAATCATGGTTATATTTCCGGAGCGGGCTTGTTCTTCCGCTTGCCGTGGACACTGTGATTCGCAGAATGTTTAGTTAGCTTGGCAGGGTTCGCCAACAGATGTCCACGTCAACTACCTTTCACTGCACTGGGAATTCTGTTCGCCTAGATAGGATGTCAAATCGACATATAGCTCTCGAGTACGGCGCTCAATTCATCGCCGGGGTAGCTCAGCTGGGAGAGCAACAGACTGAAGTGCGATGGTTTCTGGAGGTCCCGTGTTCAATCCACGGTCCTGGCATATTTTTTGTTTTACTTTGGTGACAATGAATCAACTTGCACCGGCGACGGGAACTCGTATGGATGGAGCTTAGTATAGACCTCCAGCTCAATGCTCGAATGACCCGCATTCATTCTAACAGCACGAAACTGACAGCTCGTCCATGCAAAGAAACCTTGCTGACTATATCATCAAACTACCAGCCGCCGAGAACACGGAGGACCAAACGTGAAAGGCAGCCAGAGCAAATAAAGGAAAAGACAAATGACGAGAAAAGCTAAACTTGAAGAGCTTGGACAGTGAAGTTACTGGGCCATAATTCGGTGAACAACAACATATCGAGGCGAAGGCCAAATGAAGTTTGGCTCTATTGAATTCTAAAGCTCTTGCCAAATATCCACAAACAACACAATGTGGAAATCTGTGATTACGGGCCGTGAGTAGTTACCGACCACGCTGTAGCCTACCAGTTATCACGCTCTCTCAAAAGTTGCAGGCACGAGTGTCTGCTTTTGACTGCACAATACATCATCAATCTTCTGTTTCTCTTCGATGGCATCCTCCCTGAGCACAAGACGCTTGATAATCCTGGATGGTGTGTTTTACCGCTGCTTTCGTTCACAAACGCTGCTTACTATGCTGATACGATTGCAGTTGCTATATTCCTAGCTTCTCAGGTGATTATTCCATTTTTCAACCATTTTGCTCCTGTGAGCTGAAGATCCCGTTAGGCAGCGGTTTACTATGCTATTCGGGTAAGTGTCCGTAGTGGAAATTTCCGGGAAGCATGATGGACATCCTTGTAGTGGTACTTCAAGCGGAGTGACCCTACAAAAAAGAGCGCTGAAGCAATCAAGAAGATTATCGGACAAAAGAACCTCAAGCTAGATGAGTATGAGAGTGCGCGTGACCTCTTCGGTTACGTATCGCTTCCTGCTAACCTCTTGGACTTTTCGCAGGAGCAATATCAAAGGAGGTTGTTCACCCAGATGAAATTACCGTTCGATTCAACGGTTTGTCTGCCGTTATCTGAAAATGAATTTCCAATGCTAATAAACATTTTAGACATCGGGGGTCTGGAGTCAATTGTATCGTCTCTCCGCGAAACCATAATTTATCCTTTAATACATCCCGCTCTTTTCACCTCGGCATCTCCCCTCCTCGGTGCCCCAAAAGGTGTTTTACTCTACGGACCTCCCGGATGCGGAAAGACCATGCTCGCTCGTGCGCTGGCCAAAGAATCGGGCGCGACATTCATTAACGTTCCCGCATCAACACTCACAAACAAGTGGTTCGGTGAGTCCAACAAGCTAGTCGCAGGTCTGTTCAGCCTCGCACGGAAAGTCCAACCCGCAATCATATTCGTCGATGAAATCGACTCCTTCCTGAGGGAACGCCGTGGAGATGACCACGAGGTAATGGGTATGATGAAGGCAGAATTCATGACGTGAGCGATGCCTTTTCTGCTGGAACCTTGACTGATCTTGGACACTTAGTTCATGGGATGGCTTGACATCGGGCTCTGACAGGATACTAGTGCTAGGCGCGACAAACAGACCAGGTGACATTGACCCTGCAATTCTGCGGCGCATGCCAAAGCGGTTTGCTGTGGCTCTTCCAGATGCAGAACAGAGATTCAAAATTCTGTCCTTAGTACGTGTCTATCACCGATGGACGATTGCTCGCCTTGAACTTCATTAGATGCTCAAAGACACGAAACTGGATCCCCATCTTTCCCTGCGTGTCCTTGCTTCCCAGACAACGGGATTCTCTGGTTCTGATCTGCGCGAATTATGCCGCAACGCTGCAATGGTCCCAGTGAGGGAATGTATGCGCGCCATGGAGCATGACGAAGCAGCGTTGATGAAGGTCGAGAAAGAGGTACGCTTTTCGAGACATCGTTGGTGAACTTTGCTCACTGGACATACCAGGGCTTCAACATGCGTTCGCTCACCCTCACCGATTTTTATGAAGCAGAGGGATCGACGCTCCAACCACCCGATCCAGAGGATGAAACCATGTCATTTCGAGCATTCATCGACACTCACCCAGAGCCTAGTCCACAGGCAGACAAGGATCTTGCGACAAAGGAAGCTCTGGTTATCGAGGAGGTATCCGAGTGCGAGAGTGATAATGAATCAAGATTCCAGACCGACGATGAGTCGACAGTACTTGACGGCGACAATGAATCGACACTGAAAGATAAGAGCAGTGACGACTCGTGATATCTGTATTTATTACGCCTCAAGCTTCATGGATTGCATCAATTACTGAGTAGCACTGATTATTATCATATAGACTAGATATAACTGATCATCCCCACTATGAGAAAACCGATACAAGAGACACAATCAGATTGGGTATTGCAGGATTGCCTTCATGGCTATTGCCGCAGCACGGTATGTGTCTTGTGCAATTTCCCGAGGGACCAGCCTTCAAGCAAAGCGAAGAGCTTTGAAACGGCGCAGAACAGTGTTGACTCTTGCTATCATCGGTGTCCCGTGTTTCTCACCCGTCCTCCAGATGCTCGGGCTATTGCCCCTTGCTTCAAGTGGTATGTCTGATACTGACTAGTGTTGACATGTTCAGGGAAAACTAGTGTGCTTCCTGCCGCTCGTGGACGATACTCATTCATGCCTGGCTTACATTCGTGTTACTAGACTGACGTGTTGCACATTTAGCGCAAACAGTCCTCGTTCCGCCAAACCAAGTTTCACGCATTGGGGGCTCTTTGTGCTTTGAAATATTTCCACACGAATGGCATCATCTACTGTGTTGTGAAGCTCAACAACAGATATCCTGGTTATCCTCGACAGATTCGTCAAGTTAATGCATGACATATTATTGCCATTATATCTTCACGCCTAGAGCCTTGCACGTATCATGCTAAGCGAGCACATCAACACGGACCCAAAAGACAGTGGGAAACGATAGGCTCACTCAGGGTTTGCATTTGGTGGTGGTTCGCTCGACATTCACGACACAACATTTTTTACACGAACAAGGCTGTTAGTCGACAATCGTGCCCTCATATCCGCAGAAATACCCGAAATAATTCCCGTTGTTGAAATTTTTCATGCTCTGTGAGCATAACATTGTATCTGCAGATACTGACTGTAAGCGCGCTAAGGTCTGCACGTAAGCCGCAAAAGTGCTTACCATGAGGGAGCAGGGTAGGCCCGTGGGTGTCAGGTTCAGGTTGTCGGCTGCGACGGTTTTGCTAGCCATCGCTGTGATAGATATGATTATGGTGGTGAGTGAGTTGAATATCATTGTTCAAACCTGGCAATGCCCTATGAGTCGAAACCTACGTTGGCTTTTATACCCAGATAGTGTAAGGGCAGCCAGTCTACGTGTGCCTACATCACTGATAAACAGATGCAAGCTAGTGTTAAAGCTGTTGGCAGTTTTCTTTTCCAACCGGTCTGGCAAAACTGTTCATGCTTGATCCACGGCAGACTTATTGTGAGGTAGAATACGAACTAAGAGACGGTAGAAGGAGGATATCAGATAAAGATTCGGCTTGTTCCGTAATACAGACTTTTACTATTTGTCCTCCGATAACCTCAAACTCTGCTACCTGTCGTCAGTGTCGTGCACAGATCATGTCAACTGATTGTCGACTCGTACAAGCAACGGAACTCCAAGGTATTATCTGGGACTCGCAGAGATGTAAATTAGAACTTATGACATGATTTGAATTCAATAGAACATGAAATTCGATAAGTCTAGTAGAGGATGCCCCCTCGCGTCACTTATCGGCGGGGTGGATTGTGCTACAATCGAGTGTTGCAGAGGGAAACAGAGTGCTACGGATGTAGTAAAGTATGTTTCCCTGATGGCCTGTTCCAATCAGGCGAAGTAAAACGCACATTATGTCGTCTCAGAACAACACAATCCGCGCGACGATGTAATCTCTCAGTTGACACATGTGAAACACTTAGTCGACCTATTTACTTACATGCACACTTGGAAGTTGGAAAAGGTTGGCATAGCTGTTGTGACTTCACAGAATCTTGAAGCATCCTTCATGTGGATAACTCTGTTCGCCACTGAGCCTCGTAACAGTACTTGCTAGTCCAGAGTATCCCACCTGACGACGATGCTGCTGAATTTGCGGCGTTCCCGCCAGCCATTTTAGATGCGCAATTCAACGAAGATGAGATGACTTTTGAAACATATGATCAGTGTATGAGGCTAGCAAGTGGATGAACAGACACGCGTGATCGGCCACTTTCGTGGGGTTCGGATGATTAACGAAGTGAAAGACTTGAAGTGCTCGAGGGAAATGCTGCGGCTTTTGATCTTGAGGACTCGGAATTAGGTCGCCTTCACCATTACATGATATTGCAACGAGTACACATAGTCTCCATGACCTAGAGTTTTATCAGTTCTGCCAGTCATATGACGAGTGGATACTACATCCATTCACCCAATTTTTGATTTTCAGATTTGCAGTCACTCACCAGATTTCCAGCCTAAGGCGTGCGACCAAGCTGGCCTAAAGCCGCAGCTTTAGGCTGCGAAGTGCGCATATTTGGTACATAATACAATCACTTTCTGGGCCCCGCGGCCACGGACGACTACAAATTCCTAGCCATCCTGCTGCGTAAGAGTAATCACTGCAAGGCCATGCTGTGGAGGAGAATCCAAACGGGATTGATGACATCAACATGCTCGAGGAGTACAACGATTGAGCTCGAGAGGTGTGTCTGATACTGCCGGTGTGATTATGATGCTTATTCAGGATGTGCAGCCCTCGTTCAGATAAATGAGTCTTATTGGATGCTGCTCGTGAGCTACTTACATCCGTTCCTTCCTGTATTTCACTCATGCCTCTAGACTGAGGCGCGTTTATTTCGTCGTGGTGTACGTCAGTGGAGTGGAATCATCTTTCCGCGCCATTGCACCGAACTGTTCTCGCAGGTCGCCTCTTGGGTAGATATATGATTCAGATTCCATTCAGCACTGACATCATCTTCTGTCGTTTCTTGTCACAGATTTCGACACCGAGCGGATAACACTCGGATTAGCCGATCCAGTCGCGTTTCTGCTTTCCGCCCACAGTTCGCAAGAGGCGAGGTATAGATCTAGAGAGCGCTCTCGGTAAACAGTTCAATAGCATATATTTTATATAAATACTGATACAAAGATGATACTATTCGTCCGAGCCCAGAAGAGGTGCGAAATGTTTGGTTGTGTGTATACACTGCATAATCCAGTGTATCCATTCGTCGCCAGATGTCAAGAACCATGCGGGCAACTGGATAGTATATGGTTAAGACAAGGGGGACGTGGTGACAAAAGCTGTAGAAGATACGGGCGCAGTCAAAGAGGTAGCGTTGAAGCCGTTCACGTCAAAAAGGACATAAAAAAGTTCGGAGTCCATTAGTGACTCTTCCGGTCATATTCAAACTCCGTACCACCAACTTCGTGCACCAGTGACCACGCCATCACCACATCCAAACGCACGTATGCTTAATCCATGCATATCAATAAGTTAGCTGTTTTGTCAGTCTTGAATACAGATTAAACGCTGCAGCGCCTAGTTTGTACTGGAGTCCCACCGGGCCGCAAGTCAATGCAGGAGAGTGTCGAAGTGGCCTTTCGCATTGAGGTATGTCTCCCACTAGTATTATTGGCATGGCCTTTTCTCCTCGCATTCTAGTTTTCCAGTGAAAAATTGAACTTGTAGCGATTTTTGGGTACATGTGGTCCTTGGTCAGTAATATCGGGATGAATTCGAAGCGAATGCGTTGTGTGTCTCCCACTTATCCGGTCCTCTTGCAAGTGAAGCAAGCCAAGATCCGCCACATTTTTGGGATTTGTATTCTCCGCTGTTCAACTTGTGAGGCCACCGTGACTCTTCTGTCAAAGATCGTTAGTGCAAAACGTACATCATTTCCAGGGGGTTTATGTCCGTATGTAACTTCAAGTCTATCACGTCGAATCCAAATCACGGCATGCATGAATCTGATACATATGGTGACATCTAATTTTTCTTAGCCACACTGAATTTTTCCTTCTCAACCTCTTTAGCGCGCCAGGCACGATGTGTGATCCTTAATCGGCTCCCCCGGTTTGAACTTATCAGGTCTGTTTTGCGCTCTAGATATTTACCCACGCATCACTCTAATCATGTTTCCTTCGATTGATGGTCGCCTTGCCATTCTTGCCGTCTTACCTGCTTCCTTTGTTGTGATTGCATCCATCAAGCAGTTCATTAGGAACAGACAAAACAAACCTTGCTTTCCTCCTGGCCCAGTGCCGCTTCCACTGTTAGGAAACGTCTTATCTATCAACACCAAGGAGCCTTGGTTGACTTACACCAAATGGGCTGTTACTTATGGTACGTGGTCAGATAGTACTACGGTGCATATGTGGTACAAATCACTATATCAGGAGACTTGCTTTTCGTGCGACTTCTAGGCCAGGAAGTCGTGGTGATCAATTCTCAGCACGTTGCAGAAGCCTTGATAGCCAAGCGTTCTCCCATCTACTCCGATCGACCATACATAGCTACAGTCGAGCCGTGCGTTCTTCTAACATATTTCCATTTAATAATTATGAAGTATAGGCAGATTTGGTTGGTCGATCAACTTCGGATTCACAAATTATGGTGACGAATGGCGTCTTTGCCGACGACTTGTCCACCAAACTTTCCGTTCCGACTCTGCACTGAAGTTTCGTCCGATGCAGATTAAGCAGGCTCGTGAGATGATCGTCAACTTCATTGATGATCCTTCACATTATCATTCTCACTTCGCAACGTCAGTAGACGTGGCTGTACATATCGAATGATCATCAACTTGTTCATAGATTCTCGTCATCAGTAGCGATGTCAGTGACATACGGCTACCAAACTGGTCCTCGTGATGATCCTTTGGTCCGCATCGTAGAAAATGCATTGGTAATTGGCTTTCAGGTGATAACCCCAGAGAGAGCAATCTTGCTCAAAACCTTCCCCTCCTGTGACTTCAGCTCTTTTTCTCATGAAAATAGCTGACATTTTGTACTCTAATCCAGTATTGACGTTACCTGACTGGTGCTGGGGATCCTCGATCAAACGCGAGGCTCAAGCTTCGACCAGTCTCATGACTGAAATGACGGAAGTGCCATTTCGATATACGAAACAGCATATGGTGGGCATCTTTCGGTTTTAAAAACATCAGTTTTGTCCTAGTTATTGATTACGTGACCGTCAAGGCTGAGAACTCGGCCCTTGGTCAGTTTTCCATGGTCGCAGAAAATCTTCAAAGAATGGACAAGCAAGATCAGACATCCAGACCGTTGTTTGAGGGTGCATTAAAGAAAGCAGCTACTACTGCTATTATAGGTTCATCATCATTTTACAAGGGACAGGACACTGCTCTTTGATACATATCTACGCAGGTTCATACGAGACGGTGAGCAGATGTCCAAACCATGTTGTCAACTACTGAATTTCTTTACAGACTACTTCAGTCTTGATGGCTTTTGCTCTCGCCATGGTGTCTTACCCAGATGTTCAAAAACGTGCACAAGCGGAGATCGACTTAGTGGTTGGGCGGGATCGTTTACCTACCTTTGAAGACAGAGCGTCACTACCATATGTTGAATCAGTTCTGCGGGAGACTTTGCGATGGCAGCCTATCATACCCCTTGGTAATATTTTCCACCGAGGGATGAAGCCTGCACTAAAGCTGATATTATAGTGCCACGTGCCACCTCGAGTGATGATATATACGATGGTTACTTCATTCCAAAAGGTCTGCCGTTTTTGTCTAATGAACAAATCATGGGTAACATCGTACATCAGGAGCGACTATCATATGCAACATATGGTCAGATGCATTCTCTACATTTGCGTGATGCTGACTTTATATTGCAGGAACATTTCACGAGATGAAAAGCGGTATCCCAACGCATCTACTTTTATACCAGAGAGGTTCATGGACGCCAATGGTGGGCTGACGGACGATGACCCAGCTGAATATGTATTTGGCTTTGGCCGACGTATATGTGCAGGTGGGTTGAGTTATTTTATTGCTGTATTGCATGTGATGAGCCAATACATTCTTTAATCAGGCCGGTATGCTGCTGATGCCTCTATGTGGTCTGCTATCGTCACTATGTTGGCCACGGTGGAATTTTCTTTTGCCAAGGATGACCAAGGCAATGCAATGCAATTCACTCCTCAATTCACGACAGGATTCACTCAGTACTTGTTTTTCTTGTACCATTTCATCACGCCACTAATATCTTCACCACTTTAGTTCCGTCACGGTCTTTCCCTGCAGTATTTCGCCACGTCCTCATGTTCATTCAGAACTTCTGGATACTTTACGAATGGGAGAATAATATGTATACAGTGACAAACTTGCCATCGTTCTTTTCTATGTTCTGATTTGGGCCACTGCGAATCAGTCGGTCTCCTATATGGTCTTTTGATCTCTTTTCGTGCCGCAGTGCCTTCAGTGTACTTATATCTGGATCCTTTTTACAATTCAAGCTGTGCCGACACGTTTAGGTAGTTTCGATTCGATTCGATTTTCTCTGTCTATTGTCAGTTGCATAATTTACGAGTGAAAATACAGGAAAATGGTGCTGGACCAGGTCCAACACGAGCTCAGCATCTCACGTTGTGCGTGTTTCAGAGTCCGACTCATCTTGCCGAATGTTGCCGCTTGACTAGCCGAAATCCATCCCAAATCCACCAGATTTCGTTTTCGAAAAATGAAATCCACATCCAAATTCACGTCCAAATCGGCCTCGAAATCCAGCTTTGAACTCCTCTTTAATAATGTCATTTGACCAGGCAGGTTCGCCACATCTCAATAAGTCTTCGGCGAGTGACGGTGCAATCAGTGACGGAAAAGGATAAAGATGGACGCCGAGATACAAAAACAAGCATGAGAATATTCATTATTACAGAGCGTTCCTTACTTTTGTTCTTGCCTTTTCGAATTGGCCTAGGTGTATAGAGAATGGCCGAAGTCGTGTCACCCGCAGGAATCCTCCCTCACATACCCGACGACCTCACGCTTGCGCAGTTCATATTGGATGCGGAGCATGTCAGGAGGACCGTTCGTAAGAATGGTGCCTGGATTGTTGATGACCAAAGTGGGAAAAAGATTGGGCTCGAGGAGGTCAGTGTGCCTGCCAGTGAAAATAAGCGATTATTTGCGGGGTAATGCGCAAAAGTCGGTGTGGGGTTAACACTACTTGCTGCTCTGGTCGATGATTACCACGGCTACTGATTGTGTACTTCACAGCTCAGAGCTCGAACGTATGGTCTAGCTAATGCGTTGAGTATCCGCTATAACATCCGTGCGTTATCTCGTTTCATGGTACTCAATGTGTACTGACTCCTCTGGCTTCGCATAGAGCATGATGATGTCGGTAATGACACTATCATTCCAGCACTTGCAAGTAGTATTGATGCACTTGGTAGTGTTGATCTACAGTCCAAATCATATTGGTATGCGAGCTAGCTTCGCCACATACAATGTACGTCTGGGTTGACAGTATGAATTCTGCAGATTACCTTGTGGCTGCTTGGGCGGCTCACAGGCTTGGTGCTGCCGTATCGTACGCTCAATTCCTCTAAGTCGCTCAAAACATGCTGAAACACGCCCACAAGCGGTGCCAACCCGTTATTCACAGTCGACGAACTTGTGTATCAAATAAATACGGTAAAAGCAGTCGTCATCATCACGCACCCGGACTCGTTAAAAGTGGCCTTGTCGTCTGCACATGCCGCTGGTGTTTCCGCGGATTGCATCGTTCTTTTTGACGTCGAGGATGCGGATACTGCGCACAAGTTGACTGTGCAAGCTTTGGTTTCGCAAGGTCTTGCGAGTGCTCCGAACTTCACAGAACGAAAACTTGCTCCTGGAGAAGGGAAAACTAAGGTGGCCTTTCTGAAATTTTCCAGCGGGACGACTGGTCGCCCGAAGGTGAGCGTGTATTTCGTGAGGACCTGCATGTGGATGAAACTTGCACGTGCTATAAATCAGGCCGTTGCAATACCTCACTACTCACCGATTCTGTTTATCCGAAAGGCTCGGCCTCATTAACTGCGCAGTGCTTCCTTTATATCGTGAGCCATTACCGTTCTTGCCGCCTCGTCATGTTGTTGTGAAACTGGGTATTTCCAGATAGTTACGGATTGGTGTTCAATGTGCGAGCTCAGTTCAATTTGGTTGTTCATTGCTGAATATCTGGCAGGTCCATTATATCTTTTTCTGCGGAGTGCGTCGATATACCTTTGAGTCTGTGCTTGCACATTGACTGAAGCACATCCAGATGACGCTTGTCTTAACAGCGAAATATAACTTTCTGGACTTTTTGAAGAGTATAATCAGGCATCGCATCACCCATCTTATGTGCGTCGTCCTCGAGCTTTCTTTGACCTCACCTGAACAAGACTTTAGGTTGGTCCCCCCACAAATTGTACTGTTATGCAAGGTCGGCGAGTCGTAATTTCCGAATGATCGTGTCCCCCACCTATCTGTGTTTTCCATTTAGCATCCAGCTGTCAAGAGTTACGATTTTAGTCATGTCCGATACATCACCTCGGGCGCTGCACCCTTGTCTCGTGAGGTAATGGAGCAGCTTGTTCAGATATTCCCGAACGCCGACCTTGGGCAGAGTTATGGTTAGTCCATCTCTGAATGATGTGTGTGCATGTCTCATCCCAGCGGCCAAAGGCCTTACCGAATCGGGGCCTGTTATAAGCAGTTTGGCACTGGATAAGAGATGTGACTTGAGTGGTAGTGCTGGCCAACTCCTACCCGGTATTATCGGCCGCGTGGAGAAACCAGATGGCACTCTCGCCGACTTTGACGAACCCGGAGAGCTTGTCGTAAAGACACAGGCGCTTGCGCTTGGCTATGCAAACAACCTTGAAGCGTACGAATTCATCTTTCTTATATCACTCACGTATCAACCTATTAACTGTAACGTGATCAGAACGAAGGAAACCTTTGTAAATGGGTGCGTAGGTAGGCCTTCAATTGACCGCTAACTGACTTTCCACTTTCAGATGGCTCCGTACCGGTGATGAGGTGGTGTTAAACCGCAAGGGCGAAATCGTAGTTCTTGACCGGTTGAAGGTTGGGTAATTGACCTTAGACCACTGTATTACTTGACCGAGTACCCCTACAGGAAATGTTGAAGGTCCGTGGATTCCAGGTCGCACCTGCCGAACTCGAAGGGTGCATTTTGGACCACCCTGACGTGACTGATACGTGCGTGGTTGGAGTACAAAATGAATATAGTGGCGAATTACCACTGGCATTCGTTGTTCTCCGCCCTGAGGCCACCAAACGTATCGAAGAAAGTCATCTAGTTGCCGACGAAATCAAGTCGTCTATTATGAAAGTAAGCGCTTCGAGACACCAGGGGAACGTGTGATACTTATATTTCAACTTTACAGCACGTTGCTGATAATAAAGTTGGCTACAAGAAGCTCGCTGGAGGTGTCGAGATCATTGATGCTATCCCGAAGAACCCGAGCGGTAAACTTTTGAGGAGGGTGCTAAGAAACAAGGCCAGGGAGATGCGGACGAAACCTAAAGCGAAGTTGTAACATGGTGGTTCTGGTTGTGAGTCCTCTGTACATTAAATTGTACCATTATTTGTCACTCTTTCATCGATAAGCCCTCTCCCTCCTGCAGTCACGGCTCCTCAGCATGCTATCTGCAGGTAACTTGCCACAGGTGGCTGTACTCAGCTAGGGCACTGTTACTCCTTTCACACATTCTGTGTCAAATTCCTGAGTGTACGAGTGCGGATTAAGAGCTCACAGCAATCTGTTTCAAAGGTGAGCATTGAGGACCAGATTCCGGTCGTCCCGATGTGATCACCGTATCTTGTGAGGTGCACTCGATATTGCAATCACATCTCCTGCCAACCTTTAATTGATGTTAAAGATTTGGAGGAGGATGTGTTTACAATAACTATCATACAGCTGAAGTACAAGGTCGATCAGGAACGGTTATCAAACTCAAGGTGGTACCAAAAGATGGGAACCCAGACTCAATACAATATACCTGGGTCACTACAGAACAGGGGGCTGAGCTAGCATCAAACGCTCATTCTCGTCGCTTCCATCTCCCACCATACGATTACTTCTTTTGCCGTTTTCAAGTTAGTCTCCACCAGTTATATCCCCGCAATTGACTGGATTGTCACTCTAGCAGGCATTGGTCGCCTAACCTTCGGAGACAAAACAAAAACAAATCCACCTCATCTTCAAATTTACATTCAATCGCCCCATGAACTATACTTTATCTGCTAGTTCGGACTTCAGGACCATGACAAATTCTACATGAACGACCTAATTTTGATCATCTTCCAGAATTATACCAAGCAGATCGTATCACGCTGTCCCAATAGCCCTGCTGTGTTCAGCTGCGAACGACGCAGGTAATTCACTCTGCATCTACCACCTTGGAACATGTCCCTCACAGAGTGGTTCTTAATGCATTCGGTTTAGTTCCCAATTTAATTTGAACAACTTTGTCGCGTTCAACATGATTCAGGCTCCTTGCGCATGGAGTACAGGAAATATTGATATTGTCGCACTTCAACGGTAGACGACTATATATACAAGTTCTTGTTCCTGCAGCGGTTATGGATGTCACCATGATGTCAAATTTTGTCGATAACACGCAACAAGAACAGCATCACAGCTCGTTTTTGCAGAGTGCAGGATTCGTCCAATGATGCATGCACTAGATCTATTGTGACATCCGTAGACACCCTGGCTCATTGGAATCATATCCAAGTGGCAGAACACTCAGACACAAATGGTTTCAAAGCTTGCCCACACTGGCAGGCGACTGCTCTATTTCCTGCTGAGGTGGGAGTCACCCTCCAGCGTCGAAACTGATTAAAAACGTGTCTCGAAGCCGCTGACAGTAAGACAGTGCACAATGTCTGAGTTTGGTGGCCATGTAATAGTGGCAATGCCAGTGAATGAGGCTGTGCCTGTACTCATGCTAGATCTGTGGATGTCGACGTATGGCAGATTTGGTTCCTATAATCAGGTTGGGTGCGTGGATGTGAAGGTCCAGTTGATGGTGACTAGAAAGAGTTTGGATTTATACACACCACAAAGGGGAAAATAAACAACAAATGTAATGGTGGAACAGGTTTGTACCACACTCTATTATAATACGCGAGGTTTTGAACCTCAGAACCTATACGCAACATCTCCAACATCTACAAGATCGCAGATGCCATAAAAGCCATCACTACAGCAGTAATAACGGCCCTCGATGATACCTGTAGACCGACAGCTGCGCTAGTGCTGGTAGTAGAAGTAGTAGCAGCGACGATTGGTGGGCATTGCGGAGCAACGAGCTGCTCGCCGTATGTTGAGGCAACCCAAAGGAGCACGCCGTTCGTCCATCCGAATCCAGCCTGAACGGTATATTCACCGCCATAACCAGAAGAATCGACATTGAGGTTGGAGAACTTCTCAAACATCTGCATTTCACGTGAGTATGTGGTCTAGAGAATCAGATTGAGAATAACGGACATTACCGGTGTTACCAACGCTGTTGGTGAGGTTTAACTCACTAGCTGGAAGCTGGGGCAGCAATCCTGGAATCGAACCACCAGTGGCATGCCTGATGAAGTCTTAGTATCGCTTTATTGAAGAACAGGTGCATTCCGCTTACCAACTGCAGAGTACGCTGGCATAATATCTGTTAGCTAGCTCACGTTGAAGCGTGTCTCTCCACCCTTCGCCCGCAGTAGCATTTCCTCCGTTAACAACAGTACCGCTTAACATGTTGATGTCCGCTGCTGGACCAGTTGCGGTCGCGTTTTGATTAGCTTGTGCTCCGAGGAGAGGTTGACCAGGAAGTTGAGCTTCAGTAAAGCCAAGTTGGCCTGCCGGAACGAGATCATACGTAGACTGAGTTGAGCTGGGTATAGGCAGCCCGTTGGTGGTAAGATTAGATGGAATAGCCCGGAGTGCCTGCATGATGATGTATTGTAGTGGAGGCCAACAGTTCGGAGCGTCCCTGTGATACACATTTCATAAGATCTGCTTACAGGGAAAAGACGTGGAGAGTTACCATTGCAAGCCCGTCCAATCGATAAAGGTAACAGGAACTGTACCATTGTACTTATTCACCACCAAATTGACCGCTGCGAAGTAACCAAATGCGTTGGATTGAGAAGCGAGGACTTCATCGGGGATGATACCGTTCCAAACAGGATAGTAAGTCGCGGCTGTAAATATATCGTTGCGTGCATTCGAAGTCAGGTTAAAGTCGTAAAAAGCGAGCTTGGATGGGTCCCAAAGGAGGTCGAGGATACCTGCACGAATTCCGGCAGCGACCTGTAGATGGTTGTTCGACGCAGTCGCATTGGACGTGCCATAAAGCTCGGCAAGAAGCAATCTGGCCTTGTCTGTGATCCCAAAGTTACCATCAACCAGAACACACAACAACAAATTGACATACACAGAATACTATTAAGACAGATTGGAATGTTGTTCTTCACATTGAGCGAGCGCAGGCCAGGGTTGCCAAGCTGAGGAATAGCCTCAAAGCGTGAACTGTAATCCCATCCAGTCTCAGCGCCAGATGCAAGCTCGCTGTAAAGCTCGGCAGCCTGATTATCCGTAAGAGGCGTAGAAAGAGTTGGGTCATGAACGGTCAGATAATCTAGATATAGGCACGTTAAGAGTAAAGTAGGCGTCAGATTCAGTACAAAAACCCACCAGTGAGATACGATTCAGGTCGAGGAGCACTGTTGTTGACTGCATAGTGTGCCATCATGTAGGTCTGGTTGGTATATGGGCTCTTGACTTCAATTGTACGATTATTTGCCCACCAGGCAAGCTCAGCCTGTAGAAATATTCAGAATCTGTACTCTACAGATGGAGTAAACTACTGACCTCAGCCAAAGGAAGAGCACGTTGTAGAATCGATGTATCTCCAGTCACATTGACATAGTCATACACCATCTGTGTCACAATCTGATATTATGGTCACATCGAAGAATGCTAAGCAGCACTTACATGAATGAAGAGAGGTGGCTGTGACCGGTTTAAGTCTATGCCACCGACAATGAGAAGCACTGACTCGTTCAAAACAGTCTACTCACAATAGATACGACCACCGTTCGGAATGAAACCGAAGTCCTCGAGCTCATCCATGAAGTTTTGCAAAGTGGCGTTTACAGTTGAATACAACTCTGATTGAAATAGACCCTGAATAATCCAATAGCTGTCCCAGTAATCTGTCGAAAACACCAGATATCATCGATATCCACCTGCGTAGAGACACAGAGAAACACAAACATTGTTCTCTAAAGCGACCACCAGGAACAACGAATGTATGGTTCAAGGGAATGAACGAGCCCTCGCACGTGCCGCCGGGGTATTGGTCACAAACAGCAGACTGGTTAGTATTACGAGCAAGCTGAGTCCAGTAACCATGAACAGTTTGCGCAAACGCCTTCAACAAAGGATCCGTCACGTTGTTGAGGAACGCTGGAGTAGGATTGAAGTTCGCGAGAGCAGTAGCCTCCATCTCAAGTCCTTCTCCAAGGAAGTCGTTATCAACGAAATTCACGATCACCCCTTCGGTAACCGTCGACAAGTTGAAGTTGCTGAAGTCTGCAAGAACTTGCTGAGAAGACTTGCTGGTTGGCTTGTCCACGAACGTTTTCGGGTCAGAGTATACCTGAGCAATATTGACCGTCTGTAGCAGCTGAGCAAAAGTTAGTACTGGGACCCCAGAGTTATTGTAAATCAAAACGTACTGAACCAGCGCAAAATATTTGACCAATGCACCATCCTTGGGTTGGGGGTAGAGGTGCCTGCGAAGGTAAAGTCGCGCCCAGTGATACACTAGGGCTAGCCACCGCCGTCGAAATGGTCAATGTTGGCACCGACGCGGTGCCAGGCGCAGTGGTAGTGGTACTACTGGTGGTAGCTGCCAATATGGTATGAACAAGGCCGGCGACGACCGCAACCTTCAAGCTCGACACCATTATGAACGCGGGATGTGTATGTCCTAGTCACCAACGACCCGAGTAACACCAGGTGTCGTATAAATACTAGAAGCTCTGCCACGACGCAGCCTAACAATCGCCAGCTCATGGGACTTCTTATACTTATAGGCGCTCCACGTATAGCGCTACCCCGGCCATAACTGAAAAAACATTGACAAACCTTGGTAATTGTTGTCAACGTTGGTGGACGAATCTAGGTCTGCTGACTCCGGTGTCTTGCAAATTCAACCCAAATCTCCCACTGACACAATACGTGTTTATCGTCGGCTAACCGTTGAACCACCACGAAAGATCCGGGTGCATCGGTAGGGGCATTTTCCGAGTGGAAGAAAGAAAGGTCGAGTACTAGTACAGAATTGGCGCGGAGCTACATAACACCGCCATACATAATCAGAATCGCCCATTCGCCTTTGATGTAATCACTCATAATCATTGGCACACCAGCATAAGTCCAGCAAATTCCCCGTAGTGCTGCACGTATCAATGTACCAACTTAGCCAGCACACCCGTGGCGCTCACAAAATACAAACGCTTCACCAAACCCCCACATGACATAGGTCAGTACGGAGTTGAGCACATGGACGTACCAGAAAATCCCTCAACGTCAAATCGGTGGCAACAGCAACGAGGTCACGCCGAACATCCAGGTGACCGGAAAAACTACAGAAAAAGATTTCGAAAAGATGCCGAAGAAAATCTTGACAACCACGGTCGAATAACGTTCTACTGTGGTCGGGAGCAGTCGGCTTAGATCGGGTCAACGAGACCGACAACATCGAAGAAAGGGCAAAACTCAACAAGTCGAGGGCTAACCAAGGGTGCGCTTGTTCAATAATGATACCTTGATGCGCCAACAGCGGAAATAGTCGGGTCTAGGCACATTTCTCATTACTCATTCCCTCGTCAATTAATAACAGCTTCAAACCGGTAAGCAGATCTTGAGAACTCAACAGCAAGGTGTCATGTGCAACGTCTTTTTTGGAACATCCCAAAGGTCTTCACCGATCGATTGATACAGGTACGCTCAGAAAGAAGTATCATTTGTCACGGGAATAGGTCAATGACGTACTTACGGATGCACCCTTTTAGCCCTTCCGCAGCCTATCAAGCATCCTAAATCCTCATCTGGCGTAGTGTAGTTGCTTCTCGAAGCTCATACACCTCAGCAGACATGATATCAATGCCACAACGCACCTGCCCTCTTGAGCAGAGCAACCCCAGCAAAAGCCCACTCTCTGTTCAATCGACCATCAGCTTTTCTGTGTGCAGGCCTTCGCCGTATGCCATGCTCTCGAAGATTATTTGTCTCCAGATGCTGATGGTGAATTCTTGTGCCTCTTCTTCCAAAACCTATCCATGCATGTTTAGTGAATGACAAAATACACCAATTACACGTAAGGCGCACCGGCTCCAGCCCTTCAATAAGCTTCTGAGGTCCTTTATGATCCTTAAGGTGCTCAACGACAAACATGACGAGATCGTCATCCTCTAGTTCACCGAGATAATTTACCATTCGGCGTCTTATCAATGGCTCCAGCTTGCGGTCAATCATAGGCTATGGGGCATTAATTAGCAGGCAGCTTGTACACGAAAAACCGAATCCTTACATCTGAAACACCATCCCACCTGACCTTCGCCTTGAATAGTGTTTCCTTATTGTGGGGTACAGACTCCTTGATCATCTGGAGGCGTTCCTTGGCCTTCTCACCCTCGGTGGCGCTGAAGTCAAGCTTAACTAAAGGCACCTTCCGCTTCTTGATGCCCTCTTCCTCCTCCTCTTCCTGCCCAAACACAGTCGGTTTCGTGTCCTTGGGAATAGGTTCTGCCTTGACAGGCGGGGGATTCAGTGACACGCTAAGCTTGACTGGCGCACCGTCATCAAGAAGCATGCCTGCTTTCCGCTGCTCTTCGGCAAGAGCTTGCATGTCCTCCATCTGGCGTGCGAGGAATTTCTCAGACTCGACACGAAGATTCTCCGTCTCACGTTCTTCATAGATGCGGGATTCCGCATCCGTTGCTTCCTCTGCAGCAAGTCTACGGGAACGAGTCTGTCTCCACCGTATTCTGACATAGATTATGAGCGAAATCACGGAGCACAAACTTGTAACGTACCTGTCGACGTAAAACAATTCATCGCTTTCGTCATCATCCCAAACATCCAAACGAGCTTGCATCTCAACACGATCCCGCTCTTCTGCCTCTTTGATTGCATTCTGACGGGCTATCGAACGCTCCAGAGCTGCTATACGGGTGCGTTCTCGAGGCTCGTAGCGACGTTCGCGCTGGATCATGAAGTTAGCATGAGGATTCCAATTCTGAAGAAATAGCTACTGTAACTTACGTCCCGGAAGGAAACCTCCTCGTCTCGCCGTCTGGCTTCTTTACGGTCCTTTTCAAGCTCCTCGTCTGTCTTTCCGCTCTTGCCTGGCATACTCCGATCATCAAAACCCATTGCAGCGGCGCCATCCTCGGCTTTTACGAACCCCACAGGTTTGTTGTATCCCTGAGCATCCTTTCCTCGAGGAGCAGATTTCCCAGGAATACCCTGTGGTGACTGTGGGGTTTGTGGCTTTCCCCACTCGCGGACTTTCGGCCCGCTCGGGGTAGGTGCAAGCTGAGGCATGGCATCACGAACGTCACGCAACTTTTCCCGCTCTCGCTTTGCAGCTCGTTCACGAAATTGGGCGATTTCAGATATGACAAGACCACGCTGTGTCTCAGGGAGATCGGCTTCTTGAAGATCGTGTAGATGTGGTGGGATGACATATTTTTCTTTGTCAAGAAGACCGCTGTTGGCTGCTTCTTGTGATTGCTGATTGATCTCAGCTACCAATTCATCAACCTTGATTTTTGCTTGGTGTAACATCGTCTCATCAGCCTAAGCGCAAACGTTCGTTAACTCATGGACAGTCAGGTAAAGAGAGTAAGGGACAATTACATCAGTCTTCATTTTTTGTGCAGAGTAGGCATCGAGAAAAAGCTTCGTCTTTTCATCGGCTTTGATCTGAATAGTCGACGTAGGCTTGAAGGGAGAGATAGATACAAAGCACGACGCACCAGTAATTTCTTGTTCGCGCACCCATCCTCGAGTGCCGGTAATTCAACACCCTGCAAAAGAGCAAGACATCGTAAGGCAGAGTCAGGATCTTCGAACTCAGCAAATCCAAAACCCTGCGGCTTGTTCGCTGGGGTGATAAGGCGTTTGAAGGACTTGACGGGACCACACGCCTGAAAAGCCGTTGTAAGCGATTGACATGAGCATGTGGACAGCTGATCCTTACCACAAGAAGCCTGTTCAGAAATCCATCGGTGACACCACCGGATATTGAACCGACGAACAGGGATGTCAATTTCTGTGCCTGAGGAGGGACAAAGCCCTGGTGAAGCATTTGTTGCTGCTGTGCGAGAGCCGACATTGAGGGCCCCTGGCCATATGATGGCAAAGGTGGACGCAGACCAAGTCCTAACCGATTTGGAATGGGTTGCATTTTGATTGAGAATATATCTTGAACAGAAACTTCGCAACTGATTCTTTGGAAGAGTCAGAAAGGCTCCATCAGAAAATAAAATAAAGACGCACAAATGAAATACTCTAAGCGTTTTGATAGACAGTCAGAACAGGCAAAGCAGATGAAGTAAGAGCTAGAGGCAAGCTTGCAGGTAGTTGAGTGTCACCGCGTAAGTAAGCGCTCGTCGTGGTTCGCTTGAAAGGGCAGCACCCGATATTTCCCACGCTCTTTGCATCTATAAATCTAGTTTACTACATCGTTCTACTTCAAGTCGCAACCGCAATGGTCCTCTTCTTTACTTCTACTGGTAAGTCCTTCTGAGATATCAAGTTGCAGTATATTGATTTCCGACATAGTGGTTGATCCGCCAGTAATGCTTTACATGGGCAAGGATAAAGTCGAGAGTGAGCCCAGCAACCCTCATCACACGACAAACTGAAGTTCACCATACCAGATCAGACGAAGATTTAATCAAATATGCATGGCCTCAAGATGTGTGGTTCCACGTCGACAAACTATCGTCTGCGCACGTCTATCTTCGCATGCCACCAACCATGACCTGGGACGGCATTCCCCAGTCGCTTTTAACCGATTGTGCGCAGCTAGTGAAAGCCAATTCGATCGAAGGTTCGTAAGCACAGTCAGGTTATTTATCTCCCGACGATCGATCCTGGATGTGAAGGAAATAAGAAAGACAACCTCACCATTATCTATACTCCCGGGAGTAACCTGAAGGTGGGATTACCACAATTGCACATACTGGACGCCTATCTGAAGATGTTGATACCAGAAATCCGGAGATATGGCCGTCGGTCAGGTGTCATTTCATAATGACAAACAAGTACGTGCGCCTTTATCTCTCGATCATCGCTGCCGACTGAATGCTGTTAATTTACAGGTCAAAAGAGGTTTCAATTTCCTCATTCAATTGTTTTCGTTGCTCAATACCCCCATCAGTCCATATTCCCAAGCGAGAAAATGTAATTGTAAATCGTCTCAACAAGACAAAGGTCGAGAGGGATGTAGATCATGAGCAAGAGCGCGTAGACCGAATCAAGAAAGAGAATGCAGAGAAAAGAGTTATAGCTGCTCAAAATGTTCGCTTCATATTATCTTACTTTTAAATCAAACGCTGATTAAGAATACAGAAAAAAGCTGAAGCAGAGCTAACCAAGGCTAGAGAAGCGGAGAAGGCTGCCCGCTCCTATGATCTATTATTCCAAGTCGAGGAGGATCCTGATGCACCGAAGCTGACCGGGAAAGCTATCGAAGAGGACTTTATGTGACTGTATAAACCTAATCCAAGTGTCTGTCAATGTTATGTTGCGCTCGAGTCTTGACTGTTGAGTCCGTCGTAAGATACTCGTATCGGTATGGACTTGTATATTAGGCAAATTGCCTCCTGTGATATCGGCAACCGGATAGATTTGGGTGTTCCGAGTCCTTTCGAACCTTCTGGCGCCTGCCTAGACTCAACCAAAAAAATATGACTATACGCTTTGCCGCAGCCACGATCCATGCAACAGGGGAGGACGTAGACAATCAGTCAGTATCATCCGAATCAGGCTCAGATTACGCCGAGGAAGACAACAACTTTGAAGATTGGGTATCAGATCAAGCACAAAATCAGTCCTGCCGGTCACTTTTCGAGGACAAAGCCTTTCCTACAGCTGCTGCTGCTCGTGCACACGATAACGATGTCCATAACTTTGACTTGCGCACCATAAGCGCGAAACTGGGTTAGTGTACAAGTTGTCGTGAATTTTCAATCAGTGACGATCAAGCCTAGAACTGGACCTTCATCAGCGCATACGGTTAATCAACTTCATCAGAAAACATGTATGTTTTCATTCGGTCTCATACGTGTTGTCGACTGACACACAGCTTCAGGCACCTACATCAGAGAATATCGGGAACCTAACAGGGGCGGAGACTTTCTTTTCTTCCGATGAGTACCTGATCCCACAGATTGAGGATGATCCATTACTTCGTGCGTATCATCGTGTCTCCTCCGTCCGATTTATACAAATGCTCAATCATCCAAAGAACTAGAATTGGATGATTGGTCAGACGATGAAGACCTATCCAGCACTAACCCACCCGCTGATCTACCAAGCGCGCTTCAGCAGATGCAGCTCCTTGAAAGGAAGCTGGCACAGGCTCATTTGGACATGGCGGAATATCGTTCACTCGTTGGTCAACAGTTTGATGCGGGGCGTTTCGCAGAGATCATCAACGAACCGGGTCCTTCATCAGAAGGACCATCGCCGCGAGACGACGACACCCATTATTTCTCCAGCTACTGTGAGAATGGTGCGTGAATTTTGAGGTGGTAAACAATGTTTCGAGGTCTCATATGTTGTGAAAGACATCCACGCTGTTATGATCCAAGACAAAGTTCGCACTTCAACCTACGCATCGTTCATCCTCACGAACCCCATCTTATTCCGCGATGCTGTCGTGCTCGATGTCGGGTGCGGTACCGGAATACTCTCCCTCTTCGCCGCCAAGTCAGGGGCAAAGCACGTTTACGCGGTCGATGCAAGCGACATTGCCGAGAAGGCTGAACAGATCGTCAAAGCAAACGGGCTAGAAAATGTCATCACGTGAGAGCATCTGCTAGTTCCCCACTCTGCATGATTTCTCACGAAAGCGCAGCGTCATTCGTGGAAAAATTGAAGAGATCTCGCTCCCGGATGATGTCGAGCACGTCGATATCATCATTTCCGAATGGATGGGCTATGCATTACTCTACGAATCCATGCTCGACTCTGTGCTGCAAGCACGCGACAGATTCTTGAAACCGGAGGGAGGCGTGATGGCCCCGAGCCAGTGCAGGATTATGTTCGGTCTCTGTGAAGGCAGCGAAATCTTGAAGGAACGCGTAGGATTCTGGAATGATGTTTATGGTGTGTAATGTTCCATTTCATTGCATATCATTCTCAAAATACGCCGCAGGCTTCGATTTGTCGATCATGGCAAACGATGTTTATGAAGAAGCCATCGTCGACGTCGTCGGGCCCGAATCAATGGCGAGTGAACCTTATCTCCTCAAGGACCTCCACCTAAAAGACGTCACAACCCGGCAACTCGACTTTACTTCCCAATTCACCCTCGTCTCGACTACCCCGAAACGCACTAAAATCCACGCGTTTGTATTGTACTTTGACACGTTCTTCACGACGACGGGCGAACCAGTCCCTCCCGAAGTACCTGTCAGGGTGACAAAGGAGGGTGATGTGACACTTGCTGAGGTATGGCCTGTGGGCGGAAAAGCGCCCCCGCAACGCCGTGCGAGCACGGGTCCCGGTCTGAAGCAAAAGGAGGATAAGAGAGTGACGAGCTTCAGTACGGGGCCTCATAGCCAGCCTACGCACTGGAAACAAACAATCTTCCTATTAAGAGATCCCATTCATGCAGAAGACGGTATGTTGCATATCTCCACTCCGAATCTAGATGGCTTGGGCTTAATGAATGCAGGCACCATTGTGACAGGGTCATTCTACTGCAAGAAAAGTGATACTAACTCTCGTGAACTTGATGTGGAGATCCATTATTCTGTGAGACAGAATGCTGAGACGATGGCAGTTGGAGAGACCGTTGTTCAGATATATAAAGTGCGATGATATTCGTTGCCTGCTGTAAATATTGTATACACGTTGCTATCCGTAAAAATAGCCCCAAGTTCACTAGCATATAGCACATCACCTTCGAGTTCGGTGTTGTGATACAGAAAAAACACTTGCACTTGAGGCGAGGTTTGTGAGGTTTGTGAGGTCGGAACTTGAAAGAATAATTGATCAGTTTGCTCGAGTTTTGGATTCGATAATCCGAGTACAGTCGATGATCTGATACCCACGCTCACCGTGACTGCTCAAGAACTGAAGCATGATCAATTCCACCCTGACTGCCCATTCAGTCATTTATCGGCGGGTCCTTTTTATGATGGTTATCATTTCCACGCGCAATACCTCATCCCGCAGCAGTACCTAATATGCAGCCTCGTTGCAATTCGCGGAAGAGAGACGTACTATACGAGTCACCTGCGAGTCTGCGACGAAGAAACCAAATCCATATTTATGATTCATGCACCGCATGGCCTATCGACAACCATCATTAATAATGATCACGCCCTCTTCTACTTGAGGCGGCCGTATGGAGTGATCACACGGACTCATGACTTGAATGAAAGATGCCATCATAGATGTTGAATACCGGAAGCGTCAAGCTTAAGCTTCTGATGCCATGGGCCGGTTCAAGTTCTTCGAATTTCTGCACAACCACTGCTATGATTGTGGGCCAAGCCAGGAAAGTCACGGTAGCATGTCTACATAGTCTGACATGTCAGTATTGGCTGAAGATCATTGTGGTCAGCAGTGATCTTTGCACGCTCACCCCCTCTCACGCCTCTTCATTTGAAATTTGTTCGCTCGCTGACGCAGCTTGGGCCTCAGAAAGTCCCTAAGGTCTGATGTCTACCTTCCGTAAATGTACTTGGGCGATAAGTAATGTCCGCTTCTTCTGGAGGTTCTTCTTTGCACTTACCTCACTGGTGTTAGTTAAAATCGGATCCATCAAGTTCAGTTTGATAATTGCACTCTTTCGCTCGTTTGAACGTCCTTGCCAGTCATAATGACTTCTGCAAGTTCGGTTTTGCACTCAGAACATATCAGGGATGAAGCGATTCTTGCCAGGTTAGGATACAAGCAGGAGTTTCGGAGGGAGTTTACTCCACTAGAGGTTGGTCCTTATCCTTATCCGAGTCATGGGCGCACCTGACAATGACCTTGCACAGGTATTTGGTGTCGCGTTCAGCATTGTGGGGCTCCTTCCATCTATTGCGTATGATACGTCATTTTAAGGAGACGAATTTTTCACTGATACACTGTCTCTCAGGTCGGTGCTCTCCAATGTCATGCCCAACGGTGGTGCTCTTACGATGGTTTGGGGTGTAATGTTTTACATATTAAGAGTTTTGGGTGATTTACTCATCTTGTTATACAGTGGCTGTTTGCCTGCGTCTTTATCATGTGCATCGGATTGGCCATGGCAGAACTTGCCTCTGCGGCACCAACCTCAGGTGGAGTATGTCCTTTGTCCTGTCGTCGATACAGAACCGACCTCTCATAAATATCCAGCTGTATTACTGGACATATTCGCTTGCCTCCCCTCGTTGTCGGAATTTTCTCTCGTGGATGGTTGGGTGTGAGTGTGATCTTTCCTTCCACGCTCATAGCGCTGACATATGGCATCATGCAGATACTAATTCGATCGTGTATGTCGCGGGACTTAGTGAGGAACTCAGCGTATCGTGAAGAATATGATTATTGAGTGACAAAACCAGCTGCAGTGGATTGGGCATGCGCGATCCAAATCGCAGCAGCGGTCAGCATCGCATCCAATCAAGTATACGTGTCAACCAACGGGCGGACCTAGTAAGTTTGTTTCATGTCTCGTTGAAGTCTCAGTCTCACTGATCCGTCGCAGTGGTATATTTGCGGCGTTGGTGTTATCCCATGCTGTCCTTGTGAGCTTTGGGACGCAAGTCCTGGCAAAACTTCAAAGACTAAACATCTTCCTGAATGTGTCGTAGGTGTTTTATTTCTGTTTTATACTAGTTTCTTAAAGTTCAATGCCTGAGGCAGCCTCTGCCTGATAGTCATCATCGCGCTTCCAATCGCAACGCCATCGGAATTCAGAAACAGCGCTAGCTACGCGCTAGGGGACTTCACTAACTGTATGTGACGTCTACTATTGCCATCTCCATCTCATAATTGTTGTCAGTGAATGGCTGGCCGTCTGGATTTGCGTTCATATTGAGTCTATTGGCGCCTCTCTGGACGATAGGTTTGGCATATCCCCTGTTGTCCGCATCCTACTTGACAATCTGAACAGGTGGTTATGATTCAAGTGTGCATATGAGTGAGGAGACATCCAATGCTGCTACCGCCATCCCATGGGCGATTGTGAGTAACACTAAAATACTGCAACTACAAGACTAATGAAAGTAGGTCGCCTCTATTGCAGTATCTGCAGCTCTTGGCTGGGGTGCGTGTCATGTTGTTAAATACATTGTTACAAATTTAACGGCTTCCAGGCATCAATATCTCCCTTGCATTTTGCATGGGCAGTGACCTGGAAGGCGTCTTGAACACTCCGATTGGTCAACCTATGGCGCAGATATTCTATAACTCTTTTGGTCAAAAGGGAGCGTTAGCCGTCTGGTCTCTCGTCATTGCGGCACAGTGTGTTCCCCCGACATTGGTCATACCGTGCTGCTCTAACAGATAAACAGATATTTGATGGGATCTAGCTGTCTGCTTGTCGGTTCCCGTCAGTCATTCGCATTTTCTCGTGATGGCGGCCTACCGTTATCGCGATATTTCTACCGAATCAATAGCTACACAGGAACGCCAGTCAATACAGTTTGGCTCGTTGCTTCTCTCGCTCTTGCAATCGGTCTTCTAGCATTCGCGAGCACAGAAGCTATCTACGCAATATTTAGCCTCACGGTCACCTCGTCATACATATCTTACATCACGCCGATCGTAACCCGTTTCGCTTTCAAAAATGATTTCAAGCCCGGTCCATTTAACCTTGGAAAATTTGTGGGTCAAAAAGCAATTGATGTAGTCTTATACTTATGTTTTTGCAGAGCTTTCCAGTCGCAGCAATTGCTGTATCATGGATGGTCTTCATGAATATTGTTTTCTTCTTTCCCACGACCCCAGAGACTACTGTACAAGAGATGAACTATACGGTGGTCGTCTTAGGTGGTTTTATGTCCCTCGCTATTCTCTGGTATTACTGCCCGAAATATGGAGGAGTACACTGGTTCAATGGACCTGTATCAAACATAGCATCAGCCGACAAAGGGGACGATGATGAATCTGTGTCAGGGACGATGGGGAAAGGGGAGGAGTAGATGTCTTGATCGTGGATGTATGAGTGTAGTTCTCGATGTTATTCAATGACATCATCGAATAGTGTTGCAATTCAAGTTGTCGTAACATGGTGATACCTCGTTTTAGTTTCCATTCACTCGAAGCCTTCAGAAGTACGTAGCGTTTGCTTGAGTACTAATAAGCTAGGCCATATAGTTATATTGATGTATCAATAACCTATAACGTATAGGGTTGCCTCAATATATATTCTTTCCACCAGTCGATGGCTTGTTAGGATACATAGTATATCTCGCTATCTCGACCGTTTGCTGCCTTAATCAAACTCCTTCTGCTGTGATACAAGTTAATCCTAATGTTTGGAACACGACACTTGCGGGCTGCGTTGCAAACTTTGATATGTTGTGTCATGCGCTCGAGATGTATCGCGCAATTATTCGAGTTCGCTTTGGGGTGTCATATTGGAGCGTCATATTTTTATCCATAAATTATAGGCGAAGCAGAAAATCCGAACACTGTGTGTGCTAGCGCAATTCGAACTGGAAAAAGGATGTATCGGTTATAGGTACACTGAGAGCACTGCGGCACGAAAAGATCGTGTAGGAGACCGACCGATTGGCAGTCGGCCCAAGTCAGAACATAGAAAAGGACGATGACAGGTCTTTCACCATGTACATATTACTCCCCCATTCGTAAAGCATCCACAACTCCTGAATGAACATGAGAACGTGGAGAAAGACTGCAGGGAAAGACTGCGGCAGAACTAAAGCGACGAAAATATTAGTGACGGGAAGAAATGGCATAAGAGGAACAAGTACTAAATTAGTCCCGTCTTAAATTGGGGGGTGAATTCGATCACTTTTCCCTGGTCATCTTTGGCAGGAGAAAACTCCACCATGGCCAACATAGTCACGATAGCAGACCACACAGAGGCATCAGCAGCATACCGGCCTGATTAAAGAATGTATTGGCTCATCACATGCAATACGGGAATGAAATAACTCAACGCACCTGGACATATACGTCGGCCAAAGCCAAATACATATTCAGCTGGGTCATCGTCCGTCAGCCCACCATTGGCGTCCATGAACCTCTCTGGTATAAAAGTAGATGCGTTTGGATACCGCTTTTCATCCCGTGAAATGTTCCTGCAATATAAAGTCAGCATCTCGCAACGGATAGAATGTATCTGACCATATGTTGCCTATGACAATCGTTCCTGATGTATGATGATATCATTGTTGCTCATTAGATGAAAACTGCGAACCTTTTGGAATGAAGTAACCGTCGTATATATCATCGCTCGAGGTGGCATGTAGCACTACAATATCATTTTCAGTGCAGGCCTCATCCCTAAGCAAAGAATATTACCAATGGGTCCGATAGGCTGCCATCGCAAAGTCTCCCTCAGAACTGATTCAACATATGGTAGTGACGCTCTGTCTTCAAAGGTAGGTAAACGATCCCGCCCAACCACTGAGTCGATCTCCGCCTGTGCACGTTTTTGAACATCTGGGTAAGACACCATGGCGAGAGCAAAAGCCATCAAGACTGAAGTAGTCTGTAAGAAAATTCAGCAGTTGACAACATGGTTCGGACATTTGCTAACCGTCTCGTACGAACCTGTGTATATATGTATCAAAGAGCAATATAGCGTCCCTTGTAAAATGATGACGAACCTATAATAGCAGTAGTAGCCGCTTTCTTTAAGGCAGCCTCAAACAATGGTTTGGATGTCTCATCTTGCTTCTCCATTCGCTGAAGATTTTCTGCCACCATTGAAAACTGACCATGGGCCGAATTTCCGACCTTCACGAGCATGCGATTAATGGCTAGGACAGACCTAATATGTTTTAAAACGAAAGATGCTCACCATATGCTGCTTTGTATATCGAAATGGCACCTCCGTTGTTTCAGTCATGAGATCGGTGGAAGCCTGAGCCTTGCGTTTGATCAAGGATCCCCAGCACCAGTTAGGTAACTTCAGTACTGGATCAGAATACAGAATGTTAGTTATTTTCATGAGAAAACGAGGTGAGCTCACAGAAGGGGAAGATTTTGAGCAAGATTGCTCTCTCTGGGGTCATCATCTCAGTCCCAATGGCCAGTGCATCGTTTACGAGTCGGACCAGAGGATCATCACGAAGACAAGTTTGATAGCCGTATGTCACCGACATCGCAACTGATAACGAGAATCTGTGAATAGGTTGATAATGATTCTATGTTTAAAGATAGATCTACAGACGTTGCGAAGTGAGAATGATAATGTTGAGGATCATCGATTAGGTTGCTGATCATCTCACGGGCCCGCTTGATTTGCATCGGACGAAAATTGAATGCTGAGTCGGGGCAGAAAGTTTGGTGGAAGAGGCGTCGACAAAGACGCCATTCGTCACCATAGCTTGTGAATGCAAAGTTGTCCGACCAGCCAAACCTGATCGCAACTCGGACTTGTTGAATAAAATAACAGTAAAACCACACGCACGGTTTAACTGTGGCTACATATGGTCGATCGGAGTAAACGCGAGAACGCTTGTTCAGCAAAGCTTCTGCAACGTGCTGAGAATTGATCACTAAGACTCCCTGTCCTAGAAGTCGCACGAAAACCAAGTCTCCTGATATAATGATCTGCACCGCATGCGCCGTAGTACTATCTGACCACGTACCATAAGTAGCAGCCCATTCAGTATAAGTCAACCAAGGCTCCTTGGTGTTGATGGATAAGACGTTTCCTAACAGTGGGAGCGGAACTGGGCCAGGGGGAAGTTTGTTCCCAACGAACCACTGGAGGGATTTGATGACAACGAAGGAAGCAGGTAAGATGGCGAAGATAGCAAGGCGACTATCAACTTGAACTGAAGGAAACATGGATAGAGTGGTGCGTGAGTAGGTATAATAGACCTGATGAATTATAACTACTGCATGGGAGCACAATTAAGTACCGCACGGTGTGCTTGGCCCGGGCATGCTGCTGGCATCCATGAATACTTGAAATTATATAAGGGTTTATTTTTTATCCTGCCTGATGGATTTGATTTTCTCCTACGTCACGGGCCATGGATGGTTACTAGTAGGAACAGCGACAGTAATGGGAGTACAAACGTGGCGCGCAGATCATATTCGGCTATTTCCGTTCATGCCGCTTTAGGAAAACGATACCCAAAAACAAGTTGAAGCACTCATCCGTCGTTTCCGCAGTGAATATTGCGAACTCATGAATTTACTGGAATAATTCACCTTCGAGTTCGAAGTTGCGCCCAATCATTCTGCAGAGATTAAGGAATTATCCATATTCGTCGCAGGTGAATAGAATGTGACTGCCGTGATACAGAAAAAAACACCTGAGGCGAGGTCGGTGAGCTCGGAAGAATATTTCAAATCAGTTTGCTCGAGTTTTGGATAATCCGGGTACAGTCCGCCCGATACCCACGCTCACACTCCAAGAGCAAGCATGATCAATTCTACCCCGACTGCCCATCCAGTCATTTATCGGTGAGTCCTTCTCAATTATAGTTTCCACGCGCAAAACCTCATCCTGCAGCAGTACCTAATATGTAGCCTCTCGTTGCAATTCGCAGAAGAGAGAGGTATACGAGTCACCTGCGACGAAGAAACCAGATCCATATTTGATATTTATGGCCTATCGACAACCATCATTAATAATGACCACGCCCTCTTCTACTTGAGGCCGTATGGGGGTGATCACACGGCCTCATGACTTGAATGAAAGATACCATCATAAATGTTGAACACCAGAAGCTTCAAGCTTCTGATGCCACAGACCAGTTCAAGTTCGTCAAGCTTTTGCACAACCACTGCTATGATTGCAGCCCAGGCCAGGAAATCAGCATGTCTACATAGCCTGATATGTCAGTGTTGGCTGAAGATTGTGGTCAGCGGTTATCTTTGCACGCTCACCCCCTCTCACGCCTCTTCATTTCAAATTTGTACGCTCGCTGGCGCAGCTTGGGCCTCAGAAAGTCCCTAAGGTCTGATGCCTACCTTACGTAAATGTACTTGAGCGGTAAGTAATGTCCGCTTCTTCTGGAGGTTCTTCTTTGCACTTACCTCACTGGTATCAGTTAAAAATCGGTTTCATCAAGTTCAGTTTGATAATTGCACTCTGTCGCTTCTTTGAGCGTCCTTGCCAGTCATAATGACTTCTGCAAGTCCGGTTTTGCACTCAGAACACATCAGGGATGAAGCGATTCTTGCCAGGTTAGGATACAAGCAGGAGCTTCGGAGGGAGTTTACTCCACTAGAGGTGGGTCCTTATCCGAGTCTTGGGCGCACTTGACAATGACCTTGCACAGGTATTTGGTGTCGCATTCAGCATTATTGGGCTCCTTCCATCTATTGCGTGTGACGTGTCATTCTAACGAGACGAATTTTTCACTGATACACTGTTTCTTAGGTCGGTGCTCTCCAATGTCATGCCCAACGGTGGTGCTCTTTCGATGGTTTGGGGTGTAAAGCTTTATATATTAAGAGTATTGGGTGATTTACTCATCTTGTTATACAGTGGCTGTTTGCCTGCGTCTTTATCATGTGTATCGGATTGGCCATGGCAGAACTTGCGTCTGCGGCACCAACCTCAGGTGGAGTATGTCTTTTTTCCTGTCGCCGATACAGAACCGACATCTAATAAATATCCAGCTGTATTACTGGACCTATTCGCTTGCCTCTCCTCGTTGCCGGAATTTCCTCTCGTGGATAGTTGGGTGTGAGTATGATCTTTCCTCCAAACTTATCGTTGACATATGGCATCATGCAGATGCTAATACGATCGCAGCTATCGCGGGACTTGGTGAGGAATCCAGCGTATCAAGAAAATCATGCTGATTGAGTCACAAAACCAGCCGCAGTGGATTGGGCATGCGCGATCCAAATCGCAGCAGCGGTCAGCATCGCATCCAATCAAGTATACGTGACAACCAACGGGCGGATCTAGTAAGTTTGTTTTATGTCTCGTTGAAGTATCAGCTTCCCTGATCCCTCGCAGTGGTATATTTGCAGCGTTGGTGTTATCCCATGCTGTCCTTGTGAGCTTTGGGACGCAAGTCCTGGCAAGACTTCAAAGACTATACATCTTCCTGAATGTGTGGTAGGTGTTTTATTTCCGTTTTATACTAGTTTCTTAAGTTCAATGCCTGAGGCAGCCTCTGCCTGATAGTCATCATCGCGCTTCCAATCGCAACGCCATCGGAATTCAGAAACAGCGCTAGCTACGCGCTAGGGGACTTCACTAACTGTATGTGACGTCTACTACTGCCATCTCCATCTCATAATCGTTGTCAGTGAATGGCTGGCCGTCTGGATTTGCGTTCATATTGAGTCTATTGGCGCCTCTCTGGACGATAGGTTTGGCATATCCCCCGTCGTCCGCATCTTATTTGACAATACAATAGGTGGTTATGATTCAAGTGTGCATATGAGTGAGGAGACATCCAATGCTGCTACCGCCATCCCATGGGCGATTGTGAGTAACACTAAAAACACTGTAGCTACAAGACTAATGAAAGCAGGTCGCCTCCATTGCAGTATCTGCAGCTCTTGGCTGGGGTGCGTGTCATGTTGTTAAATACATTGTTACAAATTTAACGGCTTCCAGGCATCAATATCTCTCTTGCATTCTGCATGGGCAGTGATCTGGAAGGCGTCTTGAACACTCCGATTGGTCAACCTATGGCGCAGATATTCTATAACTCTTTTGGTCAAAAGGGAGCGTTAGCCGTCTGGTCTCTCGTCATTGTAGCACAGTGTGTTTTCCCGACATCAGTCTTACCGTGCTGCTCTAACAGATAAACAGATATATGATGGGATCGAGCTGTCTGCTTGTCGGTTCCCGTCAGTCATTCGCATTTTCTCGTGATGGCGGCCTACCGTTATCGCGATATTTCTACCGAATCAATAGCTACACAGGAACGCCAGTCAATACGGTTTGGCTCGGTGCTTCTCTCTCTCTTGTGATCGGTCTTCTAGCGTTCGCGAGTACAGAAGCTATCAACGCAATATTTACCCTCACGGTCACCTCGTCATACATATCTTACATCACGCCGATCGTAACCCGTTTCGCATTCAAAAATGATTTCAAGCCCGGTCCATTTAACCTGGGAAGATTCGTGGGTCAAAAAGCGATTGATGTAGTCTTCTACTTATGCTTTTGCAGAGCTTTCCCGTCGCAGCAATTGCTGTGTCATGGATGGTCTTCATGAATATTGTTTTCTTCTTTCCCACGACCCCAGAGACTACTGCACAAGAGATGAACTATACGTTGGTCGTCTTAGGTGGTTTTATGTCCCTCGCTATTCTCTGGTATTACTGCCCGAAATATGGAGGAGTACACTGGTTCAATGGACCTGTATCAAACATAGCATCAGCCGACAAAGGGGACGATGATGAATCGGCGTTAGGGAAGATGGGGAAAGGGGAGGAGTAGATGATGTCTTGATCGTGGATGTATGAGTGTAGTTCTCGATGTCACTCAATGACATCATCGAATAGTGTTGTAATTGTCGTAAGATGGTGATACCGGCTCGCTTGAGTTTCCAGTCACTCGAAGCCTCAAATGAACCTTTGAGGGGTTATCCATCCATCGTCAGAGATTATTAGGAACACTCGAAACAGAGGTCGAACGACAAACGGAACCCTTTTCTCCATCTCAATCTCATTGAGACCTCGCTCAACTTGAAGGTACTTATATCTTTCTCGTCATACAGTTGGTTCTTTGCTTCACCAAAACGAACTTCAAGATCTGCATGATCATATTAAACGAAGACCAAATGCAGTTCGGAACTAGTGAGCTGAAATTTTTTGTTCTTCTCCAAGATCGAGGTTGTGGCGAGGAGCAATGACCTAGGCGGCGCAATGAAGCTACCATGTCGTTTTCGCGCGCAGTTGTAAGGCAGTCATTTCCACCGAGTGTCTCAAGGATTGTGTGTGAGTCAGAATGTCGCATCAATGCTATTGATCGTAGCTTCTCGCGTAGCGATAATGCCATGGTAGTCGAAATAGTTCGGGGAGGTTTAGGAAGAGATGATAGGTGCAGCTTAACAAGACCACGAATTGGCGTTCAGTAATTTTTTGATTTGCCAGCATCTGGGTAGACTCGTAGCCAGTCTGACGTATGTCACGATAAGCCAGGCCGGCCACGAGCCTGACATGTGGGCCGAGGGTGTTGGACAGCTGCACGAGGATTACCAGCGGCTGTTGCTCATGAGTGGGTATACGATTGTGGCCTCCGTCAGGACTTTGGAGAGATCAGGGCCTGTAGGATCACATATCGCCGAGGGGTTGAGACCTGCCAATGCACCTGTTGCATACAGGAGGAGTCTAGGGTCCGATTGTTCTTGCTCTTCCCACGCTCCTCATGCTGTATACCGTGATGCTGCGGCTCACAGCTTTTTGTATCAGTCTGGCGCCAAAATACGCGCGTTTGTATTGTACTTTGACACGTTCTTCATAATGATGGGCAAACCAGTTTCCCGTCCCTCTTTGAAGCGCCCGTCAAGGTGACAAAGGAGGGAAATGTGACACTCGCTGAGGTATGGCCTGTGGGCGCCCAAGCAATTATTAATTGGGCACAGAAGGGAGGTCGACTGATGACCAGCCCTTCTATGAGAGGTGGCTAGGATGCGTGATGCAGAAAAAAGGAACACCTGCAAACACGGTGACCAATACGAATTGTTTGTACATAATTTGAGTACTGTCTGAGTACTGTAATTATCCTTCTATAGTTCTCACGGTTACAATATAACAGAATCATGGATTCACTGATGACACTCCATGAGCGAAGTCAAACTCATATTCATACCTGATCACATGCCGACTAGCCAGTATGATCACTGGCACGAGCACGTTAGTACTACATACGTACATCATGGTTTACATTTCGCTTCGGCCAAGAATTTCCATTTCAACTAGATCTCCCCACTGGTGCCAGTGGAGGAGTCCTTTCTCCATGGATATACTGACTCCGTCAGTAAAACTAGTACAACTTTGGGATGCAATAAAGACTAAAGAAGCATAGTAGTTATGCACCTCATGGAAAAGGCTCCTTAAAGGTTCGTTTTCTGGATTTTTTTTTAACTTTCTGATCTAGGCAGCCAGGCTGGTGGTACTACTGTACCATACGAATTTCGGAACCTTCTGAATCTCGGTTCCTTCGCATGACTGGTAAGTCCTCACGTCATTCACAATCAAAACACCTCAGACTCTTCTCAACATCGTGGCTTCAGCTTAATGTCGTAGTCACGTATAGTGGCTTCAACACGTCCTCACATCGAGTCCCCACATGCTTCGTTTCCCTCCTTTTTAAATCCAGCAGCTTTGTCGGTTCGATCTTTGACAGGTTCGATTCTGCACCACCCACCCTACTTCTACGATGTCTCGCATGCCCACGAACTTTCTACGCCACGCTACTATCATCATTAGCCAGGTTATTATCCTGGCATTCGGGTACGGATTTCTTGGTGCAGTTCTCTATTATGGTTACCTCTCTCCACCCGATAACGTTGGCGATTTATGGAGGCATCACCCCGGGGAGTTGACGATGGTAGTCACATTGATAGCGACTGTGCTCTCAGTCACTACCGCTACGTCTGTATATCCCTTTACTCTCTCCAGCTTGCCACTCACATAGAGATGAAACTTCCCCCTAGACTTTTTACAATTTCGATAAAGGAAGCATTGAGACATCGGATATCGCAGCCCATCTCTCTCGTTGAACTGAGTGCCGGTGTCGCTTTGGCGAAGGGCTCGATCATATTGAGACCTGAGTACTTGCGACTGACCACCCTGACACTTTTTGTCTTTGGTGTGCTGAGACTCTTGACAGCTGGGTAACTCGTTACTGAAAGCATTGTACTATTGCTGTGTTGTCTAATTCAAGTACGGATATAGGTGGACAACTCTCCTGACACCAACCTACTTCCTATGGCCAATTCAGATGCGAGGTTCTGAACTTGACATCACTGGAACCGCGTTTTCTACCTTACTCTTCCAAGAACTTCAAAAGCAAGGTTTTTCCGACAGTGCGTATCTCTACTTTCTCAGTGTTTTACTCATTTCTTCTAAAACGAACAACCCAAGTCCAGGACAATGCTTTCGAGATTCTCGACATCGGCGGAATGTTAAGTGGAGTCTCTGCTGCAGGATATACCTATGGTCTTCCTGGTACATTTAACTTCAATGGCGCAAAATATAATGTATCTACTCGTAGGTTCAGAATCTCAGGTCATCTGAAGCTGTTTTGTGATGATGTGTTGTATACCTAGAGGGGATTGTGCCCACCATCGAGGATTATTCCGGCTCGGATGGAGTTCCGAGTGCCAACAGTACTCGTCTCGGGTTTTCTGGTGGAAACGTCACGGTCATCATAGGACCGATACTAGGAAAACATACCAGCGTGTCTATGCCTCGAGGCTTCAGCAGGAACTATTCCATGTGGCAGCAGGGGTTAACAGCTGATGTCAGCTGCCAAGCCATTGACTCGAGTCAAACGCAATACGTTTGGAACACGAACAACTCCGAGGTTATCTATACCAACTCAGCTGCTCCGAACAACTCCATCACTGGTCTTCGCTTGTGGAATATAACTGCAAACTGCGGTACCAGTGAGTTCGGACCGCATATATCTTGCCTCGAATTTACCATCAGCTCCTAGACACGCCCACGACACAGGAATATGTGACCATGGTGGATGCAAGTGGAAATGCGAGCCTGTCAGGGAGTGGCTTTCTTCCTTCCGTTGTGTGCCCGGGGCCTATGAATCTGAATCAAACTTATACAAGCTTCAGTGAGCCATTGAAAAATGCGTTTGTAGTCATTGACCGATCCTATTCCTATAGCGATTCTTTCACAGGGATTTTACAAGTATAGGTTCCTTGACGCAAGTGTGTGCGAAGTGACCCCACTGTTGACCACAGTCCGCGCCAATTATTCCAATGACCTAATTTCTTCTGAGGTCATGTCATCCACCCCTTTCCGATCAGAAAATGCTCAGCTACTGTCACTCGTCGCTGGAGTTGCCAAGTTTCAGTCGATCAACTCGCAGGGGCTTATGAGCAGCGCGATCGGAGATACTCTGTACTCCATCTATTCCTCAACAACTAACACATCTATTGACGACAATCTTGGAGATCAGACGCAGGTTTACAAAGAATTGGTGAGTTTCATGTTTCAAGGTCTTTGAGCACCTCAGTTTTATGGCTTTATTAGGAGGAGTATTGGCGTGGTGTTGTTGAGTTTTCTGCCACAGTGAGGGTTCTGATCCTTTAGATCCAATATAAATTGATTTAGCATCGCTTGGCAGTTCCTTCGTTCCGGGTTTATGGTTGTGGGTAGCTTCCCCGATAATACCATTCCAGAGTACCTTTCATCCCCAGTCAATGGGACAATGTACATATCAACGATAGGTTGGACTCGGCGATCTGCGACATATCTTCTCGCTATCCTTCCCCTCACTATCATCACCATCCTCACATTCGTGTGTGCTTTATATAGTATCTTACACCATCGGAAAGATAAGAATGGCTATACGGCCATCTTCGATGCGTCAAATACCCTTCATCTCATTATGGCATCCGCTGCAGGACCTCTGAAACTCCAAGATTTCGGCAAGGATGGGATTATCGCCAACGAGGGCGTGAGGGTGGAGCTACAGAACGAGGGTGCGCAGAAGAAATTTGTGAGAGAATGATGGTGCGCAGAAGATGTTTGTGGAAGAGAACGATGGTGGACAGAAGATGGTTTCGAATTCGGCATGATTTTAGGTACCAGTACGCTATATCCAGTTCTCTTTTCTTACTCATTCTTACTCATGTCCAATTGTAACGGTGGCGCTGTTGCCTATTCGTTACAATCCTGCCAAACCTCCTGACTACGCACATATACTTATTATCCTACAGTCGACATCCTTCTTGACGAGGTCCGGGTGCCTCACCAATGACGATATCAAGTGACTGTACTATATTTTGCTACCATCTCTCTACCTTTTCCCCGTTCCCGCGTCTGCCTGATACTCACTGTTCCGTGAGCTATCGAGTTTTCGATACCTCAAAAGGCTTCAGTGCTGCCGCTGCAACAAGCTCGCAACAAAATCAATTTCGTGTTGAACCTAATGGGCGGAGACCTAAGGCGTAAACTCGATATGAGAGCGAATCTGTCTTCAACGCCCCCACCCAAGGTGGGTGATGCAGTCCAGGATGTGGCAGAGTAAGCGCTCTTTGAGAAGCGAGACAGAAGTGTCGAGACCCAATGGAGAGCGGGCACGTGTATGGTTCTTGATAATGTCCTCGAGTAGATTAAGAGAGATATCAAGATCTCGGGAGGAAGGAGGGATGAGTTCAAGTGGGAGTTCGTCAGGGATGTCATTGCCATTAAGTTCTGGTGTTGCGTCAGTGGTGTGAGCTAAATGAGGAAATGCAAGGACATCCTGCGGTAGATCAGGCCTCAGGCCCATTGCAACATGGAATTCAGGTTGAGTTTGCTGCAGTCATTAGCGTCGGCAAGGGCCCTGGATAAATATTAGAGACTATGTACAATTAAACAATTTTAATAATCACCAGATGCGAGCTAGTTCGTTCTTTTCGATTCGATTCTGGCCAAAGACCTCGAGTACAATATGAAACCAGTGACCTGGGTATCCCAGGATCTGAAAATCTGCGTATTACTTCTTTTCGGCTTTGGAGAGCGTCCATGGGATCTTGGGTGCAAGCCATATGCCCCTGATTATGTTGCTGGGGGGGGCAGCAGGCTGTGGCATTCCTTACTATATTATGGCGCAGAAATCTATATCGGCAGGTAAGAACGAGCTGGACATCATCCGCAAGCGTGAACCAGCTACGCTGCCAAAAAAAGCAAGGTGAGAAAAATGGACAAATTTGGAATATCTGCACAGTGAAATGAACCTGAATGTTCACGACTATGGCCAAAAATTCTGCCTAAGTAATGTGGAACACCAAAAGCCGTCCTGACCCAAGGCTTTTCTCCCTGGCTTGAACTAATCTTATTACTAGCGGTGAACGAGGGCCATGGGAGAAATCTTTACCTTTCCCCAAATTTTGCTAGGAGTTTGCGAAAGTTGAAGGCAAAATTCCAATTCATCTCAGAAGTGATTCAGTAAATGTTAATGTTTCGATGACTCCGAGATGTCCTTCCGCGGTAGGCTTTTTAGTTACTTTACCTGCTTCGTACGTCTAGGCTAATTGTCCTCACAAGTACTCGAGCTACCTTTCTACTGAAGTTACTGAGAAGGTTCTTTAGTTCATGCAGGAGGTATCGTTGCACAAATCCCTCCTAACACATCGATGGTGCACATGATACTCGATTCTGACGCTCCAGTAGTCCGGTACTTTGTTTATGTGAGCACGGGTTCTGAACGTTCAAAGATAGGGCGTCAGAAATTGACAAACCTCTACCCGATACAGCCAACTTTCAATCAATCATGTTTCAGCAATTCCCGCAAGTAGACGTCGCCAGTCAGGGCCACGGTATCTGACCGACCGCTCGACATAAGTGGGCTCTCTCTGTGCCTGTAGTATGCGTTTAAATACCACATCTGCGACGCGATGGAACGCCAGGTCATTTCTAATCTCTTGTTGCTCTCTAATCTACTTCAATCATGAGCTCCATCGAATACCACTATCCTGTGATTGGTCGCAAGGGTACTGGAGGCGTATTTGATCGATTGCCTATCGAGACGCTGGAGAAGGATCACCCTTACCAATTTTCATTGTTCATCCTTGCCTTTGCTGTAATTCAGCAGCGTCCCGATGCTCTCCAAGTCGTGGAAGAGCCTGCGGGCACTTTCATGGAAATTGGGTCGATTCACGGAAGGCCCTTCATTGAATGGGCAGGCGACCGCAACAAGTACACCCCAACTGACTATAGCCCCACTGACAAGAAAGATACCGATCCCGTTCCTGCTAGATTCGGAGGTATTTGGTCCTTTCCATCGTAGCCTTCCGCAACCTGACAACGCTGCTTGTGACAGGCTATTGCAAGTAAGTCGGTGTGCGTCTTCTCACTCTATTGATTTTGAAACCTCTGTTCAGCCATGGCGCCGTTGTTTTTCCTACTTGGCACCGCCCATATGTCATGCTTCTCGAGGTATGCTCAACGAATGATCGTGATTGACACGTTGCCTAATTTTTCTGTAGCAATCCATCGGAAATATCGCCGATCAGTTGGCCCACGACATCGAAGCTAAAAACCCGCATGAATGTGGAGTGTGGGTGAAAGCTGCCAAGGAACTGCGCTTTCCGTGCGTGCTAAATAATTTCCGACGCTTGTTCATATGATCAAATTGCATGCAGATACTGGGATTGGGCCGAGAAGGACGTTTCCGAGAATGGCCTTCCTCCTGTTCTGTACGAAGACAAAGTGGAAATCGTGGTCGCTGGAGGTCAAAAACAAATAGTTGATAATCCCCTCTCATTTTTCTCGTTCGTCGATGGGATCCCATCGGACTTTGGCGACGAAACGCTCAGGGTATGATATTCTTACCTCTCCATATTGCGGGACTTGCTCAAACCTGGTTGGTAGACGGGACAAGTGGCATACTTCTCCAAGTGGCACAGGACATACCGCTATGCTGCTAGTAGCCCGAACCCTGAAGGCAGCAACGTAGACCAGTTGCAAAAGTAGGTGTTGATCGAGACATCTTATGCGAGGCGGGAAGCGGGAACTGATTTGAACTTTGTAAGGGCGTTCAAAGCCGGGGCAAAGGATCTAAGAAGCAAAGTCGCTCAGCTCTTTGTAGTAAACAATGACGAGAATCCCGCATTAGCGTATGTCTTGGATTTTGTTATCCTTTTGTACCGACTGACATTCGATAGCTGGGACGAGTTTTCGAATCATACTACACAGTCGAAGAGAGAAATGGATAATTTCAACTCTGGGTCGCTTGAAGGCGTGCATGATGCTGTTCATATGTTGGCTGTAGGTGACATACATTTGTTCCAACCTTTGAAGTATGCTTACTCTAGCGATAACTTAGGGCGGAATCGGACATATGGTTAGTTGTAAATGCCTGTCTGCGAACGATACTGTTGATCTTCATTAAAAACACTTGCAGAGTGCCCCAGACTACGTGAGTAACTCCTCTGACCCATTACAATGATGTTAAGCTCTCTTTGAATAGGCCGGATTTGATCCTTTGTTTTTCCGTGCGTAATTATGCGTGAGTTACCTACATGCACGACTTATATGGATTTCTCCCTCTACAGTTCACCATTCGAATGTGGACAGACTGTGTATGTACGATTTGGTTCAAGGGTTTTTTCTTGCGTCTGAATCTGCCAAGTGGCTCTATGGGAGTGGTGCTACGCCGAGTACTGGATGGAAAACGGGTATGAAATCAATGGGAAATCATACCCCTGGACACAGGTATTCGGTTGGACGATATTCTGACGCGAGTGCTCAGTAATTGTCTTTTAGCAACTCGGTACATATGCGCAAGTTTACAACGCACAGCTCCTTCCAGACGGGCCCCTCCAACCATTCCGAACGGAACAAGGTGATTATTGGACCTCTTCTCAAGCTCGATTTCTGCACACAGATGCCTACCCCAAGTGTACGTAGACATCTTGTCTATGGGATGGCACAAGCTCATCTCAGCCAGATTACTCGTATCCCGAGTTTGCAGGCATTAAAGTTGATCGAGCTGCCATGTCATCCGACGAGCGTGCTTTGGCACGCAAGAAAATTGCGGCCTACTATGGGTTTGATCCGCAGACCACGGCGCAACAGGTGGCGGCGCCCGCATGGACGCAACTTCCTGTTCCAGACAAGGACCATCCTTCCGTGCCAGCCGACCATGCCGTTATTCCTGAATATCGCACATTTGCTGTGCATGTAAAACTTTTGGAGCATGCTTTCAATGGCTCCTACTCATTCCAGCTTTATCATAAAGGAAAAGATGATTCGGCTTCGCAGCTCATAGGTACTGTCGCAGTCTTCGCACGGCCAGACCATTCCCCTTGTAAAGCGTGTACTCTGCGTCGCGAAGCGGGAACTGTGATTCACGGCATTATTCCCATTCCTCCCGCATTGATCGAGAGTATCATGAAATCAAACGCCGACGGTGAAACGGTCGCTACATTCGATCAAACGCTGGCTCATATCAAGGGGGAGTTCTTTGGAAAGATTGTGGATACTACTGGCTCAGAGCTTGCCAGGGCTGAGGGAGGTCTGGAGGTCCCCCAGGTACCAAACCACCAAACCACTTCTCGCAATGCTACTCCCATAGAAATCTCTCTGGTGTCGACTGCTGTTGCTGAACACGGACAGGACAAGGATCGTCCTGTCTATATATGCGACTGGCAGCACCACGATGGCGTCTTCAGCGTAAGCTTGTGTATCCTTCTTGATTTGAATAATTTTCTGAACATGACTTTTCTACAGGCCGGATGGCAGGCGACTCACCCAGTTGCGGCGTGATGCAGCATGGTCGGCAGCTTTGGGGCTTGATCGCAAAAACAGTGAAGTTGTGAAAGAATGCCGGTGGCGAAATGAGCTTCTACATCATGTACCACCTTTCTGAGCTATATAAGTCCTGTCGCGACTCGCGTGTCGTGTTCATCTTGCCCGACGTGGTCCAGCTACAGCACTATGCTGATACATTGAGGGATTACTAGTGGAAGTGCACTCGCAGTCCATCGCAGGACAAACGTAATGTACAATCTCTTTACCATGAGAGGTATCAGAACTCACTGCACCTAATCCTCATGATCTGTGCTCACACGAAGCTAAGTACTGAGACCATTGATATAGTTCCAAGTTCAGGTTGTCTAGTAATACATATCCTTCAAGCGCTGATTGACATATTCCCCGGCCGATACGGGTCCATACCTCGCAGGTCGCTCCGCAGATACACAGCTTGTAATGGGCTGCTCAACCACCTCAATTGTCGAGTATTCAAACAATAAATGAGCACGAACCTCGATATTAACATCGTAGTCAGTGCCAAAGAATAAGGGGATAGAATAACGGTCAATGCCATTCCTATTAACAGCTCTGTGGACCGTAGACTTGAAAATATCATCTAAAAAGTGAACGCTGAGATGAAGTCATGGCATGTTGCGAAAAAAACGTACTTGTCCACCTAGCAAATTGGTCACCCAGGCTTGTGAAAAACAATGAGCTATTGAAAATGAATTAAAAGTAAATCTGATCACTTAATAACCAGCGTTCCGTCAATGGGTGGGGCATTGATCCACTGCTTCTGGGAATTTAACACCTGCAGCGCTTGAATTCCTGGCTGTTGCCAGAGTATCGTGAAACACTGCAATACAATTGATGCGAATCACAGTAGAGTTCTGGTGATAGCGAATCGCACCTCAAAGCTAAATGTTTACAAGGCATCAATATAATTGAAGAAAAAGGTTAGCAGCGAATCACGCACTCCGTGTGGGCACCAATACCGACGATACGATCGTCTGCTGGACCTGTTTGTGGGGGGTAGTGCAATGCATTCATAATGGCAGCCGAGTTCTTCGTCTACAAAACATTCAATAAAAGTTCGAAGATCACATAACACTCATTGCAATGGCACTGCACCTTGTCGTCGAAATACCTCTCTGGCAAATCCAATGATAGTGCGAACATTGGGAAAAGTATCTTTCCGACAGCTACTGCCGCATGACTAACGAAGCTGTAAGTTGATATCATTATATTACCCATCAAGGCGGGAGTACTCACTAATATTTCAACATGCCTTCTCTATACTTTTCAGGACGCTCGGGCCAAACATTAGCGCCTGCCATGGCTCCATCATTTGCACGCTTTTCATCATGGGCCTTTGCCTCGAGCTCCTCCCAGCCAATTTGGAAGGACTCGTGCAGGTCGCCGCTGTTCCCGGGTTCGATATTGGCATCGAGTAGTGGTGTGTATCCTTTAAAGTTGGCGACTTTCTTGTGATTGAGCTATACGAAAATGCCGTCGATTAGTAATTATGAACAGAGGTAAAAGCATGATCGACACCTTGAGCTTTTCCTCGGTTGGAAGCTCGAAGTATTCCTTGTTGACTTTAAGGACATTGTCTATGCATTCCGACGGTATCCCATGGTTTTTGACTGTCGTAAATGTAAAGTCACCACACCATGACGTCGGTTGAAGGTTTCTATCATAATACGTCTAGTACAGAAGGCTCACCATAGAAAAACCCTACAGTCATGCATGCATTGCGTATCTGAGACGCAAGGGCTTTCCTCTCGTTTTCATCCGGACTCGTTGCATGGGAAAGATCGCTGCAGTGAAGTCAGCAAAGTCGTACTTGACAAGTGAACTTGACTGATAAACAGACATTACGGGTATGTCTTGAAAAGCGCCATCAATAACGGACGCTGATTCTGCTAAAGACATGATTGTCGATGAAGGCAGGAAGGAAAAAGGTATAAGAGTCTCCCCCCCATTGTCCCGAACGAGATAAGATAAAGCTCCGAGTTACTTGTACTAATCATCGAAATGCTCCAATAGTAGTTAGCATACTTGTAATTATAATGGTCGACTTTCCATAAGCCAAAATAATATATAATTTCACGCATATACGTGTCATTTCGTCACCATTTGAAATCCAACAACTTGATTCCCCCACTAAACCTTAACCCATCTACTTATTATACATGGCCGTCAATCGTTGCTTTACGTACTCTCCAGCAGTGATGGCCGGGTATGTCGCTGGTCTTTCAGCTGTCACGCAGGTGTAGATTGGCTGTAATGTATCAAATAAGGCCATCAGATCAGCATAAACAATATCCAGTTGACTAGCCTCGATGTTAACCTCATAGTCAGTGCCGAAGAATAGTGCGATGGAATACCGATCAATAATGTTCTTGTTGACAGCTCGATGCACGGTAGACCTGAAAATGTCGTCTGCATAATTTGGTCGGCTCCTCGTGCAAATCACCAGGGACAGTGGGGTCTACGCACTTGTCCAACGCGCAAACTGATCTCCAAGACTGATCATCCAGTGTTAGCGACCAAATAAAGAAGAAAAACACGCCAAATGTCCATACTTGATAACAAGGGTTCCTGGCAGCGGTGGTACGTTGATCCACTGTTCACAAGAGTTCAGAACTTGGAGAGCCTCAAGACCTGTTTGTTGCCAGAGAATCGTGAAACACTGCCCATAGTTCAGTATATCACAAGCTCAGATATTTGGACTTACCACAAAGCTATAAACCCGGATGACGTCAACATCATGCGTCAACGGGACGGCTTCGAAACAACTCACTCGGTGTGAGCTCCGATTCCCAGTATCTTATCGTCTGGAGCATCTGGCTGAGGCGGATAGTGGAGGGTACGCATGGTAGCGGCCGAATGCACGGTCTATTTAAATAAAGTATGACCTGTGCACCAGGCCGTGCAGACACCTACCTTGTCATTGAAATACGTTTCGGGCAGGTCGAGCGCCAGCGCAAAGAGGCAAAACAACTTCTTTCCGACGGCAAGGGCAGCGTGACTGTAAGACTACATCATGAGTTTCTGGTGGATCGGAAAGCGATCATCGACTCGACTAATAATTCATGCAAACGGTTCTAAAATCTTCAGGTGTATCCGGCCAGACATTCGCACCTGCCATCACGCCATCGCGAGAAGTATTTTGAACGACCGTATCCCGAGATTTATCTTCCCAGCCGATGCGAAAACCCTCATGTAAGTCGCCCTTGTTCCCTGGTTGGATGTTTGCTTCCAATGGAGGGCTATAGCCTTTGAAATTTGGTACTGTCTTATGATGAAGCTAGTCATGGATGCTTCATGTCGTCAGTCAAGTGCAGCATTCAGATAGACACACTTTCATCTTTTCCTCAGCTGGAAGCGAGTAATACTCCTTGTTCACTCTCAGGACTTCGTCAAGACAGTGCTGTGATATGCCATGGTTCTTGACTGGAGTTCACGTCATAAGATGTGAGACGGACAGATATCAGGCTGGGCGTACCATAAAAGAATCCAACATCCATACACGCCATTCGAATGTGTTGTGCTAGGGCACGTCGTAGAGCTTCATCTTCGCTAAACGCATCCTCTAGATCACTAAGATTCAGGGAAGCACCGTCAGATTTGCAGAGAAATATGAAAGTTACCGTACATGATTGGAATACTTTCAAATGCCCCACCACATACAGGCGCGCATGACATGGTCCAGGCAGTATCTCAATTGGCCGCAGTACTAGTAGCAATCGGTAGTTGATTGAAGTTGGCAACTGCTAAGTTATGTAATACATAGTCGGAGTAAGTGCTATCCGAACTAAGTATGCCGTGACGTCTAACAAAAAGTAAAATAGCAAATGTAGTATCTACTCTGCAGTGGCAGCATTTTCATGTTGCCCCTCAAACAGTTCCCCAGAAACTCAATTGCAATAGGGGATCTCACAGTAGGCTTACATCAAGCTCCCCGCGCAAAAGACAATTGCACAACCAAACGCTGCATTCCAGAAAACGGAGCCAACTTCCCAAGTTGTGTGCATCCATAAAAAGCAGCGCAAGGGAAAGGGGGTGTACGAAGAGAGATGGATCCGAGTGCATGGGTGACGCAAATATCGATTACGAGGGATGTCCGACACAGGTGTGGAGGAAGGAAGTTGAACTGAGCGTGCGCGTGCCACACGACCTCCATCCTTCATGAGTTGTGCGAAGCAGGGCGACGACGACCAATACCAAAGAAAATTCCGCAGCAGTTCACTCCACACATAACATCCGGCGCTCCGTCAGTTGAGCCTTGTCCTTGTGTTTGGACTGGTTGTACTTGAGACGCTTGTGCCCCTGCTGGCTGACCTGACTGCATTGAATTGTCGGCCCCGTTGCCATTTGTGCGCCGCATGGCTTCCGCCGCTTCCTCATTGGTTTCAGGGACAATGGCATATCTCTGCGTTGTGTTTTAATGGGATAAAAGGAGAGTAAAGGCAAGCTACTCACATCGTCATCTTGAGCCAGAGGGACATCGACGATGCTGCTTGACTTTTTTAGAGGACGTAAGCTGAAATTCCAATGTCGGGATTTGCGAGGGGATGGTGGGAGCGTATCTCTAGGTTGCGCACTGGACTTGAGGAAACCAAACAAACTGCGCCAATGAAGGAAAGATGGACTGGGAGACGGAGCTGCACGATTTGATTCATTACCGAAGAAATCATTGCCCTGCATCCAAGTCAAATTAGCAAGAGCTGAAGAAGGAAAAAAAATTACTGACATATTTTGCCGAGCCTCTGGTATTGGCCTGTTGTGTGAGATGGAGAATGTATGTTGAGAATCGAGCGAAACATGAGACATTAAAAGTTGCTCACGATTGGTTGCCGCACAACTCTCGGTTGAGCTGAATGTCCCTGGCACAAAATGAGACATAGTGTGAAAGAGCAGTAGAGATGACTTGCCTTGAGCTTTGTATCTGCACCCTAAATCGTCAAAACCGTCAGGCAGGGACATCAAGCAACAAAGCGCATACATACCATAAATTTGAGCGCTGCCTCGAGGCTCCATATATAGATTTTTTTGTCTAATCCAGTACTGGCAATGAATTTTCCATCGGAGGACATGACAACAGCCAAGAGTGCGTCATCATGCAAGAGTGGATCTCCGACTGCCTGATTGGTCTTGAGATCCCAAATTCGAAGGGAGTAGTCATATGATGCGCTAACAATATGGCTTTCATCGGGAGTAAGGCAGAGCGAATAGATGATATGGGTGTGACCCCGAAAAACAATGAGTTCCTGTCCATCGATCACCCGCCATTTTCGGATGGTCTGATCGATTGACGCGGAGAATATATGTGCGCCGTCCTTGGACCAACACAATGACGTCACCCAGTATTCATGTCCCTCCATCTGTATGAGCAGCTTGCCGTCCTTTGACCACACCCGGATCACCTTATCCACGCCACTCGCGAATTTGTCGCCATGTGGAGCATATTTGATGGCTTCGACCCATTCACTGGCCTCTATTGGTGGTGCTGTTTGTCGACCAGTATCCGGGTTCCAGCGTCGTATGGTCCCGTCGGAAGATCCGCTTGCTATCTCCAGGGCATTGCGAGACCAATCAAGGCACATCACTGCAGCATCATGCCCCTCCCACGGATCTCCGATCATGCTGCCCTCCTTGATATTCCACAACCGCAGTGAGCCGTCTGCACTTCCACAAATGACCATTGTTTCATCCGGTGAGACCGCCATTGTGCCTATCATTCCCCCCTCGCTATTCAAAGGTTTTCCTACTGGCTCTCCGTCTCTTTTCCATTGACGAATCGAACCATTGTCAGACACGCTCATTATATTGCCACTCGTACCCAAGTAGGCAAGGTCCCATATGCGTTCAGTGTGACCCTCGATGACGCACTCCGGCATCAAGCTTCCTGCAGGACGTTCTGGCTTGGGTTTCTTCCACGACGTAGTCCGATCTTTGTGGTTGACGAAGTAGGACCGACCCAGTGGTGAAATGTACCATTCGTATCTCGGATCAAAGCTATATCTAGCTATGGTCAATGGTCAACCGTGAGTTCGTCGTTCCTTGTCGTGATTTCATCTCTAACCTAGTCGCACTCCTGGTAAAGGTCGGTTCCAAGAGACCATAAAGAGCGTATCATCTTGATATTGTGGTTCAGCATCCGACGACGTCTTAAACTGGTGCCAATTAGGAGGAAGCGCTTCATTCCCGCCTGCTTCTAACTGAGTAAGCTAGTGGGTATCACGAGGGAGCTGCCTCACCTTCCCAAAGTGCATTCTGGAGGTGCTGTGCACCATATGGTGGTGGATCCTTCGCACTCGTTCGATATATCGGCGAGTGCAGTAGCGCTTCTCCCCGTCTCGTCGACGTGCTTGACTCGGCCTCTTCGGGTGGCATGACCTTGGTCGATAAAGGATGTAGGGTTGTACAGACGGAGTGGACAGCGAAATACACAAAGTCGATAATCGAGGGGAAGGAGAGATACGGGGTGAAGATGAAGAGACCTGCTATTTGGGTCAGTTTTGCATGCTGTGGTTGCAGGCGCCTTGCTGAAACCGCATGTCAGTGGCCGTGTTACCATCGAATCAAGTACTTACCTTGTACCTCGGTCCGGTTCTAATTTTGAGGCAATTCGACTGCTACGTGGACTAATATGAGCGGGTGCATGCACATTTCGAATCTGTAGGCTGTACATAGCGCATAACAGTCGCACTCCAAACCACCAGTAACAAGTGATTGCTAAATGACAGGGATATAAGGCTCGCTTATGTTTGCTGTACAAAATTGCTATACATCCGCGGGCGTTGATACAGCATGTATCTGGAGTCTGGCTCTGCACCATTATATCACGACACCACAAGCCAGACTGCCTCGGGCCATCCCTATCACTGATCAGTATCACCCATTGAACCATCGAGTTCCAGGCCGCCGACGTGAAGCCGATGTGTTTGCTGTGTAGGAGCTGGAAAATATATAGCCTAAAAATACGTTCCACAGATCCTGGACGAGGCTTCTTGGCAACCTGCCATGTTGGCTGTGAACTATGGATAATGGGCTCCTCCGAATTGTCAGGCGCGAACTCGTTGATAAATTTATATTTCTGTATAGCGCCGGCAGCTTGTATGTGCATGAGACATGGTGGTTTTACGATGATACGTATGTTAACGTTCCATGTCATCATCTCAAACACATTTCCAAATTCGATCACTGACAAAAAAGAATCATTATTTTCTGTAAAATGATCTTCCTGGAACTTTACAATACTCCAGAAGGGTGACCCATCAAACCCTTTCTATATACATTGCCCAATTCTCGTTACATTGGTACCATTAGTGACTAGGATGATACAGCTTGTCGTTCACATGCCACAAACGTAGCGATTTCTGCAATCGACGGACGACTTGCGCGAGGCAACCAGCATCGCTGTATGAACTCCCAGTGCCCAGGCGCTATTTGCGATTCTTTAGGAGGTTCTGGTTTCATCCCCTTGACGACTCGTCCCAACACCCCAATATCGTTCTTCACATTGTAGTAGGGTACCTTGCAAGTCGATGTCTAGAGCATGTCCAAATTAAACAATATATTTCGTTCAAAATTGAGTTACCAACCTGGAGCATGATACTGCCAAATGAGTATATGTCGCACTCGGGACTGAGCGAGACTTCGTCGTCCTCTGATACTTGAAATAATTCTGCATCTGCCCATCGGACATTCCCTCGGATGGTGCTCGTGATATATGAGGTACCAAGGAACTCCAGGATTATGGTGGACAGACCAAAATCAGCAAGGCATGCCCGACCGTTACCATAAATCAAGACGTTTGACTGGAGAGTTGGCACGTCAGTGATGAGATTTTTCTGTATGTGGTCGTACACACCCCTGTCAGGTCCCCATGGATAATCGATTCGCCGTGGACTGAACCAATGTGAGTATTTGAGAGATGGGGTTAAGTGAACGACAAACTCACGGTATTGCAACCCAAGAGCAATGTCATTCAGCTGTAAAGCGTCAGCAAGTATCTGGGAATGCTAGATACGCGGGACTTACAAGGGAGAATTTATCGTGAGGTAACAACGAACTTTCCTGCCTAATGAGATAGCCTGTGAGCGCTCCGTTTTCAGCCCATGGGCAAATCATTGCGAGGTAGTGTCCAAAGTCATTCGACACTCCCGAGAGCGGCAGAATGCTATCATGCTTGAGACGGCCCCAAACTTTAAGTTCGCGACGCACTCTCTAAAGTTGATTCGACATAAGATAAAATGACACGCGTGACGCCGTGGAAGAGCACATTACCTTACTATTCTTCCGCATCAAGACCTCGTCATCGGATTCGAAAGCACGAATAGTCTTCACTGCTACCTTGATCATCATCAGGATGATAACCATAGGAAGTGCGAAAAGCTGAACATACCTCGACGGTCCCATCGGGCTTCATTAAATCACACTTCCAGATGTCTCCGAAGCCTCCAGAGGTTATCGGATAGCGTGATCTTCCCCGGAGCTTATGAGTAAGATCTTGTAGTGGATTGGACGGTGCTTGGGTCTTCTCTGGAGATGGTGTATGATCCCGTGAAGTAGTGTTAGACTCGACGGTAGTAATCTCTGTCCCATTCCTGCCATCCGTTCTGAACGCATTCCGATCATCTCTTCGAGGGCGTGTAGGTGCTTTATCTTTGACATTTGGTGATGATTGCGCAGATAGACTACTAGTTGTTGGCTGAACGGAGGCGAGGACGTCAAAGATCTAATGAAGCATATGAGAAAATAGACTTTGCTCACGGCGATTGGTTGCTGCACAAGTCCCGGTTGGGCTGAATGTCCCTGGTACAAAGTGAGACGTAGTGTGAAAGAGCGGCAGAGATGACTTGCCTTGAGCTTTGTATCCGCACCCTAAATCGCCAAAACTGTTAGGCAGGGAAATTAAGCAACAAAACGCATACCTACTACAACTTTAAGTGCCGCCTCCAGGTTCCATATATAGATCTTTCTGTCTAGTCCAGCACCAGTAATGTATTTTCCATCGGGGGACATGGCGACGACCAAGACTGAGTCATCATGCAAGAATGGATCTCCGACTGGCTGATTGGTCTTGAGATCCCAGATGCGAACGGAACAGTCTTCTGATGCGCTAACAATATAGCTTTCATCAGGAGTAAGGCAGAGCGATCTGATGGCATTGGTGTGACCCTGAAAAACAGCAAGTTCCTGTCCATCAATCGCCCGCCATTTTCGGATGGTATAATCGCTTGACCCGGAGAAGATATGTGCGCCGTCCTTGGACCAAAACAATGACGACACCCACTGGTCATGTCCCTTGATCTCAATAAGCAGCTTGCCGTCCATTGACCACACCCGGATCACCTTATCCACGCCACCTGCAAATTTGTCGCCTTGTGGAGCATATTTGATGGCTTCGACCCATCCACAGTTCTTTATGGGTGGTGCTGTTTGTCGACCAGTATCCGGGTTCCAGCGTCGTATAGTCCCATCCTGCGATCCGCTTGCTATCTCCAGGGCATTGCGAGACCAATCAAGGCACATCACTGCAGCATCATGCCCCTCCCACGGATCTCCGATCATCCTGCCCTCTTTTATATTCCACAACCACAGTGAGCCGTCTGCACTTCCACAAACGACCATTGTTTCATCCGAGGAGACTGCGATTGAGACTATCACTCCCCCAGCACTATTCAAAGGTTTTCCTACTGGCTCTCCGTCTCTTTTCCACTGACGAATCGAACCATCCCCAGACGCGCTCATTATATTGCCACTGGTACCCAAGTAGGCAAGGTCCCATATGGATTCAGAGTGACCCTCGATGACGCACTCAGGCATCAAGCTTCCTGCCGGTCGTTCCGGCTTAGGTTTCTTCCACGACGTATCCCGATTATTGTGGTCGACGAAGTAGGACCGGCCCAGTGGTGAAATGTACCATTCGCATCTCGGATCAACGAGATATCCAGGAACATCTATGGTCAACCGTGAGTTCGTCGTTCCTTGTCGTGATTTCATCCCTCACCCAGTCGCACTCCTGGTAAAGGTCGGTTCAAAGAGACCATAAAGAGCGTATTATCTTGATATCGTGTTTTATCATTCGACGACGTCTTATACTGTTGCCACTTAGGAGGAAGCGCTTCATTCCCACCTGCTTCTAACTGAGTAAGCTAGTGGGTATCATGAGGGAGCTGCTCACCCTCCCAAAGAGCATCCTGGAGGTGCTGTGCACCATATGGTGGTGGATCCTTCGCGCTCGTTCGATATATCGGTGAGTGCAGTAGCGCTTCTCCCCGTCTCGTCGACGTGCTTGACTCGGCCTCTTCGTGTGGCATGACCTTGATCAATACAGGCTGTCGGGTTGTACAGACGGACTGGATAGTGAGATACTGCACACAGTCAATAATCGAGGGAAAGGAGAGATACGAGGTGAAGATGAAGAGACCTGCTATTTAGGTCAGTTTTGCATGCTGTGGTTGCAGGCGCCTTGCTGAAACCGCATGTCAGTGGCCGTGTTACCATCGAATCAAGTACTTACCTTGTACCTCGGTCCGGTTCTAATTTTGAGGCAATTCGACTGCTACGTGGACTAATATGAGCGGGTGCATGCACATTTCGAATCTGTAGGCTGTACATAGCGCATAACAGTCGCACTCCAAACCACCAGTAACAAGTGATTGCTAAATGACAGGGATATAAGGCTCACTTATATTTGCTGTGCAATATTGCTATATATCGCCGGGCGTTGATACAGCATGTATCTGGAGTCTGGTCCTGCACCATTCTAACACGACACGACAAGCCAGGCTGCCCATCCCCATCGCTGATCAGTATCACCCATTGAACCATCGAGTTCCAGGCCGCCGAAATGAAGCCGATGAGTTTGCTGTAAAACCTGGAAGATATATAAGATAAATCCTGGACAGAGGACACCATTGCATGGGACCTCAGGCCTCATTATTCAGTGAGAATGCAATCACAAAGCCAACAGCGATCATCCGAAAATTTTAAAAGCAGTATGACGAACTCAAAATAGAGGTTCCTTTCCACTACTTGCTGACCTTAGCCACATAGTAGCGTGAACTCTTAGCCACACCAGCGCTTACTATGCCCTTCAGTGACTGGACAGTTGCTGGTACCGCACGATCTCAGTTATCTCTGGTAAAGAACATGAACATGAAGATCTCAAGATACGGACGGAAGAACATACCAGAGTTAAGAATCAAGGGAAGCTCCTTGTCGCCTGCGATACGGAGCCAATAAGCGCTGTGATCCGCCTCTCTAGGCGGACCACGCCCCTCGGCACGCTGATGAACGTACTTCAGGAGCTCTTCCGGCAAATTCTTAAGATATGCTGCTCTCGCATGCGGACTGGTGTCCTGTTCCATGTTCTTAGAACCCGCCGCCCATCGGATCCCAGGAAGGCCCTGCGCAAACCTCCAATACGACTCCCAAAACTGGTCCTCCTAACGAGAAACCATATTTTCCACCTTTCCTCGATTTTCAGCGGGTAGCACCATCCGAGGGCCACCAGAGTAACTCATTCCTGCTATAGTTTCGAATAGCTCGTGTTGGGTAAAGGATTCTGCTAGCATGAGAAGCGCGGTGCGAAGCGCAGAGGTGAGGTTGACTTGCTGAGTTAATCGTACGCGTGCATCGTCTTTGATGATCCGTAGAGGCTTGTGCATTCTCCCCGCGCCAGTTAAGTAGGTCATCGTCATCACATAGCGTGTCGACGGTTGTTACTCCATACTTGATATTCCATGTCAGTAAAAGTAAGCGAATAGTAGAATGGTATGAACGAAGGTGACGCACGACCCCCTTCATCGGCACAAAAGTATTGAACCCTAGTAGGACTTGGTTCTGCCCGAAGCTTGGAGGAAGAGTTGGAAGTGCTTGTCGTGGATGGAGAATGGCCGGACGGGGGCGCGGATGGAATTGCGACTGACGAGGCTTGCTTGTCTCTAGCTTCGAGAGGTGACGCGGTGGAGTGAGGACAGCGTGAAAAGTAACAGTGGAGTCGGTGGTCAGTGACTCATGGGTAAGATATTGTAGATGGTGATTTGATGCCCGACGAGCCGATGAGTGAGTGGTGGATAACATACTGCACGACGACAGACACCAACGACGGCAGTGGCACTCGTCCGTTGACGAAGGTTATTGGAAGTTTGGCCTTTTGCTGTGATTCCCTTAATTCAGTTTTTGACACTAGCTCTGAGCTATTAGTACCTGCTTGAACGCTGCCATTGGGACTACACGGCAGATGTTTTTGCGAGTTTAAATGATGAAGCGATGACTCCCGAGACCAGTGAAGCTAATTTGAATATAGCTTCCGCGTCCAGGACTACCTTGCGCAATGCGCTTGGAATTCCTCACCATCAATTGGATCTCAAAATAAATTGCATGTGCGGTATAACGCACCTTCTCGGTTGAAAAAAAAAATTGGTGAGAAAGGTACGAGTATGGATAACAGCTCTACAATTTCGAGAATTTCCACGTATCATCTTTTCTTTTCATCTCAAGCACCATTCCAGTTAAACGGTCACCGGTGATTGAAACAACAGTTTCTCGATTTCAGAGCTGATCTTTTTGGTCATGGTCAACGTTATACTGCATTATCCCCTGTCAAAAGTCGTCAAGATACTCCGTGCTTATTTCCAGGAAATTAAATGGAGAGAATGATAGTGTACAGAAATCGCCTTTGGTAGTGGAATGACATAACTGTAAAAGCAACAAAGGTCACTGCTTGGTATACGTGCAAGAATATAAAATCGAGTTAGAGGTATCAATATCACCAGTATCAGCATTCACAATGCGCACCAAACGTGAGTGGGCAAGCCTAAGCTTACAAGAACTCCGAGTCAACTAAAGATCTGACAAGAATGTTGCATAACGAAGGTGGGAAAACCTTGGAGGACAGCACTACCCCGCCACTTTCTACCCCAGCAACGCCGATAGCAGTGAACCATGGTGTCGCGGTGAGAATAAACCAACACATTACCCACACATATCCTATCCTACGCGTCCACTTTGTCTCCGTCACTCCTGCACGACGAGCAACGGCTATAATCATATCCTCAAACGTGATGGCGAAGGCCTGATACATAAAGAAAGGGAACGAAATGCCAAGGCGAGAGGGGTTGAGCACTGCATCACCTCCTACGTGAGCAATGCCGGAGAAGAAAAACGCGGTGTAAAGTTGAGTGTAGGATGATCCATTAGTTCCGGGTTTGAAGCCGAGAAATAATGCCATTTTCTGGCCAAAGGGGACCAGGAACTGATCCGATTGATGATAAGTATGCCTAGTTTGGAATCTCAAGCGAGGCAGTACTCACGCGTCGAAGAAATTGGTGCCAAGTTCGACTGGTCAACAAATAATATATTGAGTACAGAGCAAGTGCCAAACGAACGACTTACCCCCAGAATCGTCTGATAGTATACGCATCCTCCCATTTCCCACATAAAGTAGGCCAGGAGCTCGGCTCAGACGACGTACAGCTCACAGCAAGAATTGCCATAGATGAGTGGATAATAACGCCCATGCATTGATGAAGCACCAAATATGCACTGCAGGCCAGAATGCGACGGGCGAAACTCTGAGATGCAAATGCTACGCCGGACTTATACGCCGGATTGTGCATTATGTAGAATTGTGCCAAATCGAACCACATGAAGTGCTTAGCTGCACTCGTAAGACGCGAAAGGACAAATTCTCGTCTTGTTTTTGCAGAGTGCTCAGGCAAGTTTTTCGTCTACAGATGAGAATAATCAGGGTTTGAGAACGGCTGGTGCTCCAGGGTAAACTTACTTGATGATCCCAGCCCACTCCTCTAGGTGAACCACACAATTGTGCAGCCCAGATGAACCTTTTGAACCAAGGGAGTTCACGCGCTGACTGTTTTTGCTTCTGATGGCGGAAGGTATCAAGGGGTCGGACCAGCAAATTCATGTATATAGCATCCATAGCAATGCCAGAAATTGCCATGCCGATGGAGTAATCGAGAACAATCATGTCAGTCTTAGCATGCTGAATGCAAGTCAAGCAGACGAGGACGACCGCGATACAAGTCACAAAATTCCATGGAGCCCGCAAGTCCAAAGTTATGCCAAGCTGTAGGGCCAAGGCGGGGACCTGTGTGCAGATGAGGGGTACAAGTAGACCCATGGGAGATGTGTTGTAGGTCTATTTGCCCTCCCTCAGGCTGTTGAATTTTTATAGGTTCGAAGCTTCGAAGACAGAGTCCATTTGTCGATTGAACTATTCTTTTCGCTTCTTGTCCGGTTAAGCGATATTGAGTGCGCGAACTTGAAGGTCCCATGACAGCATATTGGTTCATCCGATAGGCAAGTTAAATTCTCAAATTGTCACGGTCAAGAGTGGTGACGTCAACCCCTATCATATTACGCGATCGTAATTTCGGTTCCCAGAAAAGGTTAGAACCCGGTACGTATGCATCCGCGGATGACTGACTAAGCCGGCCGCACCCTGCAACATCCTGTAGGCGCAAGTGATGAGCTATCCAGCTCAGCACTGACTATACAACACTAGTACTGTTGATTCTTCACATGGCGTCTATAATGCTTTACAAGACATTGATGGTGCTCAGCAGAGGACTTACAATCCTCTGAGTCAGAGAGAACATGTCGTACACGAGTATCACTCGCGACCACCAGCACATGACAGAGGCCAGATCCTCACGCACAAGATGGTTTCTGGTCCAACCCACGGTACTCCCGTTTTCGCTGCATAACGAGCACGCTGCGTTGTGTGACCACGATTGATTGATAAGGCGGAGCTCGAGTAAGCGTGGTAGTTGCGGTGCCCAAATGGAACCTCGCCGGCAGGCTAAACTGCTTGGCTCTAAGGCACGGTTGGGACTTGACCGGCTTGACCTGACAACTTAAGAATTGAACACGCCTATGATGCAGAACCGAACCGTGATGTGTTGTAGGTGCTCCGAGTCGGAATTCTGTACCCATCAACTTTCTCTGAGGGCGCGACATATGTTCAATGAAATGAAGTGAAACAAATGAAGTGAAACACAAGCTTACGGAATGCGGATTCGGCCTCATTAGGTTCCGACGAGATGGCAGTTGATACGGCAGCAGCGTTACAGCATCGGAACGTCAACGAACTTGAAGAACAGAATTCAAAACGTCAACAACCACCACATTCCAACCTAGTGCTGCCAGAAAGGAACAATGGAAGGCAACGTAATTAAAAATTTTGGTGGGTCTCAAACTTGAACAGAATAGTACGAGTCTAACCCAAAGCTCGAGGGCAAGCCTTTCCCCGAGATCTCTCAGCCTGATCGGCAAAAGACCCTCAGAAAAGAAATCTGATGAGTTTACGTAGCCGCTGTTCACAGGTGATAGAGTAATAACGCAATTGACTTTCCGTAGGCAAAATAATTCAGAGTAAAATAATTCAGAGTCTTCAAAAATATTTCCAGTTCATTAGATTTAGTCCAATCCTTGATTCGGATAGTCTTACAATCCAGCACCTAATTCTCGACGACGAGGAAGAACTTATCAGTGACAACAAGGATCACGAGGGTACTGACACTAAATTCAGGGATGGCAGGCGAGCAAGATTGGTCAAAGGTGCGACAGATTAAGCCAGATCGGTAGCGGTATGGTTAGGCCGTTAGGTGACACTACTTTAGCAGGTGTGCACGGTCGTACATGTTGTAAGCGGGTATCTTTTAAAAGGTTTGATAAGTATTAGCTGTGGTGTGGGTCTTCTGCGCAGGCAAGCACCTTATTCACCGACGGTAAACAAGACAAGATAATATCGACAGCGAGCTCGATTCAGCTACAAACCTCTTCAGTCTGAGAGTATTCGTCAGACCGACGATCAGGAAATACAGGAGGATATAAAACCAAGAGATGACAAAGAGACGCTGTCACCCTTCAGGGTCACATAGCTAGTAGCCTAGAATAGGGATTGAAATCGAGAATCTTATCTTCCCACCTAACGGTGCACCATGCAACATCAACATCACAAGCTTGAACTCAACGTTGGCCGCGAGCGCGTGACCATGATAGAAGGCCATGAAAGTCTCGGAACCGAGAACTTGGATCCAAATGGCCGAGTGAGGGAGCAACTGAAGGGAGATAAGAGAACAATGCAATTCTAGGTTAAACGCCAGATACAGAAAGACGGCTGATGAACGAGGTCATGGTGACAGCTAGAAAACGAATGAGAGCGGCAGTAACAAGTTCAACGGCATCTACTGAAAAAACGTAAAAAAAAACCTACATTACCTTCAAGCAAGCCGCCGTCTGAAGACCCAAAGTCCAGAAACAAGCCTTTGAGGAGCTTTCTGGGAAGCAAATCGTATAGTTTGGCTCACTGGATGACGCACCTTTATAGTCGTTATTACACCCAAGTCGACTCAGTGATCACAGTTTGCGACCACGAAAAAAACGAGCAAGAAACAGTGAATATTAGGTTGTAAAACCACTTAGAGACAGATGCAGAGAACGACAAAATAAAATAATGACACTGAAATTGCACTGAAAGGCATTTCAACCAGCCAGTACGCTACAGCTGAAGTCGTAAGCGTCCGTAACACGCTTACTAAGCAACTGTTCATTTCAGTGGCTTTCAAAGCGATGCGCATGGCCGGTAGCGGGAACTATCGTTACGTAACTGCATATTTCGGAAATTTCTATCCCCTTGCCCTGACAGACTGGCCTTCTACTTATGACCTCCTTGCGTTTTGCAACTGCGAATGTCCTCCCATGAACAGTCGCTGGTCGGCTCTGTATTTGAACGCAAGACATCTACAGCCCAAAGCCTACCCTCTTCAAGATTCTCAAACACTCCTGGCTCAGGTTTTCCGGCTGTTCAGCACAGGTCAAAGAGCGCATTTGCTCGCGCCAAAGAAGAGGAAAAGAACAGTAACAATGCTAGGTATACAACCGTACCTCTAATAAACCCTACGCATTTCATCAATCAACCTCGATCTCGAGATCTTGGGGTGGATGCACACACCGCCGATGATGCTATGCGTCGACAGATTAGTGAAGAAAATGAGCGCCGGGTGGCTAATATGACTGAAGAGGAGCGAGAACAAGAGAGACGCGAGGTTTTAGAGCAACTGGGAAGTGGTGCAGATGACCTTCTGGAGCGTGTACGCGCTGCAAGATCAAGAAATACAATGAAGGCTCCCGCCATAGCTGAAGGTGTACTTATACAAAACGAGCAGGCTCCAGGGGTCTCCTGCGAAATTCCGATTGTTCCTTCCTTACCTGGTCTTGCTACGAGACGCAACCTTTCAAGGGTCAAGAGCCTGGAGGATTTCGGGAAAAGAGGCACGTCGCTCCCTGGGGTTTAATGAATATTTTGACACGAAGGCTGCATCTTAGCTCCCCCAATCCTGGTGAAAAGCAGTACTAGGCCTTCGTCGCCTAGTAAAGCTGGTCGCCAACTTCGCTTTGCGGCATTAACGCCTGATGATGTCTACGTGTATGAGTCTGCGCCAGTATCTCCCAAACGAAAGGCCATTGCGCTCCCTCCACCTCCAGATACTCCGGATTCATCAATTGTTTCTCTGGGTACATTCGAAGAGAATGGTTTATCGCGGAAGCGACCGCTTTCTCCTGCAAGGCCCAAGGGTAACGACATGCCTGCGCAGAAGGTTACGAATGACAGATCAGAGCCCGAGGAAGGCACTCCAGAATATATTCGGAGACGATATTTCCCAAATATGCCTCCAGACGACCCATCTGTGTCTTGGATGAAACCATCGTCGTCAAATTCAGAGCCGGTTCTGCTTCGTTTCGATCTAACGGGTGTTCCTATCCCTGCAGAAATCTCTGCCGCTCTACCTTCTCATCTGGGCTTGCATCACCATGCAGATGGGGATCATGCAGGATACACTCTTGATGATATATTTTTGCTTTCTCGCTCCACTGTCCCTGCACAACGCACCACGATGCTTCATATCTTGGTTGGCATCGCGCGCCGGTTGGGCATGCAAGTGAGGGACCCCCATTACACAGACAGGATTTCAGAACTTCAGGGGAAGGAGGAGGAACTACGAACACGTATTCTCACTGCCGGACTCTCCGCGATGAATGAGAAGGGTGGCGTCGGTGTCCAAGCCATTGAGGTTGTCTGGGAGTGTATTGTTGGCTGGAGCGCGGTGTTCGATGCTAAGCATGCCGAGTTAAATCTTGCTCCTGCCATCATGTCCGTTTTGCAAGTGCCCGACTTCCTCACTCAAGTTACAGAACTCTTCACGCAAGCATCCTTACCCCCTGAATCCCTGGCCCAACTTCTGTCCATTGTCTTTCGGTTATCGCAGGAGTCGAATTCTATTGCTGAATCAATCTTGAAGACCCCTCGACTGCTCCCTTCCCTAATGCAAACATTTCTTCTTACGCCTATACCGCCCTCATCAGACACAACCCTGCCTAACCCTGTTGCTCTCCAGTGCCTTACTGTTCTTGCGTCGTCCTCTCGGACTAACGCTATGGCGCTATGTGAGCCAGCCGATGCCCTTCTTCGTTTTATTATCATGCTACCTCCTGCTTCGCCCTTCCCCGAGTCTCTTGCCACAAATCTTCTCGTAGAAACCCTCCATCTATATGCCACTCTTGCCTCCTACGGTCTATATTCGCATATAGCGACATCTGCCGCTTCTTACTTTGCTTCTTTGTTCGCCTATATCGTCTCATCCAACTCGAGACCGCTGAAAGTGGCGTGGGCAGGACTTGTGGAAGCATGGATGGTCTGCGCAACGGATCCGCATCACACGACTCCACCGCATGATATCTTGTGGAGCCAGGTGACTAGCTGGGGCTGGGGTGTCGAGATACTTCAGTTTCGCCAGGGAATAACGGAAGGGGAGGGGGAAGTATGGGCAGCCATCTGGAGTGCTTCGTCTGCATGGCTTGAGGGTGCTCGGGTCAATGGCATCAAAGGGGGAGAGGGAGAGCGTGCAGAGATTCTCAACACAATCCAGGACGGCTTTACCAAGGGAGTTGAACATAGCGTAGTAACAGCTTCCCTAGAGGCTCTGCGGACTGAACTTGCACAGATACACAACGCGGCACTATCAGAGCGATATCAACGCCTGCAGCATATCGGCATGCATGCGCGTGTGCTTTCCTCTGCAGTCCGCCTCTGGCTTGCATGCATGTCTATCGTAAACATCGATGCAAGCACTACTGCTCCGCTTGCTGCCCCGCCGTTTAACCTTCCTTTCACTGAGCTATCGTCCTTCTGTGCCTTAGTCGTCTCGCATTCCCTTTGGTCGCTTGTTACGGGTGTCGAGCAAGCTGCCTACAAGTACATGGCGACATTTTTGGCGTATTTCCATAGATTATCGCGACATATCCCCGGGACATCTCCTGACCTCTGGGTCGCACAGGGTGTGGCAATCCTCGAAAGGCAGCTCCCTGGAGAAGAAGAGCACGCTTTTCAGATCCTTGGGTCTATTTTAGCCATCCTCACGCCACAGTTCCTCGGCGCAATGGCACCTCCTAGCATTTGGGAGAAGGGCGGATGGAGCGTCATCAAACCTTTTCTGGACTACACAATTCGTCCGAACCGGGAGGTATACATTGCTCCCAGCGATCCCACACCAGAATCGATCATGCGGTGTACAACTCTTCGCCTCCTGTCGTCTAGCTCCTTATCATCTGTCCCTGATAACCATCACCCAATTGGCCTTCCGTTGCCTCATGTATGGCTTACCTCACCGATTGATCATCTTCTCCGGTCCGGGTCTTCGCCCGTTCTCAAGGCGCTCCCTTCCTCATGGGACGCATCGGAAGTTGATGTCGTTCGCGCGTCGCTGTTGCTTGTCAAAGCTACGCAAGAAATTGTAGTACGATATAGTTTAAGCCAGTTTGCCCTGAAGCGCTCAGAGACGGTTTTTACTTGCATGAAAGTGTTCATGCTCGAGCACGGCCAACAGCAGGAATGTCCCTCGCCGGCGACAGGAGATGAAGAAGAAGTTTTCCGAGACGTCATTGTGTCAAAATTAATGTCAGATCTTTTGGCACCGTTTACCCTCGGTGCTGCTGCGGCTTCACCACCCTCATCCAAATTGCCTGATATTGACCTGGAGCAGGCCTCTCTTCCATTCCTCGGATCAGGCACACCTTTCTACCAGTTTTACACCGACTTCCTGGCACTATACGATGCTATCTCCTTCTCACACCCGATCTTCGCATCCCTTCTCCTTCCACCTCTCGCGCTAACCTATCCCATCGACTATCGTCGGATACTATGGGCAGACTTTGCGCATGTGTTGCGTACTGTACGTACTCCAGTGGACCAGGTCATCGCAGGGGATCTCAGAGATTTCCTGTACCCAGTTGAGAAAGGTGAAATGATTGGAAAATACGTCGGTGCGCTTCTCCAAGGATCAGTGGATGGATTCCTGCGCCTTGTTGCAGTGCACCACGTGGCGTGCAGTATCTGGCCTGACCTTCGATCCGAGGAAGTTGAGGCTGAGCAGGGCAAGATACTGTTAAAGATGGTGGTGGAGAAAGGAGATGGACGCATTGTGCGAGAGGTGTTGAGGTACCGACAGGTTCGTGAAGAAACGGTTGTTTATCCCCCTGCTTGCTTTGAAACAAGTGGGGAGTGGATAGCAGACCGAGCAGAATTCGCTCAGCAGGCGTTGGGCAGCGAGTTGCATGAGAGACTTCAGGGCGTGTTCTATGAGTAGTGAGTTCTTCCACGTGCATACATCCCTGTTCAATATTCTAATGACTGGACAGAATATTTATTTGGATTACATCTAGGGTGCCCGTATAGTATTTATCCCACCTTTGGGTATTCATGAGATTGACTGTGAGCGGAGAACGATCAGAATTTAGGATTCAAACGCAATTCAAACGTGTTGGAGCCAGAAGCTTGACGGTGGTGAAAATGGGGCCACATGATTTAATGTCTAGCACGATATTATGTATCTGCGGGTCAGTTTGGATAATACTATACTACTAGTAGAAGCATACCTAACGTACTAGGACGACATGCAGAGCCACCCACGCCTCAGGGCTCCGGCTGTATCAGGGTGCCGGAGCCATCGTACGTAGAACTTATGATCCACGTGTAAAGTTAGGATTCTAGTGACTTTGTCGGAAACGAGTTACTCCCAATCAAGCTCATGAATCGCTCGCAGCCTGATACATAAAGGCTGATGGGTCTATTCCATTCTCTCTTTGTCCTTTTCTCAGCCGATCATGAACCGTCTCGCGTTGGTTACGCTTTCGGCCATTCTCGTGCTGCCCGGTTTAGTCCATTGCGCGACACAGCAGGTCTTCCAATATCTTGCATCCCCAACCGTGAAGTTAGATGATGCGACATTCACCGGAATATTCGATGGTGATACGGCGCAATTCTTGGGCATTCCATTTGCCAAACCCCCGTGAGTTGTATGCCCATCACGATCAAACGTTCATTAACTCGATGTCTGCAGTATCGGAAACCTTCGCTTCCAAGTCCCTCAACCTGTGCCTCCTTATGAGGGTTCACACACTGCTGTAGCCTATGGTCCGGCCTGCCCTCAAATGGAGTTGATACAGGTAGGGATACTCGAAATACCCCCCAAGTTATCGACAAGCGAAGATTGTGAGTGTTTTAAGTTTAGTTTCATGCCATTCATATGAACTGTTCGCTCTCAGGTCTTACGCTCAATGTATTCACACCTGCCGTCATGCTCCCTGGATCAAAACTGCCAGTAGTCGTGGTCAGTCTTATTAGCATCCTGTTTTAGTGTGGCTGAAACGCGACTTCAGTTTATATTCCCTGGTGGTTTTGAAATCGGGAGTAGTCAATCGTGAGTTATCAAACATATTTGCGCTTCGAGATCAAATCATAATTCATGTATACAGAGTGTTCGGTAATATTACAGTCAGCAGGTCATCGCAAATGCATGAACCAGTTATCTATGTTAGCATGAATTATCGGTGATTATTTTTCTGTTGTCTCCCGTGCCTTTCTGACAACGATGTACCACAGGTTGGGCGGTATGTTACCTGATAGTCATCGAGCTTCACTCACATCAGTGTAGCTTGGGGATTCCTAGCGAGTGAAGAAGTTAAACAGGCTGGCACTGGAAACTTGGGTCTCCGAGATCGTGAGGTCTAGGTTCCTTTGACTTTCTATGAACTAATGATTCCGCCAGAGCGACTTGCGCTTCACTGGGTCCAAAAATATATCAGCTCGTTTGGCGGAGATCCAGCAAAGGTAACCATGTGAGCATCTTTTTAATAGTGCATGTATGACTTTGACGAACTTCGACATCAAAAAGATGGGGCGAAAGTGCCGGAGCGATATCTGTTTCTCTCCAGATGCTCGCTTATGATGGTGACAATGAGGGTCTCTTTCGCGCGGCATTTATGCAATCAGGATCCCCGATACCTGTGGGCGATATCACCAATGGTCAACAGTATTATGACTTTCTTGTTGATGAAACAGGTTGCAAGGGGTCGCTCGATACATTGGAATGCTTGCGAGGAGTACCCCAGGAAACTCTGCAAGCTGCAGTGGATGAAACGCCATCGATGCTTTCTTACCAGGTTCTTAACTAGGTCTGAGTTTCAATATTTTGACATTGACCAACATCATTATGGCAGGCACTTGTCTTTGCTTGGATGCCAAGGGTGGATGGAATATTTTTGACGGACAACTTCCAGCGCCTCGTCCAACAGGGGAAAATTGCAAATGTACCTTTTATCACAGGTGTGGATTTTTTGTTGTTTTGAGTGGCATGCGGCTAATGCGACAAACTCGGGATAGGTAACTGCGATGACGAGGGAACGATTTTCTCCATGAGTAGCACTAACATCACGTACTGAAAATTATTTATTTTTCCTGGTCGAGGGCGCTGATATTCCCCTTACTATTTTTAGAACAAGCGAGCAATTTAGGGGGTATTTGAAAACGTATTGGGCGGGCAATGCAACAGACGAGGAGATCGACGGAATACTACTCATGTATCCTCAAGACCCAACGACTGGATCTCCATTTGGGACTGGAACCCTCAACCAGCTGAGCCCACAGTTCAAGCGTATAGCTGCTTTCCAGGGAGACTTTATGTTCCAAGCTCCGAGGCGGTTTCTTTTACATGAGCGGTCGGGGAAACAAAAGATATGGACCTTTCGTTCGTGTAATTCCTTTACCTGTTCGAACAAGCATAACCCACCCCCTTCAGTGAGCAAAGGTCTAAAGGCAATTCCGTTTCTAGGCGCGGTATGTAGACATTCAATCAAGACATGATGGACTCCAGTGTTACTCAACTCGTCCTAGTTTCACAGCTCCGACTTCGTTGACGAGATGTTGGGCAGGCCAGGGAACATGTTGGACCACTTGATCAAATTTGCAGCACATCTCGATCCCAATTTGGATCTCGGTAGTAGTATTTTCTGGCCGGAATACACTGTTGAATCGCAGGACATGCTGATGTTTGGGGAATGGATTTTGTCTCCACGCACCATTATCCAGGACACATACAGGAAGGAGCCGATGGAGTATTTGACAAATTTCACTCTGGCTCACCCTCTTTAGTACTTGCAACATCTCTCCGTGTTTGACAGTGTTTTACTCAAGTGTACGGACTAACCAGTGGTTGTCCCATGTAGTTTTATTACCATTAGCGTGCAGGTTGAAGTGGCCTCAAGTTGTAATATATTGATCTGGTCATTGACGTTCAATGTTAAACCTTGTCAACTCCGCAGTTTGAAGCTCCAGGCACTAAGGATAAGCAGTATATCCTCTAGGCCCGGACCACGACGAAGCTGTTCATGTTTTGATTTACGCTTCGCATCCGAGTCATGCGGATACATCATTTCCTCATGACTATCTCCCGGCATATAAAGGTCGTCGTGTTTGATGCTAACTTCTCAAGTTACTTGAAGCAACTGCTAACCCTCAAGTCACTCAGCATCTTACCATGTTGAGTGGCACTCGCAAACATTTTAACGTCATGTATCCCAACCAGGTCAGACATGAAACACGATGGCAGCACCGATGGCACTCCTGTCGTCCTGATGGCTACACTAGCGAAGGCACAAACGAAGCCCAACGTGTTAGTGTTCATTCCTTGACTTGGAATGTACAGGCTCACGATCAGTGGTGGTTCGTGCAGGTCCTCGAGACGGATGTAGAAGGTAATAACATCACCGTCAAATTGACTAACAACGGAAACGGAAAATGTATAAGGTCTGAGCCAGAGACTCTTGTAAGAAATGCGTGTTTGCTACCATGATGTGCTGTTGTGACTCACTATCATTTGAATTTACAGGGCCAACAGGTCTACGTCAGCCATATGATATCGCCACGAAGTGGACGCACACCCTTTTCCGTTGCGATATCGTGAGCTGGATAGCCTGAGGAGTACAAGGAGTTCGTCTTCATTCGTTCATGAGGTAAGAAAGGGTTTTCCTACACACCTCACGAACCTCTTCACCTCTTATGAACATGGACTGCGAACCCATCAGCTTGAGTGTGTAGGGCTGTGTATGAGTTCGACAGGGAATTGCAAACGAGACGACGAGGATATGAAACGAGGATATGAGGTGTGTATATCGATAACACGAAGACAAGTTTGGCAAAACGTTAAAGACTATGGCTTTCTTTAAGGTGTTCTGTCGGAGCGGAAAAATCAGAGTATCCGATTCTACTGCTACTTGAAAATGAGCGTACGTGACGTCGGTAAGACATGGTATAGTTGTTGCAGATTAACGAGAGTCGTTTAGTGATTTTGACATTGTCGAAAACGGCGAAATGAGATGATAGTAACGAGAAAAAGGGACTGGAAGTCGATAGCAACGAAGGGTATAGTGTAAGACGGGGACGGGACGATGGAGGTGATGATGAAGAAGGAGAGTTCAAGCTCAGTCAAAACTCACAATGGCACGCAGGTACACAAACATCTGGAATGTGTATCGATTAGGCTGGCTCTGTTCCATAGACGCAAATTACTTACATGGCTTTCTCCCTCTCCATAGCCAAGTAAAGTAGACTATTTACGAGTCGGAAGCTGGTACGGACTCGGAGTGTGGAGCAGACAAGTAAAAAATGGGAGCGCAACTTGGTACGATATCATTCGGATGTTTACTTGTTTGTATGTCGAGTTCCTTGCAGTTTCTTCTGGACTATCCCCTTTAAATGGTACCACTGGCATGGGCTCAATTGCCCGCTTCCCGTATTGACCTCACAGTGGCTGATGCACATGGTTCTTACCGCACTTGATCATTCTTCGAGCTCGTTACCTGTTTTAAGCGCTCTCGCAGATGGCCTTACATCGTGTGTCGTCTCTCAATCTTGTTCTAGCAGGGCTTCTGCTCTGTACTTACTACTAAGTAGTAACGCCATGGGGGTAGCACATTCGGCCATTTCCTGGACGTTCTCGACTCAGACTCGGACTGCAGTCATCTAAAATTTTCCCACTTGTACATTGGACCATGTTAACACGGTAACGTGCCTCGGGCTTCCTCACTGCTTCGTCTTGATGGTGACTACTATTCTGTCCTGTAGTTCCGGGCTGACTCAGCAAACGGCTTCATACGGCGTCAATTCACAACTCGATCATTGACTCGGACAAGCCCGGGACAAGTGACTGCTCTCCTTAGCAATTCTGACACTGAGGTTTCTTTGAGGTGTATTCTTGGTGAGTGAGCATCTCTGCGTGAGATAAATAAATCAACCAATGGACCATGATCATGATGGGTAAACAGGCGAATCATAAATTCTGCCATCTTGGGTTAAAATTTAAAAATCATCAGCCTTCTCGTCACTGCTGTTTTATCAAGAAGGAATCCTTGCACTCGTGATACTCGGACCGCCACTATCTCGTCATCGCTTCTTCGAGAGGGGACGTTTCATACGTGGCCAAGATGCCCAAGATTCGTGTTTGCCAGCGCATATATAATAGACCACTGAGTGTGATGTTGCTTTCCAGCCAGCCATGTTCTCCACTGCATCCTTGTTGACAATTTTCGTCCTGGCTTTGTCAATCACGGGATCGCCCGTCAAAGTTCGCAATTCCCCCATCACCCTCCCAATCGCCAGGAGGCTAAATGTCTCCGATGGTACTATTAACCTCGTACAACAGGATAAAGCTCGCGTGGCTGCCCTTCAAGACCACATCTTGAAGCACGGCGGCCATAGCACTCCTGCGACCAACCTTGGTAATGGATACTTTGTAGCAGTTAATATTGGCAGCCCCGCCACAACTTGTAAGTTCAACATGGATCAAAAATGCGGCTGCTAATGTATTATTGAAGACAACTTGATTATCGATACTGGTTCCTCAAACACATGGGTTGGCGCCAAAACTCCGTACGTGGGCACTAGTACCAGCAGCTCCACAGGTGAGCGTGTGCAGGTCACCTACGGTGCTGGCTACTTCTCTGGTATGACTGACATACAAAGATATTATGAGTTGTTGAAAACACCCATGATTATCTACAGGAACTGAGTACATCGACACCGTCGATTTCGGTAATGGACTCACCATTGCACAACAGTCGATTGGTGTTGCTAATAATACGTCGGACAACTGGGGAGACGCTGACGGTATCCTTGGCCTCGGGCCAGTAGGTTTGACAGAGGGTTCCCTGATAGACGACCCTGGAATGACGATCCCGACTGTCACTAACAACTTGCATAGCCAAGGCGCCATTCATCGCGAGACCGTTAGTATCTATTTCGAGCCCATTTATGGAGTACAGACAATCATTAATGGAGAGCTCACCTTCGGCGGAACTGTCAAAAAAGAGCACGCCGGCTCCATTACATACACGTAAGCCACCTCTAACTTAGACCAATTCAGGCTGACAGTATTTGTTTTGTTTCAGTCCTATCACTAATGCCTATCCTGCATCGAACTACTGGGGTATCGACCAGAGCATCACCTACGGCGCCTTGACGATCCTGTCCTCCACTGCGGGTGTCGTCGCTGTTGGGACCACCTTTATTCACATTGCCACCGGTGTGTATCTATACTGCAGCGAGTCATCATGGTCTAATCAGTGTTTGATAGATGCCTACGAAACCTACAAGTCTGCAACCGGCGGTACTCCGGATGCGGCGACTGATCTTCTCCTCATTTCTTCTGCCCAGTACGCAGCCCTCGAGAACCTGGATTTCAATATTGGTGGCGTACGCCATTCCTGTCAGCCCTCACATCCCTTGTTTACCATTTGCACAGGAAACTTTCTCTCTCACCCCTAACGCCCAAATCTGGCCTCGCGTTCTTAACACCTACATTGGCGGTAGTAGCAATGGCATCTATCTCGTCGTTAACGACCTTGGTACGACCAGTGGAAAAGGGTTTGACTTTGTTAATGGCTACCCATTCGTCGAGCGCTTCTTGACTGTGTTCGATGCCTCCCGTTCTCGCGTCGGTTTTGCCAACACTCCGTACACTGATGCTACCACCAACTAAAATGGAGCGCGAAGATTGTTTTTTTTAGATGCAAAACAGCGTACAGATTATTAATTAGGCTCAGACCATTCAGTCAAAACCATACGTAGAACCGGTACCCCGGATGTTCTAAATGGTTGTACAATATGTACCAGCCGGTGTATGTAGATAGTGGCTGGCCAGAGGTGTGAAATGTGTACCAGCCAGTAGACATAAATGATGGCTGGCCAGAGGTGTAGAATATGTACCAGCCGGTATATGTAGATAGTGGCTGGCCAGAGGTGTAGGGTAGGTGCTGGCCGACACCTCAAGTTAATCAGCTCTATTGTTGCATTAAGTGTTGGAAAGGTTCTGGCTGGGATTTCAATCATCTAAGCTCATTGATGCCTTCAACCAACAGTAGGTATCCATCATGGTTGCTAAGGGACTTCAAGAACCGGACACGATCCTTCATAGCAACCGCTGCTGGTGCACCTTCTTGAGCACCAGAGGGTCGAGTGGCCGATGCTGTTGTACATCCTGCAAAGGACAGTATGGCTGATTCCTCATCTGAGGAATCACTGTCAGCCGCCCCGGTGGTACATGCCCTGGAGTTAGCACTGGCCGATGGATTGGACACATGTTTGGTCCCGGCCGGCCCATCAGTACGTGGTGTTGTGGGTAGTCCAGCTGAGCTATCACTGTGGTTTTCATCACTGATTTCCACGTACTCTTTCGTTTTCTTCGCCTTATAGGGAACTGAATTCTTCAGGCTTGCTTTGCTCATGTCACTGATCTTGGCTGCAAGAAAAATAACCAGCCTTTGCTTGGCTGCACATCTTGCTTCCCAATGATCCCACAGCTTGTTGATGTCACTGGCCCTCAAATGAGATGGGTCCCTCAGCAAGAAGTCCTTAGGGAGGCAATTCAGATCCAAGTACAAACTCGGCTTGGCGATGACTTCACGCCAAGGTACTGGCTTGGCACTTTTAGTGAAGACTTCTGTACAAGCACCGGTAAGTCCCATCAACACTAACTGAGCAGACATCACCTCACTGTATGACACATGGAAGATCCAACAGACTAGTTCTTGCTGTCCTTTGGTGTTAATGCCACCGCGTAACGGAAGCTTCGCATAGCCTTTCTGGTCCAAAATAAGTTCAGGCAACTTGTCCTTTGTATCCTCATCTGAGTCTGAGTCCAACTCATCATCAGAGTCATCAGGGTCTTATTATTCTTTAAATATTATGTAGCTGATACGAAAATGAAAACTCACAAAATTCTGCCTTGGACCACTCAGCAAATTTATTGAACCCATCAGACATCCATTCTTTGTTGCCTTTTGAACTTTGTGTGAACAATCTCTTGCTATTCACGGCCTTGGACTCGTAACTGAACAATAACAACATTGAGCTATTTGACTCTAATAAGACAGTCTTACTATCAGACTCACACAATAACGTTCAAAGTCTGATCTGAAATTTTTTTGTGACTGACTAGCATCACGACACGACATCCCATAGTACAACAAATTTGTTCTGTAAAATCCTCCAGGATTTTTTTGAGGTTTCTCTTTTGATACCTGCAAGTTTACATAATTGTGAGAGACGCTGAAAAGAGATGATGACTACTTACATTGCCTGTGACTCGGCTGGTGCACCCTTGGTATCCCACTTTTCCTTGGCATCCTGTATCTCTTTCTCTTGTGTGGGGGTCATATTTTTGAACCATTCCCTCGCATTTCTCATACAGAATTTAATTGAATGTTTTTCCCCTAACTTTGACTGCTCTTCCTTGTCATAATCATTGATTTCCTCCTTGAAGAGCTTCTGCGCGACGTCCCAGTCAGTAATTTCCTTTTTGTAGAATCCAGCATCCTTTGGACGAGCTGCAGCCTCCCTCTCCTCAGGCAACACACCAGATGCTTCATCCTGGTCCTGTTCAGCTCCTAGAATCTCTTCTTCGGCACGTATGTCATCCTCATTGGTTAGGAACTGCAAATAGTATCACCTAATAGCCTTTTGTATCCAGTAAAATAAGTACTATTATATACCAAATAAACTATACAAACCTTTCTCAAGCCCTTTGGCAAGACAACAGAATCCTCCAGTGATTTGTGCTTGGTGACAATCTGGTTGCGTATTGTCTTTAAAATTTTTTGACGTGTTTGTGGCGCAGCATTAACAAATCTGTCCTTATGGAGGCTCAGTAGTCCCTCAAAAGATGTGTACCATTTGTCCATGATGAGTTGAGTGACGAGAGTAAAGAGGTGAAGGGCTTGCGACACGTAACAAACTGTCAGCCACAGAGGGTGAAAGATCTTTCCTCCAAACATGATCACATGACAGGTAGCCCCATCATCATTACATGGAGATGTTCAACCTTGAACACAAAATTAATTAAATTACTAATGAGTGCAAGATTGAGGTCAACAAAATAGATCATTTGCAAAATATTTACACAGGTAACTAGGGTAAAACAATTCAGTTTCGCGCCCTCTTCCCAGTAGACCCATCTGCAGTCTCATCACTACTCCTTAAACACTTGCCTTGAGTGATGGGATACACGGACCGAGTAGGCGATGACTGAACCAAGGGTGGAGGTGGAAAGATAGTGGAAGGGGACTTGAACCACCCACTGGTCTTACTCTTAGCTGCGTTGACAAGAACACCCGGAGGTTTGTCCATGTAGAACCTGTGGGAGGGCTTTTCCTGGCTCTTACCACATCCAATGTATGTACAAGTATATATATATCTTGCAACTGTAGCCCAGTCTTGAGCATTGGCGTCTTCAGACTTGTTGAGCACTGCCACACCGACCTTCTCTGACCAGCTGTTAGTTGATCCACAGAGAGGGCATTGTCCAGGCACCTCGATGCCCCAGGGCTGCGTCTGCATGTGGGCGCACGCAAAAGTTGTCACCAACAGCCGAGGACTGTTTGCACTGTCATCCCTTGTCATCAGAATGACTTTGGAATGTTGTCCAAGGCGGTTAAAAAGGAAGAGAAGAGCAGGGAAGACATTGTGTAGATCGAGTTGCTCGACTACGACGAGCTCCGCCATTGCAAGTAAGAAGTTGGTGGCGACCAGTGGTTGGAACCTTGTTGCGGGGAATATGATGGCAGAGGTGACCTCGAGATTCAGGATGGCCTGCTTGAGCTCAACAAATGAGTCCTCATAGGCAACAATAGAGCTGCACATGAGGAACACCATGTTAGCAGCCTTGAGAAGAGAGTCACGAGGACTGAACACTGTAGATAGTACCTAGATCATAAATTAGCAAACGGTATGCAGAATACATATATACATTACCTGCGAAATACTCATAGCAATGTATTGACCATGTTCCTTACCTGAAAATAGCCACCCACTATCTTGTTCAGAATGGTCTGAAAAAATGCAAAAACACGTCCAGTGCACCCAAGATGATGCACGAGTTGAGTCACGCACACTTGCTGCATGTGAGTGTATGCGTTGATCTTCTCATGTGTCGCAACATCGAACACGACCTCCAGGTAAGTGTACCCACCATTAGGAAAAAAGTACTTCAAGTAGTGAGAAAGGAGGGGAATGGGTGTAATAACTTCAGTCTTGCTGCTGAGGATGAAATGAATGACAGTGATGGGCGTGGAAGCCATCAACGTGTATGATGACGTCTCAAACTTGCCATTGAACCGGAGGAAATGCAGAAGGACAGGACGCCCTCCTTGCTCTGGCAAGCCGGTGCTGTAGAATCCCTGTAGTCACTGAATAGATAGCACTGTCAAAATAAAGACACATGGTTACTTACAATGTATGGAGCCGGCTTCCTGAGGCAGCGCTGAGAATGACACGACAGGCAAAGGAAAAACACGTCGACATGCTGTACAAGGCCAACGTGACTGGCAGGGACATTGATACAGCAACTGCACATGATGTGCGGGCAAACATCGCACTTGTAGAGTACAATGTCTCCCTCGGCGCTGTCATGGCAGATCATACACCACTAATGAAGAAATCAGCCAGCCAAGACAGACACTATGGAGGGAGGACTTACTAGGCTGTGAATGTCTGCGCCAGGCAGATCTGGCTCTGTGGTTTGCAACACCTCTTCCACATCAGAAACAGGAGAACCAATGGGACCACTAACTCTGCGGGCAATGCCTCCAGCAGCCCGCTTCTTGGCAACATTCTTTTTGGTAGATGACATTAGGCAGGGACAACGCGACATAGAACTGGTACCAGCTGGTATGGACAAAAGACAATGAGAATTGGACTTACAAAGATTTCGAACCAACAGGTCATGTGATTGTGTGAACTGGCATTGTCCATACAATGGGATTTTGGACTTGTAGATATTTCCACAATGCACGCATGCCACCAGTCATGTGATCACATGAAACCAGCATAAACAGAATCAAATAGGCTGTGGCATTTAGCCAGCACGCACCACATTCACATGGTTGAAATTCCTTGTGGTGCTCGCTCACTATGCTCCTCACCATGCTCACCTTTCCATTAGTCACTCCTCTTGTGCACTCTGCACTCATCCCATAAGCCACTTACACAGGCTGCAGCTGTGTAAGTGGTTTATGGGTCACTGAGCATTCTACATCCACCAAGGTAGATTTCTTCTTACCTTTGGTTCCTCACTTAAGACTTTCTTTTTTGCAGGGCACGTTCCCTCAGGTGAGTCCTCTCTTGTTCTGTGACGCTTACCATTTTTTCTTCTTGATAGTGATCCTTCATCTGCCTTATCATGCGCTGGCCTCTCCAAGGTATGTCTTATCTGGAGCTCACCTTTGTTTACCGTCTATCTTATAGGTTTTCTTATCATGCGCCTCAATTTCCTTGGTCTTAGGGGACTGGAGGCAGGTATAGTGTGGCACTGTTATCTCCTAGGTATGTCTTATCTGGACCCCACCTGTGCTTACCGTCTCTCTTATAGTTTTACATTATCATGCGCCTAACTTTGCTTGGGTCTTGGGGGACTGGAGGCAGGTATAGTGCGCACACTGGTCCGCCTATCCTCCTCCATCTTCTTATTGTGTCTTGAGGGACTGGAGGCAGGTATAGTGCGCACACTGGTGCGCCTATCCTCCTCGATCTTCTTATTGTATCTTGGGGGATTGGAAGCAGGTGTAGTGTGCACACTGGTGCGCTGTAGCGATGGTCGCGGCATTGGGCTTGAAACCACGCATTTTCACACATCAACACCTGAAACATATGCACACATGTCCGATGCACTTTCACACATGTCCAAGCCACTCCGTATCGGATCCGGCGCATCGGACCTTTGGACATTGCATTGGCCGATTACACTTCACGCGCACTTGTCCATCCTGTGTCCTGTCCATCTGAACTAGCCTCACTAGGTGCGTAGTTATTCCCGTGCACGTTTTCTGACATTCAGACTGTGTTATTACATGTCCGCAGCACCTCGTGTCTTATTACATAGGACATTGGACCCAAAATATATTGCTACTATCTTCACCTGTAGTACTCCAAATTTCTACGTACTTACTTAAATACTCTGTAGTGACCCATAGCAATCATCATCCAGTAGTTAGGAGCCGTTTCCCGACTCTGCGGATCACCCAGAATATTCTCATAGTTCTTAGTTGCATTGCGAAATATTACCATTCGTTCACCGTCATACTCCGTCACTCGTGACACTCGTTATAAAGTTTCCAACCTATTATCGTGAAGTCCAAAAGTCCAAAATCTCGGACATCGCACTTTGGCTTCGGACATTGGATAAGTACCTTTGGACATCATCGGATTACCTTTGGACATCGTTTCGCACCATCAGACATTCTGTTCTTTGCATTACTGACACATTTTACTACTAATACCAATTAGCAATCCCTTTAGGATCGAACGCACTTGCTCTGCAAGTATAGCAGCATAGGTCGTGCTAAGATCTACCTAAACATTGTTGACTAGGTAGTACAATTTCTGCTGAGCCCAACGGAGATTTAATCTTTACACCGGGCTGATTTTCCTCAACTGAAAGCGGCCAGAACACCATCTACATCTTGTAGCTTACCATCTTTGTGCTATTCTAATTATGGTTAAACTGGACTAATGAGATGCCCAGTTATGGTTGATTTATGTGCAAGCCTACCAGGACAATATCTTCAACTTTATCTCCAACATGTGCTGTACTTTATTTGCCTTGGCTACTCCAAGGAGGGCTTGTTATACTGACCATGCCACAGTATACTCATAGCTGGTGTTTCAAGGTGGTATACCTTGAACACTATCCACAACTTGCATATTATAAGCAGTTGGCCCACATTGCTTTACAGTGTATACTGGTGATCAAGCTAGCTTATATACTAATGCATGAATGTATGCTTTTACATGATACAGACACCTTGTACCACCCTATCACTACCCACTTGTGCTGTTGGCCAGCACCACCCTACACACCAGCCAGCACCAACCTTACACACTGGCCAGCCCAGACCCTACAGGCCAGCCAGCATGTACACCACACCCTGGCCAGGACCAGCCCACATGCCAGCCAGCACTGACTGTATGCACCGGCCAGCACAGACCAAACGCACCAGCCAGCACATGCCATACCCACCAGCCAGTATATGCACTATGCACCAGCCAGCACTGACTGCACACACCGGCTAGTGCAGACCAAATGCACCAGCCAGCACATGCCATACCGACCAGCCAATATACACACCATGTACCAGCCAGCACTGACTGCACACACTGGCCAGCGCAGACCAAACACACCAGCCAGCACATGCCATACACACCAGCCAGCACACACACTATGTACCAGCCAGCACTGACCTACATATCAGTTCTGCATACCTGGCCAGACCTCTACACAGATAGGTAGGCACATGTCTGGCCAGTATGCAGGTGTACTAGTATTCATTACCCAGCCAGAACCAGTTCTGCATGGCCAGCCGGACCTCTTGCTACAGTTTGGTCAGGAGATACAGATATGGCCAGAACACCTGTACACTCATGCATCAGCAGGCCTGGCTAGTGTTCTGGTGTCTAAGATGTCTGGCCAGACCTGCTGCTACATGAGCTTAGATGATTGAAATCCTGGCCAGAACCTTTCCAATACTTAATGCAACAATAGAGCTGATTAACTTGAGGTGTCGGCCAGCACCTACCCTACACCTCTGGCCAGCCACTATCTACATATACCGGCTGGTACACATTCTATACCTCTGGCCAGCCATTATTTACATCTACTGGCCGGTACACATTTCACACCTCTGGCCAGCCACTATCTACATACACTGGCTGGTACATATTCTACAACCATTTAGAACATCCAGGGTACCGGTTCTACATATGGTTTTGACTGAATTATGTGTTAGGCTATGGAGTTTGCGTATGTATCACATCTATTGCATAGGATGTCTAAAACACTGTAATGCAAATCTCATTATCATTGACAACTTGCTGTCATGATTATAGTCTCCTAGATGGTGATATGATATAGACTGGGAGCTATAGACAATGACATAGTGTTAGCAGGTGGGTAGGTAGGAGATAGGTAAATACAGAGGAATTAATAGACAGATATAATGAGTAGTACTTAGATACTTGTCATATCCTTATATCTATGGCATATAAATGGGACACTATGTTGGCATGGCTGTAATGGTTGCTTGTGTCATAATGTCCTCACACACTCGTGCAGCATGTATAATGTTATCATGGCTCAGAACGGCAACTCATCGCTGGTTCACTGTCATACTTTTGCTTTTGAGTAGGGTTATCTCTGGGATGGTATGAATAATAGTATCACACCAACTAAGGCACAAATCTTTTGCCATTACACTTAACCATGCCACCACACCGCATGAGCCTAGGGCAAATTTTCTATAGTTTGATATTCCACCAGATTCTGCCGATATCTGTGAGGCAGAAGTGGCTTGGCAGAACCCACATTGGGGACTCTGATATTTAGGATAGGTCAAAATGTCGTATTTTTGCTTTTAACTTGAAGTTTAAGCCACCCAAAGGCATTTAAGTGTGGTTTAAATGTTGTCCTAAATATTTCAAGCCCCGATGTGATCGGCTTGTATGTTCCAACCTGCTAATAATATATGCAAATTCCCACTACCTTTAGGTAGTGTATGGTGGACTATGTATCAGGTTAGTTTTCCAAATGCGATAATTATTTGTTGTATTCCATTGTTTGTGTATTAGTAAATACGGTGGCTGTGGTTTCATTTTCCCACAACACCCACCACCATCGAAGCTCGTCGTCGCCATCAGCGTGGTCGTCATCACCACTAGTGTGCCCGTCATCATGACGCCGCACTCAGCATTACCTTTCGCCGCTGTGGACTACTTCCTACTCCACGATCATCAAGCTCGTCTATCTTAAAGTAAGTAAAGTCTTTTGCTTTCATCATCAACACTCATCAGCACTTGTCATCACCATTAGCCTGCCCATTATTGTGGCATCAGCACATTTACTGCTATTCTCATCATTACCTTCTGTCGCCATGCACTTTCCGCTCCACATACCCCGAGGGATCATCGAGCACATCCATCTTAAAGTAAGTAGATAGTCTTTTGCCAACATCGTCAACACTCATCAGCGCTTGTCATCGCCATCAGTGTACTCATCACCGCATTCACACTCTTCACCTTGTACTCAATCCTCCATTGTTTCCGTTACACTTCTATGTTCTGCACACCCACCTATTCAAGGCTACTGTCTTTGCAGCATCAAGTGTACCAACAACATCCTAACAAAGTTATATAGTGAACAAGTGTTGAGCATTGGTTTGTTAACATGATACTATCGAGGTGGTATAGAATTTGTGGTTTTTGGAGGGTGTTTCATAGTATAAACTGTTTTCTGCGCCAATCAGACCCTGTGTGCATCTTATTGTGCTTCAACTGATTGTGATAGGCTTGCTCTAAAGAAATTGTGGCTATGAGTTTGTATTGAGGTCTGTGCTGGAACCATCACCACTATATTGAATTGCTGAAAGTGACGGTGTTTTGAGGCAAGTTTCTTCACATATATCACACGATCTAACGTGGTACAGTAACCTTCAAGTTGATCCGTCAGACTCTGTTTTCAGACCATAATACTTGTCTCATCATGGCCCATGCCTCCAAGTCAGTGCTCAGGATGTTCACTCGTGTTTCCTTGAATGGACAACTAAATATGTGCAAAGTGCTCAAAGCTCAAAGCTGCAAATGCAGCAGATTGAGAACAGATTATGGTATGTGCTCACCTCACTATGTGCCTGTTGTTTTAAGTTTATATTCACCAATACCTACTATTCAGCAACAGCCACAATGTGAAAGCTGCAGCTGTGTATATCCATTCTTGCACTCGCCATTATGTGGTGGCTGCAAAAACAGCAACAATAATGGTAAGTAAATGTTTGTACTTATCGAGTTACCTCCGCAAGCTAATGTCAAACTTAGCTTTGAATGAATCATCCACATCAGCCAGTAATGTCGCTGCCAGTGCCACTACTCAATCTATTTTGCATCGACAGACTGTGCATACCCGCAAGGCCAGTCAGCATCGACTCGGACTAAGCCAACCATTACAAAACTCTTCACTGTTGAATGCGAGTGACATGAAGCGGAAGGTTTCGCTTCTTAAGGCCAATGCTCGGGCAGCAAAGGTCAATGTTGACTTTACACTTTAGCAATATGCCTATGGGAGCTCAAAGCCCGCTAAACTCACCATCCCATCGTCACAAGTGACCTTCACTACTGTGGACCTAGCCACTAGTGCCTTCGAACAGCTGGCTTTGAAAGCAAGAGGCCTATACAACAACACCCCAGCTCTTTCAGGGCTTTCTGATACTGTGCTGGATGTTATGTTTGATTGGTAATGTTACTGTAGAGTGTCCAGTGGATGGATATCAATAAACCCTGTCATGCAGGCATAGGATCAAGTATTGCACGGTGCTGACCAATGCTACTGTGAATATGATTGAGGAACAGAAGTATCTGGCAGCACCGGCAACCATGGAAACACTTTACGGAAAACTGAGGCAAGACAGGATGTTGTCTGATAAAGATGCATCAGTGAAAACCCCAAGGATCACGCTCCGCATATTCTTGTATGTCCCTGAAGAGGTAAATAAAATATATGTATACTTCGAAGCAACCATCTGAGAAGAACTATAGCCCGAGGATGATGATGTCCAGGAAGTACAATGAAGTCGGTGTGTATCTACTTGGAAATCAACCACAGCAAGTTCTTGTCGTCAGAAGCGGAAAAGATCCCTGACAGGTGAGCGAGGCTGTGATTATTGTCATAGTGATGCTTATAAATCTGAACAGCATCACCTGAATGTCTGCCACCTCCCAAGCACTATCAGAGTTCATACCGCTCCAGACAGTCCGCAACTGCACAAATACTCAAATATGAAACCTTTAAGATGAAGCGGGCAACATGCACTGTGAGCAAGACCACAGATATACAGATGAACTACAGCAAAGAGCAGGAAGAGATTATGATTGCAAAAGGGTGGCAAGCTCATGTTAAAGGTGGGAAGCCTTATCAGGGTTATCTTGGGCAGGGATTGACGAAATTTGTCTTCCATGTGAGTTCCACATTCTTCGAGTGCTCCCATCACTAATTAAAAATGCAGGGTCGCTATAACAATAAGGACATGCTATTGTCCAATGTAAATCAGTCCGTGCAACAGAAGCCAAAAACATTGTGGATCTAGAGGGTGAATACCAGACTCTTCATCTCTCTCAGTACTTTTTGGACTCTTTCTATGAATGAGCAAAGAATTACGGAGTTGATGATCTTCCTAGTGGGTCCATCACATATGAGTATAAGTAGAAGCTAATGAGGCATAGGAATGAAGTGGAATATCTTGACTGCATTCATTGGAAAGCTTACTGAGAAACTCCCAGATGCTCCTGGCAAAGATGAACCTGATTCACGCAGCCTCATCTTCAGTGTCTTCATGGTACTCCCACTTCTGCCATCTGGTGCCCTGTGTAGAGAGGTTAAATTTTCTGGGAGCGAAGAAGTAGGCCTCAACCTTGATTCACTTGGATGTGCTGTGGATGCATATGCACATCACATTGCTGTTGATTTGATGTATGAAGTTGTCATATCTGACATTCAAGGTGAGTTTACGATGATGTAATGCAAAGTGGTTCTCAAGTCACCAATAGGAATCATCACACCGGATTGTACTATCATTTTATTTGACCCACAGTCTCACACGTGTGTAACAGACTTTCATATACCTAATGGCCACATCTGATTTTTGCACTACAGGGCACAAGGGGACTCTGGCTACTGGGACCATGGACAATCTGCAATCACTGAGTTTTTAAAATCACACAAATGCAACAAGCATTGTAGGGCTCTCGGTCTTGATACTGAGCTCCCACCTTTATCCAATACCAACCGCAAAGGCCTACTTTGTTATGACTGGGATAGTTCTTCTGTCAATGGTCAAAGATAGACCAGTCCAGTTGACAGCGTGTTCTAAACTCCTAGTACAAGGAGGGTTCAAGTTCAAGGGTTCTTGACTAGATGAGCGCTACAGCTTCTATCTAGGTTCAGCGGCGAGTGGTTTTAGCACTTCTGCCTATCAAGGGTTCAGACTAAGACAGTGAGTGACTGTCTTAGATGTCAGGTATCAGACTATAAGGGTGGAGACCTTATAGAACAGGATTCAAGGGGAAAACCCAGTAGATTAAGTTAAGGAAAACTACTGTTGTACATGGGATTTATATAGGTAACAAGAGGTGGCGCAGTCATGTCAGGAAAGGTAACAAAGATAGGGAAATAGTACAACCTATCAAGATAGCAAAGATAGCTGAAACAATCATGCTGTGCATGATAGTAGTCAAGATACAATCAAGAAGAAAAGAAGTGCGGACAGCCCGCTTGAAAAGAGAATAGCCGAGTCTAGAGTCGGCACTAGGGTTACAGAAAGGAAAAATAAGTAAGGCTAAATGTTATTGTAACACACTTCATATCGGTTTCAAAGATTAGAACTAATTTCTTTCGAGTCATTCAAATTTGGTTTCACAATTATGTTCATATTCAACTAATTCTCAATTCACATTTGAGCACAGTGCTACATACGCCGACTACTGCCATGACTAAAATATGATTCTATATTAATGGTAGCATTGCTGAAAACACGGACCAGACATTTTTGAAAGTTAAGATAGTGAATCCAAGGCCATCAAATATCAACTGCGCTGCGGCACTATATTCAGAATCAACAAAACGAATGAGATCCTCACCACCAATCTCCTCCATGAGGTTCTTGACGACATCACGATCCACTAACTGCAGACAGTTCTGCGCATCATAGTCTTTGTGAAGCAATATTCCAACATTCAGAGAGACACCTGAAGGCAATAGTTTATCTCGGTCATAGCGAACAGTGTGTGTGTTGAGACGATGCTTGAGTGTGTCGAGTTCTTGTTGAATTAAGCGCGGCCATAGCCACTGAACGAGAGCACTAAAACGCAAATAAGAACGAGTCAAAAAACACCACACCTAAACCTACTACTGGCGTGGATCCATATCATTATAAATCTCTTCACCCACTTCCCAAAAAACTTTCACATTATCTCCCCATTGAACCTGCACATGAAGCCAACCACACTTGATGGTGATATTATGAACGCTCTTCAGAAACCAATGGGCAGGTAACTCATCAGTTGATAGGTTTGGCGAAAATATTTCCCTTGTAATATAGTATCGTTAGCATAAGCATCACATTGGCTAGTAGTACTAACCTTAAAGCTGTTGCGAAACCATATACATCTGTCATCTCACTTCCACAATCAGTCGTAGTTTGAAGTGGCATCCCTAGGTAAATGATGAACCATCGTGCTCAAATAGATTCACAGAAAATACCACCAAGCTCATGGAGGAGGGATAAATAAAGGTATGCAATTGATGTCTTGAGCCAGTTGTTTGGGACAACCCACATTCCCAACCACTTTCCAGACCACTGGTCACGGATTGCCCATATAGGAAAACCTATTCTACTCAATTTATCGTGCCCATCACCACTCCATTGGTGATGGGAACCAAGTGAGACTAATGGCTAACGAGAAATCTTCTTTTTTGAACGTCCCCATTGGGCAAACCCGTCCGGCTCATGTTGCCTCATCTCGTCCATCACATATTTCCTTGTTCCAAATTAGTTTGTATAAATCAATACATTATAATGATAACATTACCTTGTCAGTAGATTACCAGTGTCCGCCACAATTGCTTCCCGGACTAAACGGGGCCCACGGCAGTGAAGGGGATCCCGTGCAAGCTGATCGAGCACCAATTGCCGCTTGATTGACCATGGAAGCAAGCAAGTCAGCTGCCCACTTCCAAGGAGTCCGAATTGCTGCTGGCATCGTGCAACAGTTGCTTCACTATGGGCAAAGCATGAGCACACACTAGCAGAACACACAGTTAAATTCACCTCATGACTATACCATGCTCTGCCTGGAGAAGACGACTGATTTTTGACCTATTTGTGATATTATCATGGTGATACTGGGTAAGGATTTTCTGGAGGAATGGATCAGTCACAACCCAATAACGAATTAACGCTGGGCAGAGACTAGGACTCAAACAAAGGTTATCACAACAAGAGGATGATGAGCAAGGACATCTTGGACTGCTACAGTGTAGATACAAGAGGTTTGAACTAAGGAACTATTGACCAAGACGTACTACCTATCCTATATACAACTATTGAAACTGAGATTGAAACTGAGCTACAACTACTAGCCAATCATAAAAAGGAAAAGGGAATTGTACCATAGAACATCGTAGAATATTAAAGAAGCATCACGTGACCATATCTTATCTTATCTTATCTAATCTAATCTATTCACAATCAAAGAACTCGTCTTCTTCATCAGTCACATTGAAGACACGTGTCGTGGGCGCTAAAGGTATTTCGGGAATGATAGACACTTTCAGGATAGGGTTAGGGTTTGACTTAGGCGCTGTGTATTGGTGCTTAGGAAGATTCAAGAAAGAATAATGATTTGTTAAAGGTACTCATGACAGGATCATTCTTTCGAGCTATCACAGTGTAGAAATTAGTATAATATTAGTATATTGATGCGACACAACTCACGACAATGCTGATATTGATTTTTGCCCTCAGGGTTTGGGACATGACTAGAGGTACAGGCATTTCCCTCCACAGGAAGAGTCTGCGGCTCATCTTCGTTCAGAGCCTCATCTGCATCATGGGAGTCCATGAGAAGAATACAGGATATAACGGTAAGAGTGTATGCACCTAGTACTGTACAAGAGCAGATTTTATACCTGCCCAGTATCATCCGCCTGCACTAACATGGTGGCCCCGAAACATGGAACTGTGAAGTAAAGCCATGAGCCAAAAGACGTAAGAATATTATCTACTTACTTTAAGATAGACAAACTTGATGATCGTGGAGTGAAAAGTAGTCCACGGCAGCGAAAGGTAATGCTGAGTGCAGCGCCACGACAACAGGCACACTAATGGTGACGACGAGCACACTGATGGCGACGACAAGCTTTGATGGTGGTGGGTGTTGTGGGGAAATGAAACCACAGCCACCGTATTTACTAATACACAAACAATGGAATAGAACAAATAATTATTGCATTTGGAAAACTAACCTGATACACATAGTCCAGCTTACTATATGCTCTCAGCTGAAGACCAGAACATGCGTTTTCAAGGCACTGAGTCACATGCAAGTATGACCAATCATGCCTTGAAAATGCACCGTTCTGATGTAACAATGTTAGTTCAACGATAGAACCTTTTCACTTTTGAATGTGGTAGTAAGTCAAAACGAGAGGTTTTTTGGGGGGGTTTTGGTTTTTTTGCGTGCTGAAGGTGTTTGCAGTGTCTCCGAAGCCTATGTAGAATACTTCTGACGCGTGGTTGGTGTTTGAATCACGTGACTTGCGCGCGCACTGTTAATGGACAAGGATAAGGCACGAAGGTGCTGAAAGACTAACGACAAACGGAGGCAAGAGCAAACCCAAATGAGCAAAACCAAGAACCTCGAGTGTGAGGTAGATAAAGGGAGTTTTTTGCCGAGGGCACGACACAACCCATAATGAGCAAGGCTCACAACGGTCGTGCCAACGGTGAAAAGACCCCCCAAAACGAGACTGCAAGCGACTAATTGAATTATAGCGGCAGCGAATTTACAAAGGTAAAACAACAAATGATGTGCTACTGGTAACGACAAGAAAAGGCGTTCATAGAAGAATTTATCATTGCAATACGGGAATCTGAAAAGGATGAAGTTATAAAAACTGGCAAAATTGAATCGATCTTTCTCCAATACTCGAGGAAGGCTCTAGACTTCCATCTCCCTTGCATTGCGACTACATCGGGTGGTGTTCCTCTCAAGAGCAGTTCTGTGGCTCCACCAATCCTAAAGCAATGTCCTGATAACCCAGGGAGGCCAGCAATCTTCCAGATTTTGTTACAGCGGTTAACGAACCAAGTCCGTGTCATGGGCGCCCAGCTGCCTTGATCTGTTTTGAATGCGAAGAAGGGAGCTGAATCAGGTACTGAAGCATTGGCTGAGAGGTGATGCATGATTGCTGAAACCGGATTTGAGGGGTCCTCCACCCCCGAAGCAATAAGGTTTGCGCCTTCACCATGTGTTGTCTTAGTCCACGGTATCGTCAGAATGATGTAAGGTACACCCATTGAAGCTCGACCATGTCGTAAAGGCGCGTTTCGCGGTGTATGATGTGTAGGATCGAAGGAATTAGCAGAGTCAATTAACAACTCCCCAAGTCTGACATCAGAACATTAGAAGAAGGCCGAATTGATAATCAACAAAGGTACCTGCAGCAAGACCAAAAAGCAGTGGAAGCAACAGCAAGAACGGCCACATCAAAAGTGTTGGATAAGTCAAGAAGGCAAACAAGAGCGTGCATGTGTTCTAGGGTAACTGGGGGTCTGCGTGGTCTCTTTGAAGACGACTGGAACCACCTTAGCGAGACCGGAAGTCGCTGTGCGCAGTAGTACTCTACCATGCCAAGGTGCACCATGGAGGTTATGCCAGAAGTGGATACCAGCGAGCCAGTTGTGCACGGTCGAGCTAGCGACTTTCCCGGCCCATGATGCGATGAATGAGGCCAAGAGGTGGTCTGGTGCCGGCATGCGTAACTGCTCTGGGATCCTCCTTGAGTCACAATATTGATGAAATCTAAGGAGTCCAGCTCCATAGTTCTCGCGTGTCTTGACCTTGATAGAGATCAACATAACGTCAAGGAGTTTGAGAACATCGTCGAAAGGAAGGTGTGAGAGAACTGAGGAATGGAAAGATGTAGAGTGAGGAGCGGACCAAACACGAACACGATCACATGCAAGAACATGAGGACGAAGGGTGGAACATGCCAATATATTATTCTTTTTAGGTTTTCGTGGCTTCAGCAATTTGCGAACGGATGTGGGCGGTTCCCCTACCACGGGTTGTCTTGCCAAAGACTCCCTAAGTAAGGCCAAATCCTCTGCGACGCCTGCACAGGCTGACGTCTGGAATGGAGGTGTGCTAGACATAATCTGAAATGAAGGAGCGAAGCTCTTCTGGGAGCTCGATTGAAGGGAGGCGAAGAGCAGGCGGACCGACCTCACCGCGAGTGGTCTTGTCCGCTCTGTTCTGTTTGGATTCTACGTAAACAAGAGCGTGTGCCACGTTTGTGGCCATTGCGATAGATTCTACCCTGCGAATACATAAGTTGACTTGAAAATTTCTACTTCTCCCGTGTCTGAACGCACCAATGATGCCTTGGTTGTCAGAATAGATAAGTACTGTGGTGTTGCGCCATCCTGACTCGAAAAGTGTCCTAACGGCAAGTTCGACGGCGATGGCCTCGAGCCACCCGATGTCCCTACCCTGACCTTTCCATCCTATGCGTAAAGTCCATGTGTTCCATCTTTCACCCAAGACAATTCCTATTCCCCAATCGGTCAAAGCATCTACCCATAGATCGATATTGTGTGGGTCGCCCCTTGAAGTGAGTAAATGAGGAGGAGGTGGGGAATTAAGGACATCTAACCACCATTTCAAATCCGTCACTACCGATGTGTGTGGGAAGCGAGAGGCGTGAATGGAGGGGTACTCAGCTATGAATGCTGAAAGGTTTGCTAGGTACGCCCGGCCATGTGGTATGACAAAGGCGACGTGCGACAAGGTTCCATTAATGCTCATAGCGTCTTTGCACGAAATACGCCTTCCGCTCGCCAAAATGTCGAGCAATGCGAAAAGCTTGTCGCGGTACTTCAAACATTTGACCTCCGGTAGTGTGACGGTGCGCAGGACTAGGTCCCACAGGAATCCGAGGTAAATGAAAATGTAGGCAAAGTCGGTCCGTTTAGTTGGGTGCCAAGGCACCCCAAGCAGATGAGATTTGGTGAGAATGTGGCTGAGGTTGTGTAAGTAAACAAAGGGAGAGAAGGAACCGTCTTCTAACAGCTTCCCTCCACCCGAGGCGAAATGAAAGAACAAGTGGTCGTCGACCCACTTCTTGATCGGTCCCAATTCCATTCTGTGCAGAATGTCGACGGTCGCGTCTGCGACATTGCCTTGGACGCCTCCTGCTGTGGATAATCCAAAAGGAAATGTGTGATCTATAAAGTATCAGCCATCAACCTCCACGACCAGAAAACATTTATGCGGTGGCCAGACAGGCACAGTTCAATAAGCTGCCTCTATATCAAGAGTGGCTGCTTGTGTCCCCGGAGGTGCTGTGGCGACCTACAGACGTATGAATGAGGAATGGAATGGAGGATAGTGATGAAGGAGAAGACGAAGAAGAATGAATACACGTGAGATGTGCCTAAGTGAATGCACAAGATGCTCGAGAGCGTGATAAGTGTGCATGCATGACTAGTACCCGAAGGTACGAGAAGCTGAGCAACTAAGACTGAACGTGGTCAGAAGAGCTCGAAAGGCCCGAAGGCGAATTGAATAAAGGGTGGGTTGAACACCCCACCCACCCCTTGCAACTAAACGGGGTAAACACGGCTAAAAGGGCTGCACAAGCCCAGAATCATAGAACTTACAATTTCTGCGACATGTGCCGCTGTACCCCATTCGGTGGGGAAGTCGTCAGAATCAAGAAACCCATTGACCGAGAAAGCATCTGCATTGCGATAAAATAAGTCGCGAACGACCCTAAATTTTCCTCGCTCTCCTGCTTTCTCCACCACCCCAAGTGGTGATGAGGCGAAATGACCTCCCAAGATGTTGTGGACCTCATCTTCCGAGAATGGGCCTGACATGCGACCAAGAGAAACTTCATCGTTACAATAAGCGTGAATGACGTCAAGATGATCTAAGGCAGATTTGTGATTTTTTGGTGTATAAGTGCGGGTGAGTGGCAGAATGTCCCCAATGGGAAACCCATGGCGCATATTGAATGTCAAGGTCGGATAAACGTGTTGCAAGTTATATTGGTGCAAGAGATCGTTGTACACGTCGGCATCGTACGGTGTGGTGATACGCTCGTGGATATCAGAGGCAAGACTTCGAAGCGGCTCCATGATTCCTGTCTCCGCAGATAGAACAGAGGTGGATGACATCAGCTGAGTGTTTGGGGGCGAAGCAACGTCCAAGATTGAAAGAAATGCAGATGGGGCTGGAGGAGGATTTTTGAACAAGTTTCCCTTGCCAGGAGCTAACGACAGGGACGTCTTTCGTTGTGTGTGTATGGGTGCATCCACTGGCTCTATGTCCGTACTGACCGCAGATGATGCAAAGGGTCGTGTCGGATACTTGCGGCCCTTTGCCCTTCCGAAAGGGCTTCCCATCATTCGAGAAACTGACGGATGATTGGCCTTTGGCCTTTCGCTGAGGGTAGGGGTTGAAACGAGAACTACTCCCCGAAGTGTGTGCGTTATTTGACGAAAGTGAGGTGTTAATCTTTATTTCATTCCAATGCTGCATATATGCGCTCGGATCGCGAAAAGATTGAGTGTTGAAGAACTTCCTGCGAATTTCTATATTGAAGTTCAGGACTGCGTTCCAGTCGTCGCTAAACTCGTCGCGTGACAAGCAGAAGTCGCGATGTTCTACGAAACACTTTATAGTTGCCTCGTCAGCAACCAGAGTCATCATTTTGAGGAAATTACTATAAGCTTCATAGAAGCAATCGGCTGGAAGTGTCGACTCTGCTGGGAATGTTGACGTGTCCATAACGCTCATCTTGGGATCGTCTAGAATGAGACCTTTCTTCATCTTGATGCAAGAAGGGTCCAGGTGTATCTTCCGGAGTGATGCGAGCGTAAGAAGTGTGAGAGGAACGTGGATCCATGCCTTCGCAAGGTTGATGATAGGCCTCGGGATTTCCGTTCCTGTGTCTTCCATTTTCGTAATTACAGTATCAGAGTCCTTGAACACTATAGTATCTGAAGCGGATGACAATGTAGGTACGGAGGGTGTTGTAACACTAGAAGATGTATCTGTGTTTGAAAGGGCACCAACAACTCTTTTCGCTGTATTCAGGGTTAAGGAATTAAGGAAACTAAAGGCTCTAGTAATTTTGTTCCCCGGTAAGGGTTTAGGTAAGGGTGTGAAAGGTTGTGTGGAAGGTTCGTCAAGTAAAGACTCGTCGTCGGAGATTTCTTCAATAAAGTTGAGGTCGTTGCGCTTGGCTTCTCTAACAACGTTCCTTTCAGAACGTGCTGAGTTTTCTACTGCAACTGCTTCTTGATCCTCGAGATCAACAGCAACGACCGAACGTCTTCCTACAGAATCAACAACTCAATTCATCTCACCATCCGACAAAACTCGGTTGTTTGCGGAGTTAAAAGCCTCGGTGCTTTTACAGCCAGCCCCTCTTGGTGGTCCAGGGTTTGAGGTGTCAGTCATAGTGAGGATGAAAATACGAGGGTATGAATGGATGTATGCTGCTAAACCCTCAATTGAGAAAAAGGGCAAAATGGTAAAGATGATAGTAAGAAAGCAAGGAACGCACAATCCATGCGCCGTATGTTTAATATGCGCGATAATGCTTAGTAATTCCAGCGTACCATGCGCTGTACTGTATCTTGACGCGTGAATTGCTTGAAAGAATGCACGTTCCATGTGTTGCACTATGTCTCGATGCGCGAATCGCTTAGTAAGCCTCTGTTCGTGCTTCTCAGTTGTATGGCTCCTTTGAAGCTCGAACTGCACCCGTAGTAGTGGGTCTTTCCGGTCAGGTTTTTTTGCGATTCTATGGGGCATTGTGTTTTGGAAATTGATCAGTATACAAATGGCGATAACTTCCCACAGTGGTTCGTGCACGCTTGCATTGTGTCGTTTTGTTCTATGCCTTTGCCTGTTTGATGTCCATATTCTATCGTTATGTCCCTTACTTTTGAGGGTGTTGACGTCGTCGCCTCATGCGATCATTCTGTTTCGTTCTCTTCTGTAACTGCACAACTACTCACTCAGCGCCTTCGACGTAGCAACATTGTGCCAGATGTTCGCATTCGCGCTCTTGTCTTCATTACCGATGGTGTTATCAATCTTTCGACAGATTTCTTGTTTCTCATCGTCGACGATGCATGCAGTGATGTTATTTTTGGTCGCGATTGGTTAGAATATTGTCAGAATATAAGTGACAATCATCGCGATGTTCAACTGCCTGAACATCTGTGTTGTTTTGGTTCGTTCTTTTCTTGTCCGGTCTACAATTTACTGACATGGATGTAGTATGTTCGGACAATAACGGTTTAAATTACGGGTCATCTATGAAGGTTTATACTCCCGGTTTTAAATCTGCTGATTCCGTTAAAGGAGAATCTCTTGTACGAGACATGCTGTTCTCAGCTTCCACAACGGATGCTACTCAATTATTACCTCTTCTGCGGAATCATGGACTCGAAACCGATTTTTCACCAGAACAGATGAACATTCAGGTTTTGCGACATCTCCTTTCTGGAGTCTGTATTCACGCGGGAGCAGGGCGAACCGGTCCCAAGGCTTGTAGACTCATTTGTCAAGCATTTTCGGATGTTCATTCATTGCTTGGTTATATAGTTCGAGAGGTATTGCTTTCATTACCATCTGTATTATCTGCCGCATCTCTTAAAGATATTGTTCATGCTGCGGGAGAACAGAATTCACTTATTCATGCGAATCGTGCCGATTTGATTCAATTGCTATTCCTTCGATGTGTGAAGTCTTCGGAAGATGATGTGCTGTTCAAAGAATTATTTCTCGGTTTTGAAACTTTATCTCATTCTTCTTTACATGCATATGCTACACTTCATGGCATACAATTTCAATCGGCAGATTCACGGGAAGCTCTATTACAGATGTTGATGCAGCATTTGTCTGCGTGGAAAGGATATTTACGATATATTTGGCTGGGTAGCGGGCTTTGCCACGCATGTGGCCTTACAGACTTATTGCGATAAGGGAGCAACATTCAAGACAAATAATATGAGATATTGATATCGACCGAGTGCAACTTGAAAGCATTGACAGAAATGAGCTTCAACTATCGTGTTATGACACGACGGTGAATATGCTCCCGCACGTTCTACCAAATTCATACCATTTGACAGCA